TTTAACGTAACTAGGTAACACTTTGATTTAGAAAGTTTCTAAAGCTAAATGTCATACAATGAAACATAAATCAATTAAATTCCAAATAAAGAAAATAAATTACAGAGGTTGTACTTTAAGTACACCTAAACAATTATTATATAAAAATTGTTTATCTAGCAAGAATTCATTATTTTCACTGTTGTGACAAGAAAATTTAATGAAACTCTATAGATTTAAACAAGAACTGCATTGACTACGGGCCTTACTTACCTTAAAAATTAATAACATCAACAATAATTATCGGTTTTAGTCAATAGAGCACCATGCACCACAAGAAACGGCCTGTTGACAGGTCCTGCGGACCCGCCCTGCTGACCTAACCCTTGGTCTGCGGACTTGGCCTGTTAGGCCTCTTTCAGACGAAGCGGATGCGGACGCGGGTTACACCCACTTCATCTGAAAGCGGTTTTACGTACCAAAACTCTATTTAACGTTGGCGAACTTGGCATGCCGATTACAGCGCTTTCAGATGGAGCGGACCGTCCGATAAGGAGCGGACCGTCAGATGGAGCGGACCGTCCGAAGATAACCTTCGGACGAAATCATCCGAACGGAGCATACGCGACCCATGTGAAATTGTTCATATAAACTCATGGTATACTTGCTCGAAGTCGCGGACGCTCCGCTCCATCTAAAAGCGCTGTTAGATCTTTATACGATTAAATATTTTCATTTGGTTTTCAAATTGTTTGATAATTTTTCAATTTCGTTGTTAATCAGTTTGGTTATCTTGTTTTCAACACATAGTAATAATAATACTAATACTATTAGAACAGCTGCCAATCACATTCTAGCAGCACAAATAAATAGAATAATACAAAATAAAGAAAGTTTTCCAAATTTTCTTACACAAGCTCGAACAATAAAATGGTTCCAAAATCTTCAGATACTGTAGAAAATCATTACAGCAGTGATAGCAGGTAGCATAAATAAACATCTTTTACACAACGATATATTAACCGATGAGCAGAAGAGAGGCAGAAGTGATACGAAAGGGTGTAAGGCAGCTTATTATAGATAGTATTGCAACTAGAAATGCTAAAAATAATAAAAGAAATATTGCGGTAGCATGGATTGATACCAGAAAGCATTTGACAGTGTGTCGCACTCGTGGCTCATTGAAGTCTGTACAAGATCGATGACTGCCAAATTTCTGGAATCAACCATGCAAACCTGGAGAACAAAACTACATTTTAGACAAAATGGATTGACAGTAGAGACAAACGAAATTCCAATTAAAAGCTGAATATACCAAGGCGACTCTTTAAGTCCACTCTGGTTTATTACTTGTCTGAACCTGCTATCTAGATTGATTAAAGACTCTGGTGTAGGATACAAATTACAATCTGGGAATAGAAAGTATCTACTAAATCATCTATTCTATGTCGACGACTTGAACTTGTATGCGGGATCGGAAAAGGATCTAAATGTGCTGCTTAAAATTACGGGGGAGTTCAGCACAGACATAAAAATGAAATTTGGTCTAAATAAATGTGCTAAGTTAATTGCAATCAGAGGAAAACCAATGAGTTATGAAGACCTAGAAAACACAAACATCATTAGATAGGGTAAAGTAAGGTATGTTGGTGATATAGGTAAATTGGTGATAGTTCTTTAATAATTTTTCAGCAACTCGCCTATTCAGTGAGAGGCTCTAAAACGTGTCGGTTAAATCTATCTAATATCCTCTCCATGCTGCATAGTCTGCGGCGGGCTTCGGTTCATTTGTTTACGTTTAGGAAAACGTTTGCTTCGTACCGGTAAATAAAGTCATTCAATTTGATCATTTTAGGGTCTGTGCCGTCGGCTTGACCCTTGTGAGATTACCCTTTTAACCCTACCTCGGAATATTCATCCTAAACCTACCCTTTGCCCCTCCCTTGTCGTCTAGTACGGTTGGCAGCGCGCATCTCTCACTTCCCCCTCCACAGCTCTCCGACATCTCCCGGCTCCCAGCCGCGCGCCAGCCGTTGTGTGACATCAGTGTACAATAATAATGAGCTTAAATTATTTACTCTTGTTAGGGCTTAAGTTATTCGGCCATTTACTTAGCAATTTTGCATGCAAAACGTGAATGTTAGGACACAGACTTTTAAATAAAATTATGATTGGCACTGTGGTGTCTGCGGAAACGCTAAAAATGGTGCCTTATGGGTTCAGTGCTCTTTTTGCTGTGTCCCGTATCACACAAATTGTCAAACGAGACCTGACGATGAAGACATCTTTATGTGCGACGGTTGTGATGAGCAGTCTTCAAACGACTCATAATAAAAATTATTATTATTATTTCTACTAGATAAAATACTTGTTTTGTTATAAACTTAAAAATTTTCAGCCATTTTATTTTCAACTGCTCGTAATCTCATATATCACCAAAATACCTTTCCACTATCACCAAATTAACTTACTTATAACCAAATTACCCAACCAATTTGTATTTTGTTTCAAATGTATTTTTTCTGTCAAAATTGACACCATCATATCGTTTTGTATCTATAAGCGATTGTTTGAAACATAAACCTTCCGGATAGGTAAGTTGGAAAATAATATATCTTAACGAATTCAAATTGCCCATGTTCAAGCAAAAATATCACCAACTTACCTTACTTTACCCTACCTAAACGAAAAACCGTACAAATATCTAGAGAATATTCTCAACAACTCACTACAACACAAACGCCGGAAAGGAAGAAACTTCAAAATAATCTGATGAGGAAATAAGGAAAATACTTAAAACTGAACTTAATGGAAAAAATATTATCACAGCCATAACTGGGATATACCAGCTGTAAGCCATTCATTCGGTATTTTGAACTGGTCGGCAACCGATCTAGAAGCAATGAACAGAACAATCAGAGTGGAAATGACCAAAGCTAGAATTCACCATTGCAAAGCGTGTACCGAAAGATTATACTACCCAAGGAAAACAGGTGGTCTAGGCCTGCTTAACTTAGTAGCGCTACATCAAAGTCAAATTAAAGGTCTCAAAATGTATTTTAATAAGAGATGTGAAACTTCAGAATTCCACTTTATAATAACTAAACTGGACAAATACACTCCTCTTACTACTAAAATAGCAGTTGAAGAATAATATCTGGTACAACAACGCGAAAATTGAACAACGAAAGCTTTACATGGAAAATTCCCACAATTGCTGGCGAACTCTAATGTCGAAATGTGAGTGACTTAGCTCAGAAAATCACGAAAAAAAAGAAACTGAGGGATTCGTCACGGCAATTCAAGATGGAGTAATAGCTACAAGAAATTATAAAAAATATATAGGAAAAAATTCCCTTAGATTAGATACAGACAAATGTCGTAAAAAATACTAATATCTTTCTTGGTTAACTAAAAGTGAGAGTGCTTGATACTTAGCTATATATCCGTTCCTCAACATACTACCCAATAAATTGAAAAAAAATACTAATAATACATGTTTTATTATCATAAAAAATACAAAAAATTCTGTTGACGAAGCTAGTGCACTTAAATCTAATGATGCGCTTAGACTTGAGCACGCACGCACTGATCCTCCGCGAATGCTCAAGTGTAAACGGCTGTGCGCGCACGCTCACTCTGAATCTGTCTGTGCGCGAGCAGCCGCGAACGTGAGCCGTCTGGTGTCGGTTTTTGATCCGTGCTCAAAGGGATTTTATGTGTGCGCGAACGCTCAGTTTGCACCGGAAATTTGTTTTGTCTGCGTTCGTGCGTGCCGTGTGTGATTTTTTTTTTCGTTTTCTTTATTAAAATTATGGAGTGGCCAATAAATCTTCGATATTATTAATTGAAGAATATGAAAAGTTGCCTATATTATGGGATGTTAAACATTCTTTGTATTATTAAAAAATATAAAAAAAACGCATGGCAAGATCTTGTAAATAAAATTAATATTGAATATGTCGACATTAATGAAATTGCTATTCTAAAATTTGTATCTTTTGTTCGTAATTTTTGGTGTATTAAATTTTGTAAATATTCAAAGTCGGGTCTGGTCATTCTTGTAAAGTTTTTGAACTGATCATAGCCCTTCTCAGACACTAAGTTGTTGCAGTAAATTATATCGATTTCTAAAAATTTGGGTTTGCCACCAGCGACGATGTTTTCGATTTTTCTCCTTTTTAATAATTAAGCTGTGCATAACAATGACTGCAGCCTCGACTATTTCTTGGCCGCCCATTATTTTCGCCAACACAACTCTGCTGTGCGCGCACAAATGGATCGCTTCATTCGTCGAAAAATAATTTTTTAATTTGAACTGAGCCGAGATCGCGTGCTCAAGTCTAAACGCACCATAAGATAGTCAAAATAACTATTATCATTGGTCGAAATTTAGAATAACAAGTTAGAAATGTTGATAATGTTTAAAAGGTTCGATTACAGATTCTTAACAACAGAAGAATTAAAACCAATAATATAATAATAAAACATTATACCTACAAGCTGTGCTACAAGTAAAAAATCTAAGTACTTAAATCTTAAATGCCTGCAACTAATATATCTAAAATTTAAATTAGTTGGAAGGGAATAAAATAATTAAAATTTAAATATAATCATTATACTGCAATTTCCGTTAGCAAACAAACGAAAGACGAAAGAAAAATTATTTATGCTATGGTAAGGGGGGTTTACTTTATGCTATAGTAAAGTTACCTCTTAAATAATTATGATTATTGTTAATTGTTAGTTCACAGTAGTTAGTACGCAGAAAAAAATCGTGGGTGTTTGGGAAGGCTCGAAAGGAAACAATATTTTTGCGACGTTTCTGAAACAATGCTTTTGCGTGCCTGAAGAAGCGACAATAAAGTCGCGAAACGTCGCAAAAACATTGTTTCCATTCGAGCCTTCCCAACACCCACGATTTGTTTCTGCCTCTTAAATAATTTTGTTGACTGCACACCTTTAAGGTGGTTTGGAAGATGATTAAATATTTTATATAATTAAACTATTTATTTTCTTAGATTGCAGTTCTTTGCTTCGGCTTAAGTCAAGCTAAGCCTCAATACAACTACCCCGCTCCTGCCGCTCCTTCACCACCCAGAACCTCCTATGGATCGCCGAGTTCCGCTATTAATTTTGGAGGATCAAGCTCTTTTGCCGGAGGTACCTCTGGATCTTCATCAATCTCCGGCGGTTCAGTAGGAGGATTTTCGGGCAGTGGAGTTTCAGCTGATTCTTTCGGAACTGGTTTTGGAACTGGATCCGGCGTAAATATCGGAGGTATCTCATATTTTTTATTAAGTTTATTTTGACAAATCCCGTTCAGTCAACCAAATGTTTTTGTGAATAAAACCAAATAAAACAAACGAAAATACCAGGGTTGGAAAAAATTATGATTTTTTTTTAAATTAAAAAAACATATTTTTTTATTTAAAACTGATTTTTTTGATTTTAATGGAGAACAGTATTTAAATTGGATTTCCAAATAATTAGGACTTAATTCCAATTAAAGTCCTATCCTAAATGGCTAAATTTTCCCCATAACTGTGCCCTATACTGAGAACATTAACAAATCTACGGCGCGTGTCATTTTCCCACATCGGTCACCAATATATTCCGCAAAAAAAATCGCTCGCTTCAGATCAAAAGGATTTTTTTTTGAAATGTCACAAGAGTATTAATTTTTGTCATTTCAACCCCTAGGCATAAAAGTAAAGCACTTTTACGCCTAAGCAAAAGTACAAAAATATATTATTAAACTGATATTAAGCGTCAATTTCAACGAGTATACAAATTACTTACAAGTTACAAGGTGTACTCGATTACTTACAAGTTACAAGGTATTACTTTTATATTATTTGCAATGTTTGAAATTGATTAAAAAATTATTTGTAATGTTTGAAAAAATATAGTATATTCTACTAGGAGTAAAAATATATTTTGTGCCTCCCTGTTTACGATAGTCCGTCAAACGTACAAAAACCTCGTCAAAAAAAGTATAATTTTTACTCCTTACACAATACACTATTGTTGGGAAATAGTCTTAAACCGAGAATGAAATTAGTATTATCTATTGTCAAAGTGTAAAGTACCTACTTACTGCAGGTCGAAATGTCATGTCGATAGAAATTTGGAAAGAAATAGAAGATAAATTGATGAAGGCAGAAGTTGTCTTGATCAATATACAGCTGTTTCAAAAAAGATATTTAACAGCATATTTTCTGACAACGATTTGAAGATATAGTCTAACATGAAAAGAACCATTTTCTGCACTAGAGATTGCGAATGAAATGTATTCAAACAACGTTTTTTTGTCACTTGTACATAAATTTCAAAATAAAGCCCTGCTCTTTAGAAGTCTAATGGATTCACACGAAATTACTTCAAAAATCGGTCCAACATTTTAATTGACGAATAGATATGTAGTAGGTATATGTGTTATACAAATCATTTTTTATATAGTTTTATAACATTTACAATTATTTTTCGATTTATTAAAAGTATTTAAAAGTTACAACAGCAAGTGTAATATTTTATTTGATGAATAGATACAGGGTATATCTGTTATAGAAATATTTTTTGTAGTTTTCTAGGGCACATTTTTATAACTTTTACAGTTATTTATTGTAAAGTTTTAAAAAAGTTGATTTTTTTATTTAAATCACATGATTAAAATTTAAAAAATCGCCTTAAATCATTTGATTTGATTCATGCCAACCCTGGAAAATACCATATGATAGAAAAAAAACCACATCCAGTTGGTTTGGAAATGACGATCGATACAATTTCCCATATAATTTTCCGTACAAAATGACATCGATCTTCATTTCATACCCATCGCTGACGCCGTTTTTTTTTCGATCGTAACTTGAAATAAATGCGCATACAAAAACATCTTTCATAGCAGTGAAACACACCACGTTGGGAACGTAACAGGAAATTAGATAAGGGACGTTGTCAATGTTGTTCCTTAGTAATATAGAAGTATATTATAGGGTGATTCACGGCGATGCCGATGGCTTGTTAGACATTTATGGATAACCGGTGATTTTTTTTTCATAATAAGGGGCCGTCCTCTGCCGGAAACACTGCGACCTGTGAGGCCTATTATGTTTGTCCCCTTTCTATATCTGCACCCATTCTCCTATCCCTGTGCCCTGCACTAACTTATGCAGCTCTTGATAGGATGGGAGCATAGTTCCTCCGATTCTAGCCTAGCTTTCCCAAATAAAAGTGTCGCTTGCGATCCAGAGCCTCGCAATGACATATTATGTGCTCCGCTGTTTCAGGATCTTTGTTGCAGAGTCTGCAGCAAACTTCCTTGATACAGGTTGAGCTTGTTCAGATAACACTTGACAACCATGTGTCCTGTCAAGAGGCCTATTGTAATCCGCACTTTATTCCTGATAAGCATTAGCAGTTCTTTTGCGGTTTTAGAGCTAGGTCCTTGCCTTGCTGTGCCTGTGCCCCTGTCTTCCAATGGACATTCTGCTTTTCCCTGATCCAGAGTTTTAATGCACTACGGGCCATACATTTGGGTATTCCCAGTACTGGCTCTGGACCAAGATAGGATGCCGATGATCCTTGCCTAGCTAGCTCATCGGTTTTTTCGTTGCCTTGGATTCCGCTGTGGCCTGGCACCCAAAATAATTTAATTCTGTTCTTTCGTGCCAGAGCTTCCAGTTCACCTAGGCATTCCCAGACGAGTCTCGACGATACCTTTGGGCTCATAAGCGCCCCAAGTCCCGCCTGCCTGTCTGAGCTAATATTGATGAGCTTACCTGAATAAGCTCTTCTATTGTTTTCTCTCGCACATAGTAGAATGGTGAAGATTTCTGTCTGGAATACGGTTGAGTGTTTACCCAAGAAAAGGATAAGCTTACCCTTGGTCTTTCCCCAAATACTCCAGCTCCTGTTCCTTCAGCGGTCTTTGACCCGTCTGTATACCACAGGCAGTGGCGGCTCGTGACCCGTGTGACTGGGTAGGCGACAAAATTTTAGTTGCGTCTATTTGCCCCCCCCCCTAATTTACATAATACCCTAGCCCAGTTTGTAAATATATTGTTATCTCTGAGTTAAAAACATAGCTCAAAAATATTTAAGACAAAACTAAAGCAAAAATAACAACATTCAACGTAATGACATAATGATTGACATAATATACAAGTATAGTTTTTATTAATCTATTTTATCTATTATTTTTTTATCTATTACTCTGGAGTCACTATATGGAGTACATCACAGAATTTTATTTTATTTTTATTTATTTACGCAAACTTAAAAATTGGTAGTATTGAGAGAAAGAATAATTATGTTTTATATATTAAGTTGATGAGTCGGTCTCTTAATAAAGAAAAGTTATTTATTATTATATCAGTAAAATCATCAGATTGTTGAAGAGCTGTGAAAAGATCTTTTTAGATTGAAAGTAAGGCAAGTGGCGATAAACGTTTATTTTTCATGGAATCTCTACTATAAGTTTTAATGCATTTCAAACATGAAAAATGTCTCTCAACCCAAGTACTTGTAAATGGTGTAGTAACATACAAAACAAACAATTTGAAAGCCTCTGGAAATATATTTCTCCTTAATCATTTTATGCCCGAAATTATCACATCTATTATTAATACCTGCAGTTTATTCATTAATTTATGTTGGTCAATAACATTTGTTGTTTGTTAAATCACACTGTTATAACAAGTTTGTTAAGATGTTAAATGCGTTGGAAATTTTTATAGGATTCTTTAAATTTCGGATCCGCAAGAGATAATAATAAATAGCCCGCCCCCCCCCCCTAAAATCTATAAATTGGGTTAAATATTAGGCTTTAGGGTTAAAAATGGCGCCCTAAAAAGCATATTCTACATTACTTTTCATTTGGCTCCCCCCTAAAATAAATTCCTGTATCCGCCCCTGCAGGTGCCTTTATACAAAAAAATCCAAATTTTCAAAAAAATCTTATCACCAGCTTACCATAAACGTCACGTGCCATGTGCCATGATCGTGAATCACCTTGTATAGCTGGCATAAGCTTCAGTGAGGTACAATAAATGCCAATACATAAGTTGAGATCAAGTTATCTTTAAATCATCTAATAGTCCAGGAGGCAATGAAGATTTTCGGTACTCATTTTTCCAGTCAGCAAACCCCGATAAAATAATTCCGTATTCCATTATGATTATTGTTTGTTCTCAGTAATTAATACTATGTAGTATCTAGAAAAAAATCGTGGATATTTGGGAAGGCTCAAAAGGAAACAAATATATTTTTTACGACGTTTCGCGACTTTATTGTCGCTTCTTCAGGCTCTATAATAGGAGAAGCACATTCTTTAATAAAAATGTGCTTCTCCTATAGAGCCTGAAGAAGCGGCAATAAAGTCGCGAAAAGTCGTAAAAACATATTTGTTTCCTTTTGAGCCTTCCCAAATACTAATGATGGGAAAAACCGATTAATTTCAATAATCGAGTACTCGAGTTTCAAGCAATTTCCATAATCGAGCCATCGCTCGAGTGAAATATCGCTTGTATTGATATAACAATACGGTTTTTCGCCCGTCGCTTGTTGTACTCGTAACGCCAAGCAGTGAGTTGCATGCGTAGAACACATATTCTTTCGGTGATGAATGGCAAGTAGCAAGCGACGAGCGATTCGCTTGATTTAGTTTATTTCACAGCATTGTCGATACGCAACGGATAACGCCGTATAAATTTGCTATCTGCAATGTATGTAGAAAATTCACTCGGCTTTTTATCGAATATGTCACATTAAAATTGGATTTCAATTTATTTCATTCTAGGATCGCTTGCGTTCGTCGCTCGTAACTCGTCACTTGCATCGCTCGTTCATAGTCGAACGATGTCGGTTATTTCAATAATCGAGTACTCGAGCGAATTTTCGCTCGAGTTATCCCATCACTACCAAATACTCATGATTTTTTTCTACATATTAATTAGAGTTTCCGGGATAGGAGCTGTTTTAAAGTCAATAAAGTCGCGAAACGTCGGAATTACATTGTCCTTGGACATATAAAAAAGTTCGTAAAAAAGATTCAGCATACAACAAATTTGTTGATTGAATTATACACTACCCTAAGGCGCGAATATAGCCACAGCCTGGCTCGTTACAATCGACAAATCAAAGTTTATTTTTTTACTCAAACTGAAGCTTACTGAAACAAAACTGACTTTCTAGTCGTGAAAACTGTGTTAATCCATTTTTTTTATTTCTGAATTTAGGTGCAGCCGGTGGTACCGTTCAAGTTCAGAAACACATCTACGTTCATGTAGCTCCCCCGGAACCTGAAGAGACTAGGCAAGCTGCAGCCATTCCAGCAGCACAATCCACAAAACACTACAAAATCATCTTTATCAAGGCACCATCTTACTCCACGTATCAACAACAGCTCTTACAACAACAAGCCCAAAGTGAAGAAAAGACCTTGGTTTACGTTTTAGTCAAAAAACCAGAAGATCAAACTGATATTACCATACCTACCGCCGCTCCAACTCAACCCAGCAAACCAGAGGTTTACTTTATCAAATACAAGGCTCGATCCGAAGCTGTTGGTGGTGCTGCTGCTGCAGGTACTGCTTCCGTAAGCGGTTCTACGGGTGCTGCTACTGGTGGTATTGCCATTGGAGGATCCTCAACGAGTTCAGCGACAAGACCAACTTACGGTGTCCCGGCGCAAAGTGGACCATATTAGTGAAATATTTTTTAGAATTTCATTTTGTTTCTTGAATATATAGTAAAGTTAGTTACAGTTGAGGGTTGGAACCTTTGGTGTTACACAGCAAAATAAAAACACTAAATCACCACAATACACCAAAACACTTTTACTTTTACACTGGACGCGCGTTTCGCTAACCATGTTAGCATCATCAGCAGATGATTATAAACTAGTTAGTTTATAATCATCTGCTGATGATGCTAACATGGTTAGCGAAACGCGCGTCCAGTGTAAAAGTAAAAGTGTTTTTGGTGTATTGTGGTGATTTAGTGTTTTTATTTTGCTAAAGTTAGTTTTTATTTATTATACAAACGTCGTGAGATGCAAATGACTTGTGACTGACTGTGAGTTAAAATCTACACTCAAAAAACTGGTATTAATTGTATATAAATCTGTTTATTTTAGCATAATTCTTATAATTTCTAAGTAAAATATTATATTTAGGTTTCAACTTAGCTGCTTAACTATGTGCAGAAATACGGTGACAAATAAATTATTTTTGTATATTTGTAATATTTTGTATTTTATAATTAAATGTTGGACAAAAATTTAAATATCCCTACAACCAGAGCTGCAGCAAGTCATTTTCAAAAAGACCTAAATCATTTATTTTTTTTTTAAGTTTAAAGTCTACTAAAACCAAAATGATTTAAATCTTAAGTCTGACTTAAATCTATTTTTTAAGTCAAGTCATTTTCGTAAAGAATTAAATCAATATATGTAATTTAAGCCGTTTTTATGACTCATAAGTCTATATTTTTTATACGGAGACCCGTGACCTTCACAGTCGAGGGGCTACGACCCAGGCCGGGTAGACGAAACGGTAGCTTGTGTCGCCTGTTGGGTTTCGAGGTAGGAGGTAGGCTCCCGACCCTTGGAGGAGGTGGTAACTTGTATGCCACTTGCGGAGGATGGTCTCACGCAAGTGTCAGCCACCTCTCCTGTAGTTCTCTTGGGTAGTTCTCTTGAGGTTTGGTCCCTTGAACTCCTCATTGTTACTGTTCCCAGTGTTGTTAGGGGTTTCCCCACAGCTTCACCGGTGATGTTTATATTACTATTATTATCAGATCTCATAGTGTTCCTATGAGTCGCTAGGGACAGTCGGTCCACTTCTACAGAGCCCCGCATGTAGAAGTAAGGGGTAAAATACAATGGGGTGCCCCCAGGTGCCCCAAGGTTGAGGCTGTCCGTAGCCCCGCCCGGTATCGTTATATGTCTTGGTGCAATTCCCTGGCCACGACACTACAGTCAGGGACAAGACGATGAGTGAGATGCTTGTTAGACCAAGACAAATGCTAGAGGGGATTCCCCCCAGCACCTAAACAGGAGCTTCCCCACCAACGACAAGGTCTTAAGTGGTGGGTTCATACAGCCAAAATAAAATAAAATAAGAATAAAATAAAATAAGAAATAAGGGGAAATTTTATTTGTAAAAAGTACATACAGTCAAATAAAATAAAATAAGAAATATATATTTGCTCATGCGCAGTACGATGAGGCTGGATAAAAGTTAACTTTTACGATTGTTTATAGTAATTTTACTATTTATAGTATATTTATTTGGTAAAGGTGTGGATCCGGTGGCTGACCTTGAAGCCCATATTTGCTGCATTTGATCATCGATACTACGCAAGCGCACATCGTCGATGTTGCCAAATTGCAGTTTATTTTCGAATTCTTTGCAGTTCAAAATTATTTTTTTTTGAGTGTGAATCAGTAATAATACAAATTCTATAATTAACTTTATAATTTGAGACTTATCTTGATATCCAAAATTAAGGTAAGAAGGAAAATGAAGATTGTGAAATGAAAGTATTATGAGTATATAAAATTGTAATAATAATAACGTATGTATTTATATATTTACATTAGAATTAAAAATTATCATTTACGGATTTTTTCTTAATGGTTTTAAACTTATTAGAATTATTTTGTATCATCAATATGACACATCATTTATTACATCCAAGTTGTTTAATTTCTAGTTATTTACAGGCAACAATAGTTTTGGTTATATGTATTAAAGTACTACCATGACGAGTCTTATAGAACAATACACGTCAATGGGAGATAGAGGTAACATTTTACCTACTTTGATTATAATGTTTGTATCATAGTTTCTTAAAAATATCAAGTTAGTAGATTAATAGCAATTTTAGACAAATATTTTATCGAAAGGTGTGTTGATAAGACTAAAATAAGCTTTATGTTTTATCTTTTTCTCTTTAGAAGGGAGATGGTTTGTGTCGTAGAATACATTACAGTATTTAATATCGTGTACTTTGATATTCTTTTCTTAATTTACTGTAATTGTTTCCTAAAATGCCAAATCTTGACAATATGGTGAAGGTTGAGTTTTAATCTTATTAGTTTTATACCTATGTTTATACAAGACTACAAGACCAAATTAAGACTTAGTTAGTTTGTGATTTATATTAAGATCTTTCTTATAATATTTGTTATGTCTTAATCTTAATACTATATCATGCTTTGTCTGAAAAATAAATGTTAAAATATCTTAATTTTGTATATCCTATTCCATCCTTCCATTAGGAAAAATATGGTTTATAAATCATATATGCTAAGAAAATCACATACATTAGGTGTAAGAATAGATTGCTACCGAAGGTAGCAGAGAATTAATACAATATATGTATAGCAGAATTAAACAAGGTAACTGTTAATGTTGCTGAAGCTGATTCTACAATTTTAATTACGGAGGCTAAAAGGCCTTTTAAAGCCTCCGTAGTTTTGATGGAATGTTAAAAAAATCTGTTATAAACATGACATGAAGCTACAGCATTTAAAAATTTAAAAAAAAAGAAAAAACTTGGACACATCCGAATTTTTAATGAAGCACTTTTTAAACGTAGCATAATAATCTAGAGCAATTAGATTAATTATGGGAATCTAGAGTTTTATTTCTATTTATTTTTATTACTATGAATATACATAATAAGCGTTCACGTGTTGTGCGAAATATTAAAATAATAATATAAATATATACCGCGTACTATGATTGAAAAAAAATAGCGTCAGCGATGACTATGAAATAAAGATCGCTGTCATTTTATATGGGAAATGTCCTCAATCGTCAATTCCCAGCCAACTGGACGCCGTTTTTTCGATCATACGGTATATATTGACAAAAAAACACTGAAAAGCACATATTTGTTTTCTACTGAAAATAATTCCAAAATAACTTGCAATCTGGCAACATCGAAGATGTGCGCCTGCGTAGTGTCTGTGACTATATGCAGCAAAAACTCGTTTCAAGGTCAGCCACCGGATCCACACCATTACCTTAATATATATTGATATTATGAATAATGTATTGATATAATATGTATTGATATTATGAATAATTTTCCTTTATATGAGGTGGAATAGAGATAATATGATGTAAATATTATATTTAAAGCCATATTTCTTCTGTTGTCTTAAATACATTATGTGTTTTAGAGCTTCAACTTATTATAACCTCACCTCAAACCTTTGATATTTGAAAGTTACATACATAGATTACATAAACTACACCCTCTACATAAACTACATGTAATGTAGTTTATGTAGTTTTTAAAAGTAACATGTAGTTTTCCGAATCCTGCACTTCTGCAAACATCGACGACTCAACATCGATGTTTTTGTAACATCGATAAACATGGCACGGCCCTATTTATTGTCAATTGAACTAATAAAGTCGGCTAAATGTCAGATAACCTTAATAAATTCATTCAGCCAGCGTCGTTTTCTTCAAATCCGAAAATTTTATTTAATTTTTCGATTTAATGGTAAATTGTACTATCTATCTGTAATTAGTTATATTCTTGTTTATATATTTCATCAACGAATTTTATTTACTTCGCATATTTTCATTCTATGAATGAATACACAATCATCTTCATGATTGGGATATGGACATTCTAAAGGAAAATTAAAAAAGGGCTATTTACTTGTTTATTTTATTTAATTTATGATGGAAAATCCTCGGCCAAAATGTTTTGTACCAAACTGTTATAATGAAGTTGGTGTATTATTTCCCAAAAATCAAGTAATGAAGAAAAAATGGTTGAATTCTTTAAACATTGGATATATGAAGCCATCTTCAACCAGTTTTATATGTTTAGAGCATTTTGATGATAATGGTACTTAATATCTTATTTAAACTTGTTTGTGTTAAAGCGTAATGTATATTTTAGGCTCTTCAGGCACTTTACCCCATGTTATTAAATCTATAAAAAAGAATGGAGAATCCAAGGAAATTACTAAAAATGTCAATACTATGAAAGAACCTAAAGTCACTAAAGAAGATAGCACAATATGTAACCAGAATGATACTGAGAGTCAAGGGTCAGAAATTACTCCAAAAGATATTGTGCATAAACAAAAAAATATATCTAAAGGTGGTATTATTAGTATTACGATTGTTATTACTATTATTAGGTATTAATTTTATTATAATGTATAAGCTTTGGTATAAACAGTAGCGGTTCTAGAGGTTATAAAACCAGTGCTGCGCTACCAGGATTGTTGAGTAATCATTGTGCTTTGTACTAATGAATGATTAATTAAGTATATTTACTTGCAGTTAACATTAATTTTTAAAGATGTATATTACACAGGAAAGTATTATAAGTGGCAAAGCTAAAATTTGACCAAAGTTATATATATTAATTGCTTTAAAATTACCATTGTTGACAGTCCCGGTAGCGCAGCACTAGTTTCATAACCATCACTGTGTATGAGTAACTAAAAAAGAAAATTCTCTAAGTATAAAATATATTGTAGATAATGAAGTTTTTGACTCAATCTGTCGATTATGTATGGCTCAATCAAGTAAGGAAATGGAAAATATATATAGTAAAATTGACAAACACCATAGTATCGCTGAAGCAATTATCACTTGTCTTTACCCCCTTAAAGTGAGTAAAATGTTTAATGTGCATGTATCCTTTATCCAATATGAATTTACAATTTCTTATATTTTTAAAAAGGCTTTTAAAAACCTTTAATATTTACTAAAAATACATCTAACCTAGGTATCCCCTAAAGATAAGTTATCCCAAAACATATGTACAAAATGCTTAGAAATTTTAAAAGAGTTCTATGAGTTTCATCAATTTTGTATTGGTATGGATGAGAAACAGCGTGAATTGATATCAATGGACTATGAAGATGATTTCAGTGATAACTCTGAAGATTCATTTCTTGTGGAATCATTAGAAGATTATGTGGAAAAAACTGTTAAACAACAATCCCCTCAAAAATCTGATATTGACAAAAAATTTGAGAAAGTTGAAGAATTATTGAAAGTAAGTAATAATAGGAATTCTGTGATTCTATGTTAATTATGACAGGTTTTAGAAGGTGATAAGAGTAGTAATAAGATTGAGAAGAAAAATGATGATAATCTCTATACTGAAAATATTGTTATTGGTAAAGATAAATTATTTTATTTGAAGAAAATTGTTAATATGCATTATATTTCAGAAATGGTTAATGATGAGAATGATGAACCTCCTTCGCAAGTAGAAACTTTAGTAAATAACTTGCCTATAACTATAAAGACTATCTATCCCAATCTGCTAGGGAGGAAACCAGTCAAGAGAAAACTTGAAGATGTCAATAACTCTAATATTACAATGATAAAAACCGGAAAGGATTCAAATGAAGTTGTAGTTCTACCAAGTGGGATTAAAGTACAGATATACTTTGAAATAAAAATGAAATATTTTTAATTTATCGATAATTTTTAGGTAAAGCAAAAGTATTGTTCCCCTGTTGGAGTATTTGCTTGCAAAATTGTGAAATACTATTTCAATTTAGAATATGTCAAAGCAGCTGAATGTTTATACAGTACTAGATTGACAAAGCAAAATTTTAGGTAAAGGGTGATACATAACATTAAGATCATATATATATACTTATTATTATAATAAAATTATATAAGGATTCTTGCCACTTAACTGCTTATATAGAAATTTAATTCTACACTGTATTTGTCATAATGTGGATCAACCTGCTCTCACTGCCGGTTTCGGAGCCCTACTCCATCATCAGGTGAGCTTGGGCAAATCCACAAAATGACAACCACAGCGCAGAGATAGTTAATTCCGACTTGTCGGAAAGTGTCGGTTAGATATTAAGTCCTGAACGGGAGATAGCGGCCCGCGTGCGTTTTGTTATTATTATTATTAATGGTAGTACTTTCGTACCACCGGGGCGCAACTATCGATAGTAAAAGGATGGTAAAAGGTTTTTTTTTCAGGCAAGCCAAATTATTAAATAGAAAACAAATTTCTTGCAGTATAGGTATAGAATAAAATTATATAAGGATTCTTGCAACTTAACTGCTTATATAGAAATTTAATTCTACGCTGTGTTTGTCATAATGTGGATCAATCTGCTCTCACTACCAGTTTCGGATTCGGAGAATTAAATTTCTATATAAGCAGTTAAGTTATATAGCAGTAAAGTTTTGCTTTTTATTCAAAATCTGAGCGAGATAGGTATAGGAAACCCTAATATAGTTTGAAAAAGCATTTGAATCAGCTTCGATATATTATAAAAAATACAGGGTGTTGTATTTGAAATAACGAAGATTTTATGTAAAATAAATCCTTAAAATAGATCAACAATTTTTGATACCCCTGTATAAATTTAAGGAAGCAATAACATTTTGCAGTAAAGTTTATTCCTCTACCTTTAAATTTAGCACAAGAATTAATTCTGGAAAGTAATGTACAGGGTGTTAATAATCTATTATTTGGTAGCATGCAAATTTAAATATCATTGAATATCTCAAAAAACAAAGATTTTAAACATATTTAACCCTTATAATAAATGCCATTTTTTGAACCCAGGAATCCAAAAATGAAATAAAATACCGGGTGTGTTCCACAAGAAACAATATAACTTTGGTATGGATCTTAGTTCTGAAACACCCTGTATATTTCAAAATAATTTTAAATTGTGGACATTGCCTCCCCACATATACCCATAAAATATTTTGGTTCTACATCTTTCCGTTTTCGTATAATCAACCGAGGAGAATGAGGTGCGCCACCCTGTATATACTTTTTGTACTGATTCATAATTTTGGACCCATTTAATGATAAAATCTGTTTTAGATATTTACATTGTATAGCACTAAAATGTCCTGGTGAAGCCATACAAAGAAAAGATTCAAGTGGATCTGTTTATAAAAAAGAGGTTGAAGTGATTGTTGCTCATAATCATCCTGCGCCAGATCCATTAGAAAGAAAGAAACAAATTTGTTATAGTATTATCTACAAAAAAATGCGAACTGATAAAAACTTTAACTACAAAGTAGCATATGAGCAGATAACTAAAGTGTAAAACCAAAAAGTTTGCTTAATTTATAGAACATACATAACTCTTTATTTTTTTAGAGATCCTTCTATAAGAGATACAATACCTCTACGTAAAATAATGTGTGATCTTTGTACCCCACACCCTGAGACCGAATTACCAAGATTGAAGTCATTTGACGATTTTTTTAGTACCATAGAAAATAGTATTTACAAAAAAGTTCATTTTACACTAAATGAAAACCAGTTCTATCAAGTGAGTTTTATTTTTTTTTTTATTTTATAAGTAGCACATTTCTATTTTTTATAGGAAAAGTTCGAGAGTGGAGATGGTGCAAAAGGAGTTGTATTTGCTAATTCCGAAGTTGTCAATCGATATTCAGACAGCAAAATAATGTTTGTTGATGCATCATTTTATATAGAAACTGATGCTTTTTTCTATCAAGTTCTCACAGTTCTTGTATGGGTGTATGACAGTGTAAGTCAAAAAATAATAATTATTTAAAAAGGAAATTAAACACGACTCTTTAATTAACAATCTGTTTATTAATTACTAATTTCGGAGAAATCTACTCTTCATCTTTAGACACAAACAGGTAAAAGCAAAATAAATCATTAGGTAAAATTATAAAAAAAATGACAACAAATATATGGGTATACAACCGGTCATATAATAGTCTAAAAGCCAGTGGCAGGCAACTTATATGTAATTTATAAAACCTGGAATTTTGTCCCCCAGTGAATTTCTCATACCTGCCAACCATGAAATTGAGTCTCGCTAAGCCCAGCTAGGTGGAACGTTGAGTTACTTAGGTGCGCCAGATGTCCAAATTTTACCAACTTTAAAAGTATTTTATAAAAGCTACCGTTTATAAATGTTACAATACATAACCATTATTATATAAAAAAACAATGGCAGAAGATTATCGCGCTTCCAAGGTCATGGGAGACGTTTTTGTAAGTAACAAAAATTATCTAATAGTATAGTAAGTATTTTATTAAATCTGATTTTTATACAGTTTCATACAATATGCTCATTCGACACGGAGTATTATTAATAATATCACAGATCACAGATTATAAACTTATCGTCAAAAGCATTGTTTTTCGTGGTTCCAATTTTCGGAGTCGCGCACTAGTTAGGTTACTAGTTCGCGCACATAGCACGCCCTCTTATGGCTTTTTACTCGTTTGCTCATCGTCATAAAAACCAATTTTCGTACCACGAATTAGGGACAAGATTTTTATCTGTATACTTATAGTATAGGTACCTAAACTGTGATAATATATTACATCTTTAAAAATAATCTAAAATGTCAATATTCCAAAATGCATTTTCTAGGAAAACTGGAAGAGATAAAAAAACTGGGGTAAAAACGGTATAAGACAATTTGATACACAATTAAATTGTGCATCTTACTCAAGGACTGTATATATTCTAAAGGACTGTTCGATCGCGTCAAATCGCCGCTGTCGTAGTCGCCGTGGAATGCTACGTCACGCGCTGACCAGCGCTCCACAGGGCGCCGGATGGTTATTCTAGCGCGACAAAATCTCAAGAGCAATGTTTGGGACTTAAAATCTAAGAACGTAGCAAATAGTCTAATATATAGCAACTATATGGTTAAATTTATTTATTTATTAACAACTTAATTTATTAATAAATAAATACAAGATAATAAAACTATGATATTATTCGTACATGACACACAAAAACCGTATTGTAAACTATTGCCAAATACATAAAATTATGATATCAAAAAACTCTTTAGCAGTTTTTTTTTAAATTAATTTGTAATCTTGTGACACCCTCTATAATTTATTTTAAAAAATATATTTTATTTTGAAAATAATAAATAAGATAGATATTTTAATTTTAATTTTAACACTCGGTAATTGTAAATTCATATAAGTATCTAAGACAATTTTTTAAACTCAGTGCCTTTTGATGGAGGTGTTTTGTTTTTATACTATCCGATTGAAATTAATCTTTTTGGGCATTCACCTGTTAAGCTTGAACTCCCTGTATTGGTAACTATTGGTAACTCAAAAGATCTACATCATTCAATATATCGATATTTGAAAAAAAAGTGAAAGTTTTATATCTGCAGAACAAAGGCACGAAAGATTTTAATAAATAATATGCATTAGAAAAATATAATATAATATACATTAAACTAGAAAAGTACATACCTTTGGCAATCTTCAACATAATTTGGCTTTCTAATAAAAGCACTTGACACTATAAGCACTTGTAAATATTTTGTTTTCGTATGATCTCTGTCTTGCTGAGCAGAAAACGACCAAATTTGGTTGATAAAAATGTATCGAAATACAAAGAATATTCATGCATTTTTGTATCAATTGGAATGTCTACTATTTATTCTTATCAGTACACATTTTTTGGCTTATTTCTAACCAAACGCTTTTGTGCAAATAATAACGGTCACTGTCTAAAATCTTTAGCGCCAACTTCAACTCGGTCAGTAGATGACGTAAAAAAACTGACAGTGCAGGAAGATAGGTATCGAACTATCCGTATCTCTATATAGTATCCTTGCATCTTACTCACATAAAATATACGATGTGTTCCATTTAAATTAAACAAGTTATTGCCGTTTAAACCTAGTAATTATTTTACATAAATTATTAAACACTCTGCATCAGGTAATGTTATTTTTATTATTGCAACACAAAATGTAGTAAATAGAAAAACTTCAGTACAATATTTGGTTTAAAAAACTTAAATACACTTAGAGAAATGAAGCATTAAAATTGTTACTGCATTTTTATATAGTTTCCATAATAGGCCAGTAAGCGAGGATAAATATAGACTTTATTTTAGACTATAGATTGACGTGAAATTTTAACAGTTAATAGAGATTTATGTAAGAAATAACAATTACTTAGTAGCGATATGTGCTTTCACCCTGGGGGTGAGTTCCCTTCTCGGGGGTGAAAAATAAATCACCAATTTTAATTGCAAAAATCAGTAAAGAACTGAATTCTAAGTAAAAAATATTCTATAACATTTTTTCAGAAAATTATTATTTTCCGAGTTATTTAAGATTGAATATGTTGATTTTTCATCTAAAAACTATATATTTTTCTGCCATTTTTTATAAATAACTCGAAAACCTTGCGTTTTATCGCAAAACTCATGTAACGCAAAAATGAAGCCTTTGGAATAACGAATCGACTCATTTATCGTTAATTCCGTAGGTATAATAATAGCCGAGTCATCACTCTCTAAAGGTAATTTTTTATTTTTCGAAAACAAAATTGCAACATTTTTTAATTAAAATACCGTTAAATAATGGCTAAAGAACACATTTTTCGAAGAAAATGAATATGACCGTTTTTAAAGTGGTTGAGAAAAGACTTTTTCAAAGGTCTGTTCAAGTTCGTAGCTCAAAAACTCGCGGGAGTTATGATAAAAAAAAATTGGCGCCGGGAGGCACGTATAGCCGCCCATACTAAAATATGTTAATAAAAAGTTGGTAGGCAGTTCTTTTAGTTTCAATTATCTCAAAAACTGCGACTTTGACTGATTTTGATGTTATTACAAATTTTGTTGCAAATATTATTCCTAATCTTAAATTGAAAACTACGTTTCGCTAGATACTGTAATTTTGGAGTTACGATTTTTTAAAAATTTTAAGCCCCTCCCATACATAAATATTAGCCATAAAAAATCTATGGCTAAAATCATAAAAATAAAAACTATCAGGTTGTAGGAAATTACACGAGCTACAAATAAACCTTTATAGCTGAACAGTCTTGAATTCTTCATTTTTACGAAATTTTTGGGTTTTAAGGGCTCAAAGAAGTAGGTTCTTACACGCAAGTCAAACTAAGAAAACGTAATATCTACGAAATTAAGAGATCTACAGAAAATTGAAAGAGAGCAAATGTCAAAAAAATTAAATTTTTTTAAAAAATTATTTTTTTTTTCATTATTTTCAACTTTTTTACAAATTTAGGCATTCTAAACCGCTCGAACTTGAAGAGACCATTGTTAGTACCTAAATATAGCCAACTGTACATGTATTACGAATAGTTTTTATTTTTATGATTTTAGTCATAGATTTTGTTGTTAATTTTTTTACAAAAAAATGAGGGGACCATTTTATTTTTATCATAACTCCGCGAGTTTTTGAGCTACGACTTTTTTTACAAAGTTTTTGAAATACTGAAGAAAAAAAAAGAATTAAAAGCTATTTTCAAGCACTTTGAAAACGGTCATTTTCTCCGAAAAATGTGTTCTTTCGCCATTATTTTACGGTAAAATGTTGCAATTTAGTTTTCGAAAAATAAAAAATCACTTACAGAGTGATAACTCGGCTATTATTACACCTACGGTAAACAACAAAAAACGAAACGTTTAGTTATTCCAAAAGCTTCATATTTTCTTTATATGAGTTTTGCGATAAAACGTAATTTGCGATAATCGTAAGGTTTTCGAGTTAATTATAAAAAATAGCAGAAAAATGCAGTTTTTAGATGAAAAATCGACATTTTCAATCCTAAATAACTCGGAAAATATTATTTTTAAGAAAAAATGTTATAGAACAGTTTTTGCTTACATATTTCATCCCTTTATTGATTTTTGTAATTAAAATGGGTGATTTATTTTTTACCCCCGAGAAGGGGTGGGACTCACCCCCAGGGTGAAAGCACACATCGCTACTATGTAACTTTTGTTTCTTACATATATCTATTCACTGTTAAAATTTCACGTCAATCAGTGTAGGTGTTCAGAATTCGGACCCTAAAACCCTCGCTTACTGGCCTATAAAGGCTTTTCGAAATTCCGGACAAATGAACTCAGAAATCCGGACAAATGAGCTCTGAAATCCGGACGTCACACAAAAGAAACTATAAATTTATTTATGAACTTTTATAAGACGCAAATAATAGCCCTGGAATCAACAAAAAAATATTAACCAAAAAACATTCACTTTCCAGGAGTGCACCAAAAACGAGAGATTTGAGCGCCGAAGTATAAGTGGGTACTTTCGAACATGCGTCGGTTAAGTAGAGCGGTAGCATCGTAGCATAAGTAGTTAAAGTGATGTTTTCGCAAAAAGATCTGAAGTCAGACCGCTTTGCCCTTCTAATCTCCTTATTATACTCAGTTAATTTCTTGGTGTAGAGCTGCCATTCGCCGCTGGGTTTGGCTCTGTTGAATAGTCGTCGGATCTCCGATCTAAGATTGGCCAACTTCTTGTTCCACCAGGGCTTGTTACTTTTTTGTATGTCTTTACTTGTGGGGCAACTAGATTTATCTGCATCCAATATTGCACACTGACTTCCCTTGCGTACCACTCTAGATATAGGTGGTTCCTAGCTCTACGTGCATCTATTTGGTTCAGATTGTCTACGAAATTGGTGTGGTATAGTTCCCAATCTGTTCTTCTTGGATTTCTTCGAATTTCTGTCTGGAGTATGATTTCCCCTAATTTGAACTTGACGATTCTGTGATCTGATAGGCAAGGTTCCGTTGAGAATCTCTAATCTTTTACGTAACTATCACTCTCGATTGTTAAATCTAATTCTAAACAACGTCCGTCCGCTTTTTTGTCACAAACATGGGGGTGTTCCCTATATTGAGAATTTCAAGATTGTATGCTAAGAGGAATTCAAGTAAACACTCACCTCTAGTATTAGTATTAGTGCTTCCCCATACCTCATTGTGCGTATTGGAGTCACAACCCAATAGCAGAGGTAGTCGCCGTTGGCTGCAGAATCGCGCAAGCTCCTGTACTTCCGGAGGCAGGTGTTCCTGTACTTGCAGAGACAATCACGATATTTTTTCTACAATCCTCGATATTAAGTTGAACCATGATTGGAACAAAATCTCGGGTTGAAAATTCTGATTCGGGTTGTAACAAAACAAAACACATGTGTAGTTAATGTTGTTTAAGTATACATGCAGGTTTCTGGGGTATGTAAGGATTCCCCTGTTGTAGGGGGGACAGGTTATTTTCCATTCCCCCCTTGACAACAGATATTCCTTCTCTGAGGAGGTCAACTTCCTCCGAGTATCCTTCACAGTCGAGGAACTTGTCTCCAACTGAGGTACCTGTAAGGTGGAGGCTAGAGTATTTATCTCCATTTTCTCCCCCTATTTAGCTTGGTCTCTCCTTGAGCCTGATACCGGTATTATCCTGAATCTATAATAGAGGATATATCCCTCTTTTTCTATTGCCTCCTTGGATTTGAGGTCAATTCCTATTGTGAAGACCTGACCATGGTCCTTGTCCTGCTCCCTCGAGTTGAGGACTCGCCATCTCGATGTACATACATTCTCGTTCTGAGCCTGGATAAGGTTTAGCAGGTAGGTGGTGTCTTTCCCCTTGCTTCTCGGCAGAAAGACCGTGACAATTATTATCCTTTCATTGCAACCAGTCCCGGCCCCTGTCAGTTTTTAAGCTTAGGTGCCGTTTCCACCAACCAATCCGCCGATTCTTGAGATGCACAATCTATGAGAATCATGTCCATCCAAAGGTGTATCCCCGCCAAGCGCAGCTGGCCCACACTTTGTGGATCGTTGCGTCGCAATCCGCTCACTACTACTTCGTCCAACCTCGCCTCTTCTAGAGCCGTTTGCTGGTCGGTGGTCAGTACAACCTCCGGATAATCCTGTGGCAGCACCGTAATTTTCACTTGTCCAGCAATAGCGGCATAGCTAGTGATACGTCCCTGCTTGCTTCTCGTTGTCAGACGGCTTTCCATCCTTGCCGGAGCAAAGGTTTTCACTCCCTCTCTTGCCCTTTGTGGAGATGCGCCGGTTGTTTCTTGGTTCCTTTTTCGATGAGTATTTTCGCTTTTGCTTTCTCCGGAGCATGTCTTACGTGGAGCAGGCGGGAGTATATCCGTGCTTCTGCTCCGCTAAGAGCTACTCTCAGCGTCTAGTCCGCCTGGTTGACTCAGGCCCGGTAGAAGAAACGGTAGCTTGTGTCACTTGTTGGGTCTAGAGGTAGACTCCCGACCCTTACTAGAGAAAGTGGTAGCTTGTGTCCCACCTGTGGAGGCTGGCCTCGCACAAGAGCCCCGCATGTAGAAGTAAGAGGTAAATATAATGAGGTGCCCCCCGGTGCCCCAAGGTTGAGACCAGTAGAGACTAGTCTTCTATCTAGCCACGCATCCCTTTGACCTGGTCCCGCCATCGTGGGATTTAGGTTTTTGGTGAGGTTGTCTCCTCTTGGTCCGGGCGGTTAAGCCAAGACCCCCCCCCACATCCTCTATCCTTGAGACTTGACCACAGACAGTAGAGGGTGCCTGGTATGACGGACAGGGTAGCCCCATAGCGTTAAAAATTAAAAGATAGCGCCGTCCGGTATCGTTATATATCTTGGTGCAATTCCCTGGCGACACTGCAGCCAGGGACAAGACAATGAGTGAGATACTTCATAGACCAAACCAAAGTGCTAGATGGGATTCCCCTCAGCACCTGACCAGGAGCTTTCCCACCAACGACAAGGTCTTGCATCTCCTAGGGGAAGAGGCATATATCATAGGATTTAACACCTTATTGCCTGCAGAGTTTATACATTTTGTAGGGACCAGTTAGACCTATAATATTGTAAAATCCTAAAATTAAGAAATTGGCGCTTATCAAGTTTTTCCCTTGGACTCTTCATTATGTTGATTGATAACCGAGATACGAGAAGGGTTCCAAAATGACAATTTTGATTACGCGACCGTAAGTTCACGAAAAAGTAGCTAACGTTCGTAAAAACCGCAATGCATTATCTTCAGCAATAACTGGTATAATATGACAAGGCTATTCGCACAATGTACAACTGCAAGGCATTTACATTTGTTTGTTTTATAATAATTGTTTTAACTAGTACTCTTTTGACTTAGTGTATGCCTCGTATTTGTTGGGCTGTTTTATTATCTTACTTAATGAATTATATGTTTTTATGTTTTGTGTCACACAGATTGTAAAATAAGAACTCTTTTTTAATTTTCTCTCATGTAATTATTAACACAATATCTCTTTATTTAAAAATGCATATTTTATATATAACTAATAAAAATACATGTTTTCCAGTATTATCCTATAGTATTTGCCATTGTCAATGCAAAATCCCAAGAACTATACAAATTCATATTCGACTTCATATACAACAGCTTAGCCCCAAAATTAAGGCCTTCAGAAATCATTACCGATTATGAATGTAATCTCTATTATGCTTTAGGTGAAATATACTTGGATTCAAGCATAGGTAAATGAATATTAACAGGATAGTCCGATTACAGTTGGTGGTTGGAACTTTTGGGTTTATAACAGCGAAATAAAACACTAATTCACCACAATACGCCAAAACACTTTACTAACACTGAACGCGCGTTTCTCTAATCATTTTAGCATCATCAACAGATAATTAAAACTAAAAACCAAGCGTCCAATTTTAAAAGTAAAGTGTTTTGGTGTATTGGGGTGAATTATTAGTGTTTTATTTTGCAGGAGAGTCCGATTTTAACTAAACATAAAATGTCAAACGTTAATACGTTGAATATATGTCGGCTCTATTAAATTATATTAGGGAGTAATCGCAGGTAGCTGACATATTCGAAAAATGTGGTTCAAGTTCGACCTACATTATACTTTGAATTTAATGCAGTTTTGCAACGGGTATTTTTTTATTGCTGAATTTATTTTTTGTTTCTTGCTTCCTGGCGTTACTTGCTCGCCTTTCATTAAGCTATGAACAAGAGAATGTTTGTTTTTCCTTATTACGCCAGATCTTCGACCGACAAAAGATGGCAACCACCCGTATCACAGAACCATCTCGATACCTTATTGCAAACGTGCTTCCACAAGTACTCAAAAATATTCCAAATTCATTTGATATTTACACGGTCCAATCTTCTCAAGCAAATACAAAAATATAATTGTCACTTGCGTTTGTTCTACCATTTTCCAAAACGATTGATGTTGGACTTAGACTTGAATCTTCCCTAATTCCTATTGCGGTGTTAATACAGGAGTGTTACTGTAACAATACTGCAACACTAAACATTTACTATCAAGTTTATGTTTGAAGCTAAGTAACAGTTTCAAATTGCTAATGATTGTGGCGTAAAGTCGGTACAAAAGGTACACCAAATAACCAACGACTAAAGAATACAAGGACTCGTAACGCGCATTACGGGCTGAAGCAAAATTTGTGATGTTAGACGCCATTTTTTGGAGATATCAGATGTGGCACTAGCGACAATTTTAACGATTATTAATAGTTTGTTGTATGTAGTGATCTTTGTCTAAACCAGGTCTAAACTTTATTGCAATGGTGATTTGGTCAGCTTTCAAGTGTAAAAGTCGCAACGATAAGAAAGAGCCAGGAATTATATTTAAAACAGTTAATTTTCTGCACTCAACCATTTTAGCGTTTTCTTATTGAATTTCATAATTATTTTTTGATATTATATTATAATATGTCTAACTAAATAAGTCTATAAGTGTAACACTAAGCAATAAATTAAATTTTGTAACCGTCCGAATAGGTCTTCCAGAACCGGAGCTGTTTTTCGGAACCGGGAATTTCGGTACCGCGCCTCTTAGGATCCAGGATTTTCCGTTTTTTTTTTTGATACTGACTAATTTTTGTTCAATGGTGGTGCAGTTCATCAACCAGAAAGCAAGGGATGGTTTTTCAAATTAAAATGGATAAAAAATTGAGATTTTTAATGAAAATAATATCAAATTATTAAGTAATCAGTCATGAAAAAAGTAACATGAACACAAGTAAAAAAAAGTATAGGTAATAATGTTACATTATTATCTTATACTTTCTTAGCAACATTAAATTTCACATCAAACAACATAAACCAACTGAACTGAATTTGAGACAAAAGTCCTAAAATATTGAATTAAAAATGCAAATATATATTAAAACATAACATAATAAATATTATAAGAACTTCAAAAGAGAAAAGGAGCAAGAACAATAAGAAATAGCATCATTACTTATTTAGAAGAATTTGATTTCGACCGCTAGGAAGTATCAAAGGACTTTCTCACGTAATAAAAAAATAATTGTTTAGTTATTGTTACCGAGGCCCGGTTCTGTGATGACCAAAAAGATCTGAACCCTAATTGGTAGTATTAATTAGAGTTTCCAGAATCGTACTAAAATATTTTCGTTTAACGATTGTGGAGTTCATCAATTAGCAAGCAAGGGATGATTCTCAAAATTAAAACCGATAAAAAATTCAGTTCCAAATAAAAATAATATGAAATTATTATTAAGTCATGAGAAAGTTAACATGAACACAAGCGAAAAACAAAGAAAACACATAGGTAGCTTAAAAATTACATCAAACAACATCAACCAACCTCGAAATCAACTTAACTAAATTGGAAAAAAATAACATTTTCAATTAAAGATGCAAATGCCTATAATAAAATAACTAATACATTCAGCATTATACTAAATAATAAAATAACATATTCAAATTTCAATAATTGCTAATAAACATTATAGAAACTTCAAAATAACTTCAGAAGTAAGAACAGTAAGAGATAGCATCACTACTATTTAGAAGTAACTATTTAGAAGAGTTTGATTTCGACCGCTAGAAAGTAGCAAAAGTCTTTCGCACGTAACAAAAAATATGTTTTTAATTATTATTACCGAGTCACAAAAGGCCCGAAAAAACGGGAATTCCCGGTACTTTCGGTACCGGGATTTCCCGGTTCTGAACCCTACGTCCGAAAATAAAATATTTGTGAAAAATTAAAAGTAGGTAGGTTAACTGAAAGCATTTTATAAAAATATATAGAATTATACAGGGTATCCCCAAAAAAAGTTAAACACATCAAAGTTGTGTTTTTTCTAATGGAACACCCTATATATGAATTGATTTTCGGATTCTAGGAAAAAAATAAAGGTGAGTTTTATTATAGAAACATATACCAAAAATCTAAGGATTTTGACATATTATTTCACATTTTGTGAAAATGAAGAGTAAATTTTAAATGTCGATAACAGCTACCTAAATTTTAGTTCACCTTACAGTAACCATTGTATGTTAAACCAAATTGAAATTTGACCCGAAAAGTTATACATGGTGAGACAAAATTAATATAGAATATTAGTCACTTTTAAAAGCAACTTACTCCTTTATTTTAAATGGAACATCCACTATATTTTTCCGGTGTTCAGTGGGGAATTTATATATCTTCAAAATATTATTAAGGTTGCCTACCCCTCAAACAAAGATTTTCCTAGATATTTTAATTTTTATGATTTTACGTCAGTAGATCTTTATTATCTGAAAAAATCTAGGTGGCTGTGTGACATACTTTTTGTTAACTTAACAAAAATTAAAGATTGTAGAGTAAAATACTCAACGGTAATAAAAAGATATACTAAATAATAAAATAACATATTCAAATTTCAATAATTGCTAATAAACATTATAGAAACTTCAAAATAACTTCAGAAGTAAGAACAGTAAGAGATAGCATCACTACTATTTAGAAGTAACTATTTAGAAGAGTTTGATTTCGACCGCTAGAAAGTAGCAAAAGTCTTAACGCACGTAACAAAAAATATGTTTTTAATTATTATTACCGAGTCACAAAAGGCCCGAAAAAACGGGAATTCCCGGTACTTTCGGTACCGGGATTTCCCGGTTCTGAACCCTACGTCCGAAAATAAAATATTTGTGAAAAATTAAAATTCCAATTTTTATTCAGTTCTGCATTTTTTATATACAGGGTGGTCCGAACTGTATTCCGGAAACTTCGGGAGCATATTCTGCAGATAAAAAGAAGTAAAAAACTTCTTATAAATGTATGTCCTAAAATGCTTAGTTTCGAAGATACAGGGTGTAGAAATTTCATTTTTATTTGGATTTTTTCCAAATAATTTCTAAAGTAACGTAAATATTTGGATGAAAACTGGTGTTTGTTAGTTTTTTGACATGAGAAATTTGATTGTGATGTCATTATGACTCCTATTTGTAGAGGGCGCCACCTACATGTGTTTTAACTGTTTTGAAGAGTAATAACTTTTTGTCCGTACCTGTATAGAACTGCTGAGTGAAAAAATATACATTTTCATATTTTTTTACGTAAAAAATGTCCCTTGATAAAAATCGTTACGAGCGACCCTTCTCGAGATATTTAGAATGGGAATAGTCAATACATGTCATTATTGACAAAAAATAAACATGTTGAGTAGATAGTTATTGGACTAAAAAAATAAATTTGGAAAATTTTTATTTTTTTTAATTAATCATAAAATTTTCTTCGAAAACATTTCAAATTTATGATTTCCGTCTATTAACTATTTAGTCAACATGTTTAATGTATGCAATGATGACAGGTATTGATAATTTCGATTTCAAATATCTCGAGAACTATTACTCGTAGCGATTTTTATTAAGAGATCTTTTTTACGTTAAAAACGTCGGAAATGTATATTTCTTTACTTTCGATCTACTACCTATGTTGCCATATTATCAAGAAATTATGGTTTTTAACTAAAAAAAATTAATCTTTTTTTTCTCAAAAACTATGCGATGTGGCATTTTTTTACTGGAGACAAGAAATGTAGTAAATACTAAACGGACCATTTTACGAAAAAAAAAACTCGGTTCGGTTGAGTTGGAAAATATTTAAACTAAAATTTATGTAGAGGTAGGGATAGTTTTTACCCTTTCCGTTTATTTTTACCCTTTCCGTAATTTTTGTTGATTATTGTGAAAGTCAAAATCAGATCACAATGTCGAAATAACGGTTCTTAAAATATCTGAAAAAATGTGTTTATTTTTTCTATTTTATGCCCTCTAGCGGACAAACGAAGCCTTTTTGTATAGAGGTAAATTGTGTCCAATGAACTTATATTGATTCTAGAAATGCGTAGAGACAATGAGGGTAATTGGGAATACTGTTGGTAATTTAGAATACTCACTTATTGAAGCTATGCGTGGCGCTATCTGTTTAAATATGGCATAAGCTACTAGTTCGGCTTGTATTTAGTGGGCAACAGATTTTGTTTATTACGAAAAGGTATTACTCTTCAAACCAGTTAAAAATATGTAGGTGGCGCCCTCTACAAGTAGGAGCCATATTGACTTCAAAATCGAATTTCTCATATTAAAAAACTCCCAGACACCAAATTTCATCCAAATATTGATGTTACTTCAGAAATTATTTGGAAAAAATCGAAATAAAAATGAAATTTCTACACCCTATATTTCCGAAACTAAGCATTTTAGGACATACATTTATAAGAACTTTTTTACTTATTTTTATCTGTAGAATATACTGCTGAAGTTTCCGGAATACAATTCGAACCACCCTGTATATTATATATGTGTGTATACAGGGTGGCGCCTCTCATACGCCGCGGAAGCTCCAAGGAGAATGGTAGTTTATATCGAAATGAAATTTTAGCAGCATATGTAGGTTAACTGAAAGCATTTTATAAACATATATAGAATTATACAGGGTGTCCCCAAAAAAAGTTAAACACATCAAAGTTGTGTTTTTTCTAATGGAACACCCTATATATGAATTGATTTTCGGATTCTAGGAAAAAAATAAAGGTGAGTTTTATTATAGAAACATATACCAAAAATCTAAGGATTTTGACATATTATTTCACATTTTGTGAAAATGAAGAGTAAATTTTAAATGTCGATAACAGCTACCTAAATTTTAGTTCACCTTACAGTAACCATTGTATGTTAAACCAAATTGAAATTTGACCCGAAAAGTTATACATGGTGAGACAAAATTAATATAGAATATTAGTCACTTTTAAAAGCAACTTACTCCTTTATTTTAAATGGAACATCCACTATATTTTTCCGGTGTTCAGTGGGGAATTTATATATCTTCAAAATATTATTAAGGTTGCCTACCCCTCAAACAAAGATTTTCCTAGATATTTTAATTTTTATGATTTTACGTCAGTAGATCTTTATTATCTGAAAAAATCTAGGTGGCTGTGTGACATACTTTTTGTTAACTTAACAAAAATTAAAGATTGTAGAGTAAAATACTCAACGGTAATAAAAAGATACACGTTTAAAACATATTTTAATTATTACAGAATTAAACCTCTAATTATGTGACAAAAATTAGCTAAATGAAATCAAATGCTCAAAATGCTTCCTTTTTTGTTAACTGTATAAAATGATTGTCTTTTCAAAAGGATCTTTTCATTTTAAAAGGCATATGTGAGCATTTAAGTATTCTATTAATTGGTGAATGCACACTGCATTCGCCAACTAATAGAATCATATCAATTCTCTCAATTTTTTTTGTTTTAACTGACACAAAATGATAACTAGTTGTTAAAGTTGGACTAATTAGACAGCTATGTTGAAGTAACGTCAGACATATCACAACCAGCTAGATTTTATCAAATAATAAAGATCTACTCAGATCAAATCATGCAAATCAAAATGTCTAGGAAGATCTTTGTATGAGGGGTAGGCAACCTTAATAGTATTTTGAAGAGACATGAATTCTCCATCGAATCTCGGAATAATATACTGGGTGTCCTATTTAAGATAAAAAAGTAACATGCTTTTAAAGGTGACCAAAGTTCAATATTAATTTTGTCTCACCCTGTATATTTGTTTGGATCAAGTTTTAATTTGATTTAAAGTATAATAGTTAATTTAATTACATATTCGGCTATACCGGGTAAATTCCAATTTAGGTAGTTTTATTGTAATTTAAAAATTGTTCTTTATTTCTAGAAAATGTTAAATATGTCAAAAACCTTACATTTTAGTCATATACATAAAATTCACCTTTATTTTTCTACCAGAATCCGAAAATCAATTAATATATAGGGTGTTTCATTACAAAAAACAACTTTGATATGTAAGTTTTTTTGGGACACCCTGTAGAACTCTCTATATTTTTAAAAAGTGCTCTGAATTATCCTACATATGCTCACAAAATTTCATTTCAATACAAACTGTCGTTCTCCTTGGAGCCGCCGCGGCGTATGAGAGGCTCCACCCTGTATGTATATTTTGTCAGAGGGTTAACAAAGGGTAACAATTTGGTCTCGTGTGTTATTAGTCCTTGTATTCTTTAGTCATTGGTAATAACCAGTGAGCACTGGACACAAAAAACGGCCGCTGGTGCTTGTTCATCTAACGGAGGGTCCGGACTACCGTTTAACGGACGGACGATTTACTCCATGTGAAACGACACAACAGAGACGATCAGAGCGGACTTACACTTAGTTCTCTAGAATAGTCAATGTGATGCAATCATTAGCTTTTGCGAATCCGAAACACTTTTCAATGCTAAATTACTTTTTTTAACTAATATGTTGGTTTGTTAGAAAAGGACGACTACCCTACCATATCATGGAATTATCCAAATTATTCAATTCCCAGAATAACTTTTTACACTTTTTAGGGGGATCATTATTCTATTATACACAAAACTTATATAAGAAAGTGTGCAGTTTGAAATTAGCAAAGGAGCTAGAACTGAATTCTAATTTCAGAAGCATTTATAACATGATTTTAATGCTTCCTTTATTACCAGTTAATACTATTTTGGATGGACTGAAAAATATCGAAATTCAAGCTAAAGAATTGGACGTGGATAGTATTTCAAGTAAATTGTTTAGACATGTTTATGATGAATGGATTTGCAAAGTTACTCCAGAATTGTTCTGTGTTCACCGACTAGAAAACCGAATAAACGAGCATATTGTGGCTCCTTTTAAGAAATTTAGGGATTTAATTATGGCTGCAAAAAGTTCAAAGCATGCCAGGTGGGCTGATGTGATGGTTAATATACCATTAATTCATGTAATAGAAAAATTAATTGATCTGGAGAATTTCTTGAGAGAGACCTACAACAACCCTAACTTGAAAAAATCTTTTGCAAAAGATTTGAGTAGCTCACAAAAGAAAAATGTCTTAAAAGCATGGCAGTATATAGAAGAACATCCCAAAATTAATATTAATCATTTCTTCATGAAGGTTTTAGGATATATTAAATGCATGGAGAATCAGGTATTTATAAAACTTATACTCTATTGATTATATCGATTATATATTTTATTGTTACTTTTAGTTGTGGATTTGGGGATTTTACAGATATGCATTAAAGGATAACGATCAATTAATAAATGCTGCTAATTTTTCCATACTTAATGAAGGTCCAGTTCGGATTATAGAGGTAAAACGAATATTACTTTCTTCAGACTAATTTTAAACGTAATTATATTTTTAAATTTCTTTTAATTTTGAATATCAACTTGAAGGGCCTTTGCAACGTAAGATTAGTTTTACTGTTAAAAACCGACAAATTACATTCAATAATTATTGAAATATACGGGGTTATTTATGCTATTTGACAGGGAGAATTATAGCTGAATAGATTAAATTTCTAGAAATGTTGGCGTCGCGTCGTTAAAAGACTACTAGAGGGAAAATTTAAAAGTATTTTCAAGAAGCACAGTTTTTGCAATATTTAAGTTTGAAAAAGTTGTTTTTTGAGTATTTAAGTTTTTAAAACCGTATATACACTGAAGTTTCTTATCTCGGAAATATTGTGTTGCTATAATTAAAACAATGCTAGCTTCTACAGGGTATCTAAAAAATAATCTATATTACTTGTTGCATTTTCTAGCATTAATTTAACTAGAACACTCTACAGGGTGGTCCGAACTGTATTCCTGAAATTTCAGTAGCATATTCTGCAGATAAAAATTAGTAAAAAAGTTTTGTATAAATGTATGTCCTAAAATGCTTAGTTTCGGAGATACAGGGTGTAGTTCAGTCATTGGAGATCAAAAAAGGGGCCTGCTTGGAAAAAAGTCCGGACGTTTTGAAATTTTGCAGGTTTATAGGTTTTGGGGTCCCTAACTAAAATCTACATCTTGCCAAGATGGCGCCCAAAATCGGTATTTTGTAAATATCTCGAAAATTATGCGTTTTTCGCAAAAATTTGAGGAGAGCAAAAGAGAATAAAATTTCTTATAAAAAGGGTTCTATGAAAATTTTCGCTAAAGTCTGGAAATCTGGAAATTTTACAGTTTTGCGTAAAGTATGATATATATGTATAGTCGATTTTCCGAAATCAAATGTCGATTAGGGTTCACTAATACTAGTTTTAGTTTAGTTTCTTCAATTTTGTCATGAAACGGTGGCGTATCATTAATTCGCTCATTAATTTATGAATAATTAATTGTCGTGCGGGACCAAGGTTATTAAAAGGTAAGGTTGTCTCGTAACTTTTGGACCAATAGGAGCGAAGCGGAATATCATCACTCTTACGTAGATAGAACGTATAAAATCAAAGATAAAGGGAATAGAAAATAAAGTGCAACCGACAAAGAGAGATAAATGGACAATACAATAAATAAAGCACACATCAAACAACTGAAAACTATTGACGCCATACACAATGAATATCGATTCGGAAATGCACTGTCGGACTGTGGGCAGTTTTTATCCCTTTATCTATGAGCGGTGTCATTCCTATGACGTAGTAGATGACGTTTTCGACAATGGCGGATCGAGTTACGAGAACCTTATCTTTTAATAACCTTGGTGCTGGACAGCATTCATTGCGAACTTACCACCAGGTTCAGCATTGGTCTGGTTGTACCAAAGATGCCGAAGAATGGGGTTGGAAGAAAACAAAAACAGGCATTACTCCAGTCACAACGTTGACAGATCCAGCTCCAAAATCCCTATTGGCATTTTTATCCTGTAAATGCAAAACCAACAACTGTGGTAAAGCCTGCGGATGCAGAAAAACAGGATTAAAATGTTCAATGATTTGTGCATACTGCAATGGGAAATCCTGTGACAACGTCACTGATGTGTCACTCGACGAATCCGATGAAGAGGAGTTGGACTTGCCTGTAGATATCCCTCCAGCGGCTGAAGATGAAGAGTTGGACGAGTTGAGAGACCACCCTGATGAGCCCAGTACAGCAGACACGATCGACTTTGACATCAATGAGCCAGGTCCGTCGGTCTTGTGCAGATAAGTTAAAGTTTTTAATTTACCTAGTGGAGTAGGCCTCCGGGGAGACCACGTTAAAAAAACGCGCCATCTACTTTACTTCTTGGGTGGTGTGGAAACAAGTACACATTTTCAATAATTAAAATTAATTATTCATAAATTAATGATACGCCACTATTTCATGATAAAATTGAAGAAACTAAACTAAAACTAGTTTTAGTGAACCCTAATCGACATTTGATTTCGGAAAATCGACTATACATATAGGTATCATATTTTACGCAAAATTGAAAAATTTCCAGAGATTTTGGGCCTAAACGGTTGACTTTAGCGAAAATTTTCATAGAATCTTTTTTATAGGATATTTTATTCTCTTTCCTCCTGAAATTTTTGCGAAAATACGCATAGTTTTCGAGATATTTACAAAATACCGATTTTGGGCGCCATCTTGGCAAGATGGCGGCGCCGGCGGCAAGTCTGAAAATGTGCATTTTATGGATTTTAGTTAGGGACCCCAAAACCTATAAACCTGCAAAATTTCAAAACTTCCGGACTTTTTTCCAAGCAAAAATCCCCAATGACTGAACTAGTGTAGAAGTTTCATTTCTATTTTAATTTTGTCCAAATAATTTCTGAAGTAACGTAAGTATTTGGATGAAAATTGGCATCTGGGAGTATTTGGCATAAGGGTTTTGATTTTGATTTCAATATGATCCCTACAATGTAGAGAGCGCAACCCACATATTTTTATCTGGTTTGAAGTTTGAAGAGTAATAACTTTTCGTCCGTACTTGTATAAAACTACTGAGTAAAAAACCTTACATTTACGATTTTTTTTTACGTAAAAAAGGTGTCTTGGTAATGTAAAATCGCTACGAGTAATGGTTGTCGAGATATTTGGAATCGAAATTATCAATACCTGTCATCATTGACATAAATTAAATATGTTCACTAAATAGTTATTAGAGTAAAATTTTGTTACTTTTATTTGAGATGTTGTTGTGTCAAAAGTTCAATAGAAACTGTTTTATCATAGCTTTTTCGCAGAAAAATTTTGGATTAATTTAAAAAAATAAAAATTTCCCAAATTTATTATTTCAGTCAAATAACTATCTAGTCAAGATCAACGTGGTTATTTTTTGTCAATAATGACATGTATTTGCTGTTTCCATTCTAAATATCTTGAGAGCGGTTGCTCGTAGCGACTTTTACCAAGAAATATTTTTTACATAAAAAGTCACGGAGATCTATATTTTTCACTCAGTAGTTTTATACAGGTACGGACGAAAAGTTATTACCCTTCAAAGCAGCTCAAACACATGTAGGTAGCGCCCCCTAGAAGTAGGAGTCATATTGACATCAAAATCAAATTTCTCATATCAAAAATCTCCCAGACACCTATTTTCATCCAAATATTCATGTTACTTTAGAAATTATTTGGAAAAAATCGAATTAAACATGAAACTTCTACACCCTGTATCTCCGAAACTAAGCATTTTAGGATATACATTTATGCGAACTTTTTTACTTATTTTTATCTGCAAAATATGCTGCCAAAGTTTCCGGAATACAGTTCGGACCACCCTGTATATTTACTAGAACAGTTATATGCTATAACTGTATATTCTGAAAGCACCACATGCAAAATTTAATTATATTTATCAAACTGACTGTATTACACTATTTTTAAGCTATTTCTTAAGGTTCTCGTATTTATCAATATACCCATGGAATCTTGACATTTTAGCCTTTTTAAAAGTAACAAATTTTCTACTCAACTTTTATTACAAAAAAGGACGCGGTAATAACTTGATCCGGGATGCATATTTGTAAACGACGTCCATGATCGCGATTCGGTTCTAGGCCGAACCCTTGCCGAACGATACCGCGTAAACAGCATTCGATATCGCAAATCCGTCTGGTAAATAGAAAACGATGATTCCAAATTTTAACTGCCTTAACACCTCTTATAAACACCAGACGATATCGCGAAATTTATAAATTAATGGGTTGCTCGTAATCAGCATTCAGGATCGCAAATTTTGTTTGTCAACACAAATTTAACGAGCTAAAAATAAAAAAAGGTTTTTTTAAGCGGCCACCCCTTCCAATAACAACCACGCATATTGTTGCTTAACTTACATCCAACTTACATTCGTATGCAAATTACTTAAAACAAACAATAATACAAAATAGTAATAAATTTCTAATACTAATACTTATGTTTTCTTAAAAAAAAAGATCTGTCCTTAACTATAAAAAATATTCAAGAAGGAATTAAGTTACAATCTTCTTGATCTTATTGTACTAGAAAAAGTCAAATTTTACCTACAAAACACAAAGTGTAGTTTTTATTTTAAATTTTCGAAGTAAAGTTGGTCATTCTCTAAGCATTGGGTAAAATGTCCTCGAAATTTAAAACATTATGTAACTTTATTCATTTCAACCATTTTTTGGTTTCGATTTATAATCTGTTTTTTTTTTTTAAGTTAATTTGTTGTGAGTAATTAATTACTCTTGTTAATTTCTGTAACTTACCTGAATTTCTTCCTTTTTAACGAAACGTGTTATAATTTCTTTATCTATTAACTTATATACTCGTGGTTTGGGCGCAAATTAACTTTTTTTTGCAAAATATTATTTAGTACTATATTCTTTGGTAGACATCTCGCACTTGCGAATTTTGCGATCTTGAATGCTGATTACGAGCAACCAATCAACAAATTTCGCGATATCGTCTGCTGTTTAGGCAGTTAAAATTAGTGGAGTTAAGGCAGTTAAAATTTGGAATCACGGATGGCTATTTACTAAATATATGTATAGACGGATTTACGATATCGTATGCTGTTTACGTGACATAGTTAATGTAACCAACAGTAATAATCATTACTGTTGATTACATTATATAGTATATGTAATCAATTTCACGAGAGACATTCCCGAGGTAACTTGACGCAATTTTTTTACCATGCCGACGGTATATCCCATCATTTTTAATTTTGTGTCTTTTATATGAACCATTAGAGCATAGATCCTGAAAACGAGTCTCAAGATGAAGACGAAGAAATGGAAGGTATAGTTGAAGAGTATTTTATAGAAGAAAATGGCGAAATTCAAAAGATTGAAACAAGAATGAAAATGGTTGGGGAGGATGATTTTGATGGCCAACAACAAACCCTGGTAAGTTTTTTTTAAGGTAATCAAAGGATCGAATTGATAAATATATCGGTTATAATTTTGGTCAAATGGTTATCTCTTAGCATTCTTATTTGACATATAATAGTGCTAAATCCTAAACTGATCGCGCTTCGAAGACTCCTTTTGCTTCTTGAACTGGTGATTAATATAACGTTTTTAGTTTTGAATTTGTGTACTAACATGAATAAAATACAAAAAAAAATTAGAAAGTATATACGAAATCCCCTTTTCCTTAATTTATGATTTATTAAAATATATCTATTATATTTTAGACGTAACCGTTATTATAAGTCATAACGCTAAGTTTTGCCGTGTCTACGTCTTTTGCGATTTGCATTACCTACGCATTGTTTCCTCGGCAGTATACACTGACTTGAAATTATTGCGTTATAACTTTAAATAAAAATATTAAGGAAAGAGTATAATACTATCCATGAATTCATGCATGGTGGGTAGAATCGAGATCATAGGTCCCTATCCTTGACAGTTTGAAATTTTATGGATTTTTTGTCTCGGATGTATACTGAGCTTATTTTATGGTATTAATGATTTATTTTGCAGTTGGTTTTCTTTAGAGGTGCAATCTACGAGTAGAAGGGGAAATTGTATCAAAACAATTTAATTAACAACGTGGAAATAGTTTTTTTGCAGTTTTACATATATAAATAAATTATACAGGGTGTCCCAGAAATAAGTGCAAATATTTTAACTGGTAGTATAGTTCAACCCCAGAAACACGCCTATGAGGGTTTTTTTGCGAAAAAAAAATGTTGAAAATTTAAAATTTTTCTTGGCTATTTTTTCGATGTATTTCGACAGCCGATGTATTTCAGTCGCGTCGCGCGTCGTCCAAGAGTGCCACGTGTGAACTGGTCCTTTGAGCCGCGCCGTCGTGGCGGGCTTGCGTCAGACGACGATGTTAAGCAACGTTGTCGCAATTACAACAATTTCAAATTCAAGACATTCGAAGCAATCAAATTCGTATTAAATTTTAACAATAAAACAGAGAAACATGAAAGGAAACAAACAAAACAAAAATGAATTGATTATTCGTCGGGCTGTTTTCGATATATTGAATTCTGAATTACGATAAACATTTTAGAAATTTCTTTTTTGTGACCTTATCATTAATCAATTCATTTGTGTTTTGTTTGTTTCCTTTCATGTTTTTCTGTTTTATTTTTAAAATTTAATAAGAATTTGATTGCTTCGAGTGTCTTGAATTTGAAATTGTTGAAACTACGGCAACCTCGCATGACGCAAGCTCGACACGCCGCGCCGGCGCGACAAAGGACAGTGAGCAGTTACGCCAGTTACCAACCAGTGATGCGCGGCTGTCTTGGCCGACGGTTGAGCTGTCGACGGAATTGTCGAAGTACATCGAAAAAATAACGAAAAAACAAAATACGTATTTAAAATTGTTGAGTGAAACATGTATTTTCTTAGATTGAAAGTAGTTCGTAAAGTGGCGGTAAGAGACAATAATTCTCAACATTTATTCATTCAGAAAGGTATTCAAAGTAATGTGTAACGTGTGCTTTTCAAGGTGTTTTGTAAATCAGTGGTTCAAATTGTGATGAAGCCTATATGAAAATAATTTGTTAAGTTAAAAATAGGAACTGTTATTTTAGCAGTTTTTATAATAGCATGTACAAGTAAAGCAGCACAATGAAGTGTATTTTAGTTAAGTGTGTATCGAAAAAGGGAACTGTCGCAGTTACATCAATTTGTCATAAGTATCTTTTTTAATGTTGGGTATGTTTTTTAATTTAACTTTTTTAACTTTTAAACATTTAACTTTTAATTTATTTTATGTAATAATATCACAATCTTAAAAATGTAATGCATCTCTGCAAACTCCTCAGGTGTTGTGATTTTATGACTTACTTTTAAACATATACTTTCTTGTCCATATGGCAACACAGGGCGTCGAATTAACTGAAATCCGGGCTTGATCCGGGTAATTGGATGTAGTTGGCAATATCTGCCGGCCGTTCTCAAAATGTTGCTATTATTTTTTTAAATTTTCAAAGTTAAATAACTCGGTTATTTTCAATTAATTTTAAAAATGGTAAAGAGAAAATATGTTTATTTTGACCAGATCTACTACCCCTTAAAATATTTGCACTCATTTCTGGGACACCCTGTACGTGAACTGCTATGAAAAGCACTCCACGTTGTGTTTGTCATTTCGTTTAAGTCCACGTTGTGTTTGTCATTTCGGGAAAATCAACCAACCTCTCACGACCGGTTTCTGGGCCTTTACCCTTCATCAAGTGAGCTCTGGTCGATTTCTTAAAATGACAAACGCATCGCGGAGAATTTCAATGGGTACTGTCGGAACCTAGCAGTTAGATATTAAATCGCCGGTACATAGTGGAGATCTGGTACAACGTGGACTTAAAATTTTTTCATAGCAGTTCACGGCAAGAATTATATAATTTATTTATATACGTAAAACTGCAAGAAAACTATTAAGCGGTACCCTGCGTATATTTTATTTAAACGTATTTGATATAAAGATATTTGATAAATGGCAACAGTGGCAACTTCGCTTCTTCATATAACAGATAGATTACAGTTGAAGGTTGGAACTTTTGGTGTTACACAGCAAAATAAAACACTAAATCACCACAATACACCAAAACACTTTTACTTTTACACTGGACGCGCGTTTCGCTAACCATGTTAGCATCATCAGCAGATGATTATAAACTAAAATACAATCTACAATTGGAGCGTTTATATACTCGCTCAGTGGGCACAGAGTGGGCGTGGCAAGATCTAGCCAACCGAGTCAGAACCCACCGAGCGTAACAGTTAGATTTCCGCCACTAGAGTAGTAGGAACAAAGAACTTGAAGGAATTGGACCGTTGTCTCTGTTCATACTATCTTTACATTTATTAATTCTGATGCTTTCCTATGCATCTAATTGCCTGTAATTTGAGACTTGTTTAATTAATTTCAAGTTATTAAGATCTATACAAAGTTCTTTATCAACAATATGTTCGGCAACGCAAGATTTATCCGGTCTACCATATCTTATCTGAGCCAAATGTTCTTTAAATCTAGTTAATATTGTTGTTGTATATATGTTGGGCAAACTAGAAGATCGTCAGTACTTAAAGTAGATAAACCACTAAAGAAACCAAATTTGGTTGAAAAGTCATTGTAGGCACTTTTCCTGTAGGAAATTTCAAGGATTAATTTATCAATAATAACATTAAATACATTTATCCTAAAATCGTCCCTAGCGTTAAATAGAGTTTCATTATCACTGGTTTCATCGTTTCCGTTTCACTTTTCTCTTTTTATCTGTCTCATATTCTTTCTCACCTAACAGTTCTATGGCCCTTCTTATGCCCTTCTTTTTTTGCGGCGATTTCAAAGTAAAAGGGGATTTTATATTCGAGGTATTTATGTATTTATTAACTGGATGCATGGCATAATGCAGTAAAAAATAACCCAAGCGAATTATATATTTAAACAATAATAATAGTTAAGTAAATAAATATGTAATCGGCTATTCGAAATATTTTATGAACAAATAATAGTTAAAAAAAAAGATAAATATTTTGGTATACTCAAAATTTGCCGCCCCTAAAAATCTGCCGCCCCAGGCCCGGGCCTAGTTGGCCTAGGCCTAAGTGCGGCACTGCCCCTGCTTATAACACAGCTTTATGAGTAGATTACAGTTGAGGGTTGGAACCTTTGGTGTTAAACAGCAAAATAAAAACACTAAATCACCACAATACACCAAAACACTTTTACTTTTACACTGGACGCGCGTTTCGCTAACCATGTTAGCATCATCAGCAGATGATTATAAACTGAAGTTTAAAATTTAAAAAAACAGTTTATAATCATCTGCTGATGATGCTAACATGGTTAGCGAAACGCGCGTCCAGTGTAAAAGTAAAAGTGTTTTGGTGTATTGTGGTGATTTAGTGTTTTTATTTTTTTTATGAGTAGGTTAAGATTAGTAAATGCCGTTTTATATTATAAAAGGTACTTATATTTGCAAAATTACGGTCATTTCTCTATGACCGTTTTGCAGATGACAAATGGTGTACATTTTTAAAGGTTGATAATGGCATATAACCAAAATCGCTTGAATTTCGTTGATAAATACTCGAGAGACTCGTCGCAGTAATAGTTTCCTGATCATTTTTGCATTTGAATCCGTGACGTCATCCCTATGTCAAACCAATATAATAGTTTTATATGATTTTCTTCTGAAATAAGGTTGAAGTTGTCATAATGTAGCTCTAGCAATCTAAACACGCTGTCACGCCGTAAGCGTGTTATGATTGCTTTGGTTTCACTCTTTTTTTTTTCGTTTTTGTCTTTTTGAATACGAATTGCATGAATAGGTATGAGAAAGCGCTAAATATATTTCAATACGTCACGAATCCAAATGCAATAATGATCCGGAAACTATTACTTCGAAGAGTCGCAGTCGCACGTGTAAATGTCAACGTTAAATTGTAATTTATGGTTACTCGCTTGAAAAACTCTTATTTGACATTATGCAAATTCGTCAATTTACTATTTCAATTTTATAGGAAAATGAAAATAATTTCTGTGAAATCCAAGCTGAATTGCCATTGACTACTGCATTAGTTGAAAACTCTGATACTGGGACAGACAACGAGAAATCATCAATATCATGAACAGCGCAAATTTTTAACAAATAGTTTATAAGTATTTTAATTTTCAAATTTAATCATAAATATAGTAATATACTTACATGATTCAATATTTTTACAGAAGTTTCGGCATGTTTTAAAAAAATCTATTCACTCTGAGTACCAACTTATAATAGTTCTAATCACAAAGCCTTTCCTTTTTTAATATGTTCAATAACGAACCGTCAAAGCAATGAAAATTGGTATTTTTTTATAAAACATTAAGTTAGTGCGAAACAAAACAGAATGATATGAAATGTATTATTCAGAAGTATCGTTTTAATTAGAAGCATTTAAATTTTTGTTTCTTAAAAATCTTCTAAAATGTATTTACTAAAAGAGGGGTAATTGAAAATTTAAAATAAAATAAATAATACAGAAATAACGCGGTGTATATTTGTATCAATTGCAGATATTTTTATTTGAGCTAGTTTACCATACACAATGTGAAAACAAGGAAAAGTAATGTGAGAACTACCGTATGATCGAAAAAAAAACGGAGTCCAGTTGGCTGGGAAATGAACATCAATGACATTTCCCATATAAATTTACATATAAAATGACAGCGATCTTCATTCCATAGCCATCGCTGACTCCGTTTTTTCTCGATCATACGGTATAACCCTTACCCTTTATTAAAAAGTAGATGCACTATATAGGTATTAAGTTTATTTTTATGTATATATAGATCTATAGTGTCTTGTAAGTGATAATAAAAGTATTCTCAAACTGTAATTTGTTTTTTTATTACCAATAATTATAATGAATCTACAATTTTTTTATTTACAGTATTTCCTAAACTAGGGACATAAATACTGAGATTAATTTAAAAATAACTAATTTAATTTTTTTTTAATTTAAAAATAACTAAACTTAAAATGTTGACTTATTGTAACTAATTTTACTTTGTCTAATCAGTGTAATTTAGTACTTTCATATAATTCAAAGCAGTACATATCGAAACCAAATGTGTATGATATACATTTTATCAAGTATATCAGGTTTATAGAATAGAGCCTATAAATTCAAGTATTAAGACAATGATAAAAACAAGGTAAATATTCTGATTTGACATAATAGCTCAAATACACCCTCATTTTTACAATCACAATTGTTTTTGTTTCAGTCAAGTTTAATCTTTTAACTATGGTTTGAGCTATTTACTGCTGCTGAATTATTTACACTTGTAGTAAGTTTGGATGGTTGCACAAGAGAAGTTTTCCTTGCTGGAACGGTTTCTGGTGTTGGTATAGCTTCACCTGTTGGGAATGGTACTGAACCAGGCACTTTTAATGGAGCTTTATTAATTCCACCCATCTTTTGTTTAGCCATTTGGTAATCACCCGAATCAAAAAACTTTTGACCTAAAACAGAAAATATTATTTCTTTGTTACTAAATACTATCTAAGACATACCTTTAGCCAATCTTTTCTGTAAGAAAGCAGAGTGACCTCCTAACCTTCCTGGACCACCTGGAACGGCTGGATATTTAGCTTTTAGCTTGGCTTCTTCCATTTTTTCAAGTTCTTGTGGAGATACTTCCACAAGGTGGGTCTGCTCGGGCTGTTCCTCGGCCATAGCAACTTCTTAGAAAAATGCAACTTCTTGACCAAACTATTAAAAACATCAGAAAAATTCTCCGAAGAATTGATAAACAATAAACTTACCAAATGTCTAATTGGGCGTCTTGCGAAGAAAATATATATTATCACGCCAAATATCCCACAAAATGATTTTCATAAATACAGGAACACAACGGAATAAATTCTATTGTTGCAGATTGTTGACAAGATTTGGATTTTGGATCACATTTGGATATGACATATGACAACTGAGCTGACATAAAAACGGTTACGCCAAGGTTTGGTTTGGTTTGGTTTGGTTTGGTTTGCAAGGTTACGCCGTGGTTATTAAGCCTGTGGCAGACTTCCGAAGGTAGCAAGTGCCCGCCACAGATTGGTTGGCTCCACGGGAGGAGAGTAGCAACCTTGAATCGCCACCCAGCTGATATCTGTCAATCGGGGAAGAAGAAGGATTATTCTGTGGATAGACATTTTGACCTTCAACATTCACGTTTCGCGCCAAGAAACCGAATTCTTATGTTTTGTAATAGTTATTTAGTTTGTAACAATTGATCGAGTTAATTAAATGACTTAATTATTTAGTGTGCCTAATTTGCTACCCGCAACGGCCACAAGCCCTTAGATTAAGCCCCGTAACATGCCCGTAACTTGGCTTAAAATGGTTATCTACGAATTTATATTATATAAACCGCAGTTCTCACGGGATGTAGTTTTAGCTGGTTCTAGTTTAGTTTTAGGTCGTCATTTTATCTCTTTCAATACACCTACATGCTGTGGCCGGATCATATACGACAAAAATATGTATATATATGATATAGGGACCATTTGAAAATATATGCAAAATATACATATATGATTTCAAATCATGACAAATGACAATTCCTACAATCTTGACATTAGTTGACATTGACAATTTAAATTTTGTGATTTAAATTGAGAGAGTGACAAATCTTGCTGATTTAATTTACTAAAATCTAAAATTTACTGATTTTCATTTCATTCTGAAAATAAAATTAAACAGAGGTAGATATCTTCAATATTAAAATGTCGTTAAATACGGCTCATATAAACGGTGGCGTTTTAATACATTCAGGTGAACAGTAAGTACCTGCATTGATGTTTTAGATTTTAATTACCTATTTCGCAATATTTACCCAGTTTGTCATTAATCATCACGGATAACATACGAACTTAATCATCGTAGAATAATTATTTTTTTATCTTTCCTAGAATCCTATTATTTTCTGACAACGTAAACATCGAATGGTCAGGTCAAGAGGTCAGTGCATTCAGAGGCAAGAAACATGGACGAATTTTTCTCACTACTCACCGGGTTATATTTAATAATAATTCAAGTTCTGACGAGATGCAAAGTTTTAGCATGCCTTTTGTGACTCTCGGAGAAGTGAGTAATTATCTTTGACTGAGATATTGAGAATAATGCATATATTTTGACAGGTAGAGGTTGAACAACCAGTTTTTGGGGCAAATTATGTAAAAGGGAAAGTAAGAGCACAACCAAATGGCAATTGGGTAGGAGAAGCCAAATTTAAAATTACTTTTAAACATGGTGGGGCAATAGATTTTGGCCAAGCACTATTACGTGCTGCACATTATGGTAAGTTTTTACTATATAAATTTTTCTATATAAAACTTGTTTATATTAATTATTGGTATGCTCAGATTCGTTTAAAACCATTGGAGTGATATTCTTGTAAATTTAGGATTGACAACTAGAAAAACAATTAGGTCACATCATAAAATGCAGGCAGGGTAATTTATTCTGTATTCTGGGGTGACATTTATAAATCATAAAACCTCACCCTTTAGAACATTTTCTGTAATGGCAGTGACTGATGACTGGAAGCTATACTCTGCGAACAAACACTAGAGGCGCTGCTAGTCATTAAAAAGTTAACAAATATTCATTTGCTTTTAAATATGTCAATATTTATATTTCTTTGTGTTTTGTGAATATTCGGTGTGTGATTTTGGCCGTTTTCTCATTAATATACATTACTGTATTTGTACTTATTTTATCAAGTACATTTTATTTTAATTATTCATTTTTAATTCCAATGGCTTTTTTCGACCGAAAATGCATACCTATAGGTAGAAGTGTAGCGTTCCTGTTGTTTTAGATTTTTTTGCATGCTTGAATTTAAGCCAGAAGAATAATATTCCAAATGCAGTTGGGGGTACCTTGTATTGATAGCAATAGATATTGACTCTTTGAATGTTTCATCAGTCTCTGAACCTCTTGATCATTCTCTGAACCTCTCTGATATCTCTTGACAGCTACCACCCAGCTTTGTCCTTTGGAGTGTATATAAGTAGTCAGTAGTCAGTCATCTGACACTTTAAATTATTTCCAGGAGTTTTATGATTTCAGAAACTATATCGATAATTAACTTTCTTGGATCGTTTGATTGGCGTCAGATTTTAAATTCTGATAATATTAATCTATACTAATATATAAAATCCTTAAGTGACTGACTCACTGATTAATCAAGATCCTGCTCAAACCACTCAAGGTAAGAAGCTCAATTTTGGCATACAGGTTGATTCTAGGGTGTAGAGGTTCGATAAGAAGGGATTTTTCGAAATTCCAGTTCCAAAAGGGTGAAACCACCCTTCAAATATTACAATATTTTTTATTTAAAAAACAGCCAAGTTTCCGAAAAAACGCTTAAACACGTATATTTTATTTCGTTTTTTTACATATTTTAAGATTTTTTAAAAATGTATACAGGGTGTTTCAAAAAATCTGTCAGTCATTGATTAATCACGATCCTGCTTAAAGCATTTGACGTAAAAAGCTGATTTTTGGAAAACAGATTGACTTTAGGGCAGGGTTGGCATGATTTAAATCAAGTGATTTTTTTAATTTTAATCAGGTGATTTGAATCAAAAGATCAACTTTTTTAAAACTTTAAATTTTTTTTTAATAACTGTAAAAGTTATAAAAATGTGTCCTAGAAAACTATAAAAAATATTTCTATAACATATATACCCTATATCTATTAGTTAAATAAAATGTTACACTTGCTATTGTAACGTTTAAATACGTTTAATAAATCGAAAAAAAAAATTGTAAATGTTATAAAACTATATATATAAATATAGAGTATAAAAATGATTTGTATAACACATATACCTACTACATATCTATTCATCAATTAAAATGTTGGACCGATTTTTGAAGTAATTTCGTGTGAATCCATTAAGATGTTGACAGGGCTAATGAAATAATTAATGAAGAAATTTCCAGTTTAGTTGAGATATCCTATAAACATGATTTAGTTATAAATCCCAGTAAATCTTTCGTCATGGTCTTTGGGACCAACCGCGAGGCAGTTGAGAGCTCATTGAAAATTAAAATTAATGGCGTCGAAATTACATCTGTACGCACTGCTAGAAATTTGGGAGTGGAGTTTCATGTCGAGTTGAGATTTAAGAAGTACATGACAAGGGTTCTTCAGAAGGCTTACTTGAATTTGAAAATGCTTTATCCTCATCGTCATATACTGGATAAGTCACTTAAGAGGAAACTCACCGATGCGTTAGTCCTCAGTCATTTTAACTACTGCGATGTTCTTTACGGGCCTTGTCTGGATGCTGCTGATGCTGCTAAGATTCAGCGTGTACAGAAGCAATGTCTACGATTTATATACGGAATTCGTAAATTCGATCGCATATCATACAAACTTCATGAGGCTCGCTGGTTGAATATGGAAACTAGACGAAAATATCACTCGCTAACTTTATATCATTCTATAATTAATTACAAGTGTCCACCTTATTTATACGAAAAGGTTCAGTTTCGAACAGATGTTCATAATTTGAATTTGCGACATAAAGGGCTCATCTCCCCACCTTATCATAAAACAGCATTATTCCAAAGATCCTTTACGTACAATATCTATAAACTGTATAATGGCATCGATAAATGTTTTAGAGACCTGCCAGTTCATAGTTTTAAATCGCATTTAAAGCGACACCTTCTAGAACAATGTTAAATTATACTTGAGCAGCGTTTCTTTCCTTTTAGTGTTTTCCTAAACAATTTTACATATAGTTTCTATTTTTAAGTTTCTTCTTTTTCCTTTTTTAATTTTTAATTTGTTAAGCAAACCCTGTATTTCTTTTTTATATTTTCTTTTTTTTATATTATTGCTATTTACATGTTAATGCATTAAACAAAGCTGGAACTTGATCAGTTATGCTGTATTTCCAGTCTTTTTGTAATTTGTATATTTTTCTTTTGTTTATATTTTTGTTTATTGTGTTTTATAATTCTTTTGTTTGTATCTAATATATGTACACAAATTACAATAAATTTTCTTCTTCTTATTATTATTATTAAGACTTTTAACTTCTAAAGGGCAGAGATTTATTTTGAAATTATGCTGTTTTATATTTCTTTATTTTACACTTTGACAAAACAGATAATACTAATTTGATTCTCGACTTAAGACTATTTCCGAACAATAGTGTATTGTGTAAGGAGTAAAAATTAAAAATTATACTTTTTTGACGAGGTTGTACGTTTGACGGACCAGCGTAAACAGGGAGACACAAAAGTACATTTTTACTCCTTTTGATCTGATGCGAGCGACTTTTTTTGCGGAATATATTGATGACCGATGAGGGAAAATGACACGCGACGTAGAATTGTTATTGTTGTCAATATTGGGCAGAGTTATGAAGATTTAGCCATTTAGGATAGGACTTTAATTCGAATTAAGTCCTAATTATTTGGAAATCCGATTTAAATAATGTTTTCTATTAAAACCAAAAAAATCTGATTTAAATAAAAAAATCTGATTTAAATCAAAAACCAACCCTGCTTCAGGGTGTAGAGGTTCGATAAGAAGGGATTTTTCGAAACTCAAATTCTAAGGGGGTGAAACTATCCCTCAAATATTAAAATATTTTTTATTTAAAAACCGGTGAGTTTTTCAGAAAAACTCTTAAACGTGTATTTTGTTTTACATATTTTTAGATTTTTTATAAATTTATACAGGGTGTTTCATAAAATATGACCATTGAGTAATCACGATTCTGCTTAAACTGCTTGACGTTTAAAGCTGATTTTTGGCAAACGGATTGACTGTGGGGTGTAGAGGTTTGATCTCAAATTCCAAGAGGGTGAAAACGCCCCTCAAATATTACAATATTTGTTATTTAAAAAACGGTTAGTTTTTCGGGAAAACGCTTGGACATGCATAATTTATTTTGTTTTTCTACATATTTTGAAATTTTTAAAAAAATCATACAGGATGTTTCAAAAAGTTGGGTAATTGATTAACCACGATTCTACTCAAACTGCTTGACCTAAAAAGCTTATTTTTGGCAAACGGATTTTTCGAAAGTCAAATTCCAACGAAATGAAACTACGCCTCAAATATTACCAAGTTATATAATAATATCACCGTACATAAAACTCAATAATATCGTCATAGGCCCTGTTCTCAGAAGAATCCCTGACTAGTCAGCGCGTTTCTTATTGGTTGAAATGTGTAGAAACCAGACTAACAGTCAGGTTTCTACGCATTTTAACCAATGAGAAACGTGCTGTCTAGTCAGGGATTCTTCTGAGAACAGACCTATATTGTTTTTTCTCATGCTGACATAAATGTGAGAAAATTTTATCCAGTTTGTATGTTAATGAAAATTCTTGCTTTGCTTTGCTTTATCATCACCATTACAAATGATTAATTCGACGCGAACGAAGTCGCGGGTACACGCTAGTATAGATATAAAAGTGTTTTATGACATTGTTTATAAAAGCTTTGAGTTGTATGTTCCAAGAAGGTTATTAAACAAGCCAGTTTTTCCATCATGGTATAGTGATGCTTTAAAAGAGTGCATTCTAAAGAAAAAAATTGCACATAATTGGTTTAGGCAGACTAATAATGATGATTATGAACATTTCTCCGACTTACGTCGTGAATGTAACAGTCTTTCTGAAGTTTCTTACTGTGATCATATAATGCAAGTTGAAAGCTCTATTAATCAGAATAGCAGAGATTTTTGGAAATGTCAGGGAAAAGTATAACTCATATAATATTCCTAAGACTATGTCTTACAAAAATGAAACTTCTGACGTCAATTATTTTGAAGACTTTTTCTCATCTGTTTATTGTGACAAAAAATGTGATATTTATGACTTTAATGTTCCTAGATCTATTGCCATAAATACTTGTGATATTAGTGAAAATGATGTATATGTTACGCACCATACTCGAATTCGGGTAATGCCCGAAAAAAATGCACAGAACTAGTTTTGACCAAAAAATATTTCCCAAACCCGAAATTGTACATTTAAACGGGTATTGTCCATTACAAAATAGTCAAAACCAGTATTGTGCATTTTGAATTGCGCAAAACTAGTTTGGTGCATTTCAAAATGTTCCATACTAGTTTTGCTTGTCCTATTTGATCAATAACGCCCTAACACAAAGAATGGATTGTTTATGAATGTGTTTGATTCAAATATGATTAAACTGACAATAAAATACTTAAAAAAGTTTTTGTCGCTATCGAGATTTGAACCCCGAACTTCCTGGTTGAGAGGCAAATACTCTATCCACAGGACCATACGCTCCTGTAAATTTATTAGTCTAGTGTACTTAGTACTTATCATTCAACTTATAAAATATTAAAATTAAAATAACGGTGGTTAGATACCTAATAGATAAAATATAAACAAAAAAAAAAACAAACCTTTATGTCGTTTATGGCCTGTAGCTATATATGTATGACATCGGAATCTCCTTGGCGCTTCTTGATCAATTTTTCCACACCACCCACAGTTATTATATCAAAACGCTTTATCCTTCTATATTGTTTCGCACACAAAGGTTTTAAATCAGAAAAATAAATAATAAGAAAATTTGCCTCCCTAACTTCAGTCAATATCGTTAGGTATTGGTTTTTCGACATAAGGTTATGTTTCTGTGTTTTAGCCATCATCAATCGACTTACTTGAATTTCGAACTCGGCTTTCATTTTTTCTTGCATTTTTATATTTTATTTTACCAAGTATTGCGTATTTCCACCAACAACAAAATCAAAATAAGAATCCTTTAAAACCTAAACAAACTGCTAACCCTACTTTTTGCCGTCTTATTTAAAGAAAACGGGCAAAACTAGTATTGGTCATTTTGAAATGCACTAAATTAGTTTTGGACAATTTAAAATGCACAATACTAGTTTTTGCTATTTTGTAATGCGCAATACCCGTTTAAATGTACAATTTCGGGTTTGGGAAATATTTTTTGCTCAAACCTAGTTCTGTTCATTTTTTTCGGCAATTACCCGAATTCGAGTATTGTGCATAACAATATGTTTTGGAAGTTTTGGTTCTGAAAAAATGTTCATTTATTTTGGCCTTTATTTTAAGTATTATTTTTAAAAAGTCAGTTGTAGCTGGATCCTATCTGGATGTTTGGAAGAAGTCGTTTGTAATACCTATCTATAAGAGCGGAGATAGGGTTGAGGTTACTATACAGTAGGTCTGTCCGTTCTCTGGCTACGGGGTATCCGTGAGAGGGGAAACGATATTCTCTCGATGTTTTTCGTAAAAAATTAGACGACGCGTCCCATCAATAAAAATTCGACAAATTTGCAAGTAGCCAATAAAATGAGTGGGCGGAGCGATTTGCGGTGACGTACTCGTCAAGTCGACGTATAAAATATATTGCTGTTTATTTAAATGTTTTTTGTCCGCATTCCTATCATAGACACAGATCCAACAGACGAACTGTACATGTGATTTTTTTTGTGGGAAAGAATGTCTTGCATAAGCACTAATAACAGTAACTTATCGTCGTTAGTGTCGGGTAGTGCTGGATACCAGCTAAAAACCCACACTACCCTAACACTGATCATGGTGGAAACCGCTTTCACATTAGTTCGCCATGATAGCTGTACGGTTACTGTTATTTTAATCTAATATCTGTCTTATGATTCCTGCAGTTAGTTTCCACATTTCTTCTGTCCCAGTGAGATATTTCATCATATTTTCCGCATTGAAAACTGAGCCGGTATGTGTTTTATATTCATTACGAATGTTCTCCCGTCTAGTGCATCTAAACAGTTATGTTCTGCATCATCAATATTTCCACAGTAGTTACAGCTATCTGATTCGCATTCCCGATTAGATACTTTATAAAGCAACCATGTCCCGATAGAGCTTGAGTGACAAAGTAATCAGTCTCCCCGCATGGCCTGGATATCCGTTGCCTAATATCAGGAATCAAGTTTTATTGCCATCTTCATTTTATTCGTCTCACCTCTCACCCATCTTTCCTGCCACTTGTCGATTCAGAGGTCCCCTCGCGATTTGCTTCTGTACTCCATTGTAAATATCCCTCTTTCCTCTATTGGACCTATGGATCCCACTACACTATTGGGGTCTATGGATCTGCTATTACTTCTACCTACATGTGATATTTTTTTGTGATATTGTTTATTAAATAATAGACTAGACGTTCAAGAAAAATATTTTGTTTCAGCAACCAGAGGCGCTATGAATGCACCTCCACCATGTGAACCGCCACAACCACAGTGGTATGCAGCTCCTCCGCCTGCTTATGCCCCTCCACCTCAAGGTAGATATACATATGTGCCCAATTGTTTAGAAAAAGTACATAATATTTTTTAGGTTACTATGGTTGGGTACCCCCAACAAACGTATTTCCTCAACAACCACCTACTGATGGAGTTTTTATGACTGACGCTCCACCTCCTTATCCAGGTATTTACCCAGGAGGACAACCTAATGGATATGGTCCTCCACAAGGTGGTTATGGTCCAGCACCAGGATATGCTCCAGGTGGGAATTTCCCACCTCAAGGGTTAGCTGGCTTTGTTCCAGGAGGTCCAAGTGGATCTACAGGATTTACTAATCCAGCAGGTTAGTTATCAGGATTAGTGATGAGTACTATTTTTCTATTGGTGAGTTTCACCGGAAACTTCTTGTGTGATGATGGGGTGCCCGAAAAAACCTTCGGGGCTTCCCGAGTTCGGCCTTCCGAACTAGCAGAATACTTTGCCACCGCGCTATCAAGCCTTGGTCGAAATATGTTCAAGCCTAGCATTTAACATATTAAACTAAAAAAATAAATAGGGACTTCATTACAAGTTAAAGTCTGACTAAAGTATATTCAACCCCGAGCTGCACCAAACGTAAACAGAGACATGAGGCAAGCACGTGAACAGGAACGCTGTAGTAATATCACCAGGGCCGCACTAAGGTCGGGTATTTCAAATTATAAAATTATTATGTATATTTTTATGATTTTTTTTATTGTTTATGATTTATGATGGAAATTTATATTATTTAATTGTTATCAAACTACATAAAACTAGTGAAATAAAGTGATGGGTAGGGGTAGGGGGCGGGCATATTAAAATATTACATTACTCTTTGGCACGACCGATTTTAACAAATTTAGTGTTTTTAAAAGGGATTAATTTGTTCTTTAAAATAATTATCTTTTTATTTGGTACTACTGATTTTTTTATTTCCATTATTGACAGCAATATCTGAATATCGGTTTAAATAGGTATTTGTTTCTATAATACTATTTGCAAAAAATGCAATGATGTAAACATTTTTTACATTTAAAAGACCAGTTAAATTATAACATAATTTAATACATTTTAGTTTACTAAAAAAAAACACTTTTAACTTGCTGTATTATCCGGTTTAAAGTCTAACGACATTTTTTTTAAAAAGCCGGATATATTAAAACTTTTCAAATAAACACTTTTTTAATTATTTTCAAACATTTTATTAACATTAGATTTATAAAATTTATAATTTTATTAACATTTACAAAAATATAAATATAATAATAAATAAATAAATAATATAAAATATCTAACTTTTGAGTTTTTGTTTTGAAATATTTTATTTAAACATAAATATTATTTTCTCTAATTGTAACTTGTACGAAGTGATCAACAAATATTGAAATAATAGAAAAAATATAATAATAAACAAGAACAAATAAATAACAGACCGCGAAAGGCAACAAAAAACGATTTTAAATAATAATATAATAAAAAAATAAATAGTCCGGCTAAAATAATAAATTCGGACAAGCAATATAATCTCAATATTCGGCACGCGGTGGACTATCAAAGAGTATTCCTTATACGAGCTATGCAAGCCGACCCTGTAAAATATCTCAACCGCCTACCTCAACTATTTCATGGCTGGCCGGCCAATCAGGGTAGATTTCGCCGCTGGCTCTCGCCTAGCACGTGCTGATCACGCACTGTGCATTTGTGTATACTGGTGCATTTCGAATTTGAATTCGGTATAGAAAAAATCATAATCCTTGAATTATTGTTGGTATATTGAAATAAAATCAGAAGAGACCGCTCCTATTAATTCTAGTTTTCTATCTTTTCTCTACTGGAAAGCCAGTTACCGGTAGCGGCTAGACAACTAACTTTTAATCTATAAGGATATTTCGAGATTTTTTATTTTTTTCTTTGGTTATAAGCTTAAAGCTACGTAAAATTCTAAATTTGGAATTTGTGACACATCTAGAAGTACCTTAGAATTTTAATGATCTGGCAGTGGTCAATGTCGAAACTAAAGAAATTTGACAAGCGATAACTCATAAAGTATGAGGTATAATTACTAGATATTTTGGTAACCTAGCCAGCTATAGTATATCTTCAAGTGTAGTGAAAATTAATATTGTTGCTTTATCCACAACGAACTTACAGGGTGGTCAAAAGTGCCGCTAATACCTTCGAGAAAAGGACGGTAGGGCTATGCTCGACTTGACGGGGGCACTGACGTGCCTCCAGATTAAAGGGGTTACTTGGAAAAGTGTGTTGGAAAGCTAATTATGGGTTTGATTTGTTTAGTTGACATAAAACAGAAGTATCCTAGTTTTGCACGGTTGCTCGGCCGCCGCTCGACTCAGGAGAACCAAAAGATGGTAAAATTCTTGAACTTTTTTCGGATTTTCGCCTATTCCAAAACCTGGCATTCTAGCCAATATTTCACTATTACAAAAATTAAATACCATTAAATTCTGCGTATAACGAGTATCAATTTGTTCAATTCTGTACAGTAGTATGGCAGAAATCGAAAGATGAAAAATGGTGATATTTACCAATTTTGCTGATAAACGCATTAAGTGACAATCAAACGTTCGTCACACAGAAATTATCATTCTAAATCATAAACCATACAATGAAAGTTGTAGAGCATCAAATTAGCATTTTACATCAAATAATACATACATGCTGAGTGCTGAGCAAATTAAAATTTTCGCGTTCCGTCCAACTCTCCATGAAATTACTTAAGAAGTGGTATTCTGAATTAAACTAATATACATGTACATTTAATTAACATTAAAATATTATATACTAATTTTGCTAATATTATATAATATATGTGAAGTATTCTTCTTAAACAACAATCACCATAATGTCTATATCTTCACTTCATGGGGGGTTAATATTTCGTCAAAAGTTTTTTTGTAAAATACCACTGCGTCTAATCCAGACGGAAACTAGCTTGTCAGTAAATTTTTACTTGTAAAACAAATTTGCCTAACGAAGTGTTGTGTCAAATTTCTTTTACGAGTAAAAAGCAACTTACAAGCTAGTTTGGGTTTGCATTCTATGCAGCGTTGTTTTATCAAAAACTACTTTTTTATTTTTTAGATTACTCTTCCAATGCCATTTTTTCAAGGAATCATGGCATATTCTTACAAATACGCTTTGAAGTCGAGGGCCCATAGTCGCTCACATTTGGCTCACAATCTTTCAAAACTGACTTGTTATTGTTTGACATTTTGGCCGAGATCATGATATCATCTCCATATTCTGTAACGTAAAAACTGAATTGGGCCTTACTGAGTTATGAGTATATGAAGCAATTGTAATAGAGACCTGACTGAGATCAAGATATTAATTGAACAACGTCATCTTCGTTAACGACTAAAGGCGAGATGTCATCATCATCGGGCGCATTTGAGCATGAATGTCCTTTCAATGACATTCAAAGCAGATCGCCGAACATTTTATTTCTGCTTTCTGACAACTTCAGCGATCTCGGCATCCCGTAGAGCACTTACAGGACACGCTGTTGAGTACTTCTGGGGTGCTACTTCCTTCATGGTGTGCACGGCTAGCCATAAATGGCTACAAGGAATTTTATCCCAACAGCATCTATCTCATCAGCACAAGCATTATTTTTGAAGATAAGCGCAGCATCTGTCACCTATGTTCCTGTCAAAAGGTTTGACAAACTTCATTTCCTCCTGCTGATACAATGATGACGTAGTATCACATCCACAAAGCATGCAGGAATAGAATGTTTGATTTTAAACTTTCCAAATATTTGAAGTATCTGGGAGAGTACAAATTATTTTGAATATAGTGAATTGCAATTGTAACAATGAGTCTATTGGCATCTTCTTCTGTCTTTAACAATAAATCCTTCATCATATAGCTTTTTATGGAGCTTGCTAATTAGAGGTTGTTGGATAACTTTTTAACCCTTTTGAAGTTGCAAAACTGGTAAAAATAACTATTTTTAAGCATCAATTTTAGCAATACTACTGAACCAAATAGAACGCATAATTGTTGGACGACGGAACACGAAAATTTGTATTTTCTCGGCATGTATTACTTGATGTAAAATGCTAATTTGATGCTCTGTAAATGTGACTGTATGGTTTATTATTAAGAATGGTCGTTTCCGTGTGACGAACGTTTGAATGTCACTATAATGCGTTTATCAGCAAAATAGGTAAATATCACCATTCTTCATCTTTGGATTTCTGCCATACTACTGGACAAAATTAAACGAATTATACGTAGAATTTATTGGTCTTTAATTGTTGTAATAGTGAAATATTGGCTAGAACGCAACGTTTCGGAACTATAAGCGAAAATCTGAAAAAAGTCCAAAAATGTTACCATCTTTTGCTCTTCCTGAGTCGAGCAGCGGTCGAACAACCGTGCTAAACTAGGATACTTATCTTTCGTGGCAACTGAACAAATCAAGACCATAATTAGCTTTCCAACACTTTTTTCCAAATGAACCCTCTAATTTGATTGACCTATTATGGAAATTAAATAATTTTGTGAATAAGAACTTTTTCCAGTTCTTTCATTTTTTGATTTAAAACCTTTTATCTGCCAAAATTCACGAGGATAGGGTATCAGAATTCCTCATCTTGCTATTTTGGCTTTTATTAAGATCTAATGGCACTAATCATAAAAGTGAATTTAATTATAAATATTAATATATAGAAGGTAGGCAATCTTATACAGCAGCATACTATACAACAAAAATTATAAATAAAGTAGTCTTTATTCAAATTTAAAATTTCTGCATCATTTTTTGAAAACGCTAAATATCAAAAACCTTGCATTTAATGCATAAACTTCTTTAATGAAACTGGTGGATATTAGTCAAACCTGTACAGTAGATTGTCTAATATCCACACTCACACCTTACCTTTGAAAATATAACCTAGAATTTGTTGTGTAGTTGTCTAGAAGTTATAAGAATTATTATCTTCTAATAATATAAACATATTGTGTGGTTACATTAATATTATAATAAAAACAATTTTTAGATGCTAAAGCAGCAGAAGCTGCACAGTCTGCTTATTATGATCCCAATAGACCGCAAATGGCATACGTACCACCACCAGCATATTATGTAAGCTATATTATTTTTCTTATAAAATTTTATGAATAAAATATATTTTACTTCTAGGAAAATCCACCAAGTTACAATCAGGCCATGAATACCAACAAAAAGGAACAGTAATGCTTATAAATCAGTATTTATAAATATATATATAACATAGTATTTATAAACTATACTAAATCAGGCACTTTATAAAATAAAATACTAATTATACAATTTTAATCAGCATAGAATTATTTTGTATAGTGTAATTTTGAATATATCTAGAGTATTGTCAAAGTTTGTATTGTTAACATTTATGAAAAGTGTATAGAAAATATTTTTATTATATTTAGATATTACAGTTAATTTACGTAAATAAGCATTCCTAGAACCCTTGTCGCTGCTTTTTCAGTAAATATTAGAATTGTTTTAAGTAAAATTACATATGAGCGGGCTTATATTTAGTCATTGTTTTATATTTTATTCATTTATAATTGTTACTATTTGTTTAATAAAGCTTACAATGTATATTAAATATATTTTTATTAATTCGCACACTGCTATAAGACCTGGCACAACCTTAAACTTATTACAAGAGGATTCTGAGGAACTGAGCTTGCATTAGTAGTTTCTAGAGAACTACAATATCTAGATCCCAAATTTTTTGCACATCAGTGTTTCTCAACGAGGTCTATCGATTAAAACTATTTGCAATATGGTGGCACTTCGGAAATACCGGAAGTAGACAACAACTTTCGTATTTTAAATGGATACTCCTATTTTTTATTATAAGTCATTTTCAAAATGACTTGTGAGTTAAGTCTTTATTCCCAAGTAAAAAAAAAGATTTATGTCATTAGATAAAGATTTAAGTCTTTTTGGAAAAGATTGAAGTCTTTAAAAAAGATTTAAATCTTTTTTGTAAAAGACTTAAATATTTCAGAATATTTAAATTTTTTATAAGATTTAAGTCTTTTTAGAAAAGATTTAATTTTTTTTAATGACTTAAGTCTTTTACAAAAGACTTAAATCTTCTAAAAGATTTAAAAATTTTCCAAAATTCTTTACAAAAATGACTTGACTTGAAAGAAAATGACTTAAGTTTTGAACTTTATATTGAAATTGACTTGAGACTTAAATCATTTTGATTTTAGAATTGACTTAAGAATTAAGTCATTTTAAAACTGACTTGTTGCAGCTCCGTATGTAACTTAAATCTAAAAAGTTTATGGAATTTTTTATCAAACACTCAATCTTTATATCAAATGGCGCAGCGTTGGCTTAAAAATGACAAACAATATTTTTTTAACAAAGTGTCATAATTTAACATGTCCATATTTATTTTGCTGTTTTGCATTGTTTAACGTTTAAAGTCGTAGGCAACCTGGAGTCAAACAAATATAAGCTTTAAAACTAAATATTAAATAACTTAAAAATTATTTAGTTTATAGGGATATGTATAATTAAAAAGAAACGAATTGAAAACCCTTTTCACTAGTAAAATAAAAAAAATTGGTTTCCACTTGAAAAATTAATTTATATTTGTTATCACTTGATTCCATGACAGCTACGGACAATATTATATGACATTTGAACAATTTAATTTTTGAAATAGATAGCACACACGTCTTCGCTTTATGTCACAGTGACTGTGGTAATCACTAAATTTGACCAAAGCCTATAGACACAAATTTTTTGATAGGCAGTTTTTTGTGACAAAAATTTTTAAATAATTTAAAAACGGTTAATGTTAGATATAGAGTGTTTAATATAAAAATTCATAAAATTTTAAGATAATTTAAATACTTAATAAAAATTAGGGTATCCATTTATATGAGGCGTCAAATTGCAAAACCCGTCTTATCCCACAAACGTGGTTTCCAGATAATAAGCAAAAACTGTTTTAGCAAATGTTTGATTAGTTAATTTTCAAAAAACGTGTCCATTGAGTGGAATAAAATAAAAATTAATATTTAATTTTTAAACAAAAAAATAATAATTCGGATAAGGCGGGTTTTGTTGCAGTTGCATGCATATTGGCTATGAAATGAAGAACGCTCTCATTTTATAGGCTTGGTGCATTCTCCGCCGCTGCTGCCACCGCCCGAGAATATCGTAAATAACGAACACATACAAATACACGGGTTTAAATGGAAAGTAAAAGAAAAAATTAGTATATAATTATTCTAAAAGTGTTAGAAAGTATAATTTGTGGAAATTCTAAACAAAAAAAATAAGAAGGTAAATATTTTGATATCTTCAGAAGGTCTAACTTGCATTATAATTTATTATTCCAGTTAAAAATAAATTGGCGCCGGGAGGCACGTATAGCCGCCCATACTAAAATATGTTAATATCTCGAAAACTGCGACTTTGCCTGATTTTGATGTTATTACAAATTTTGTTGCAAATATTATTCCTAATCTTAATTTGAAAACCGCGTTTCGCTAGCTACTGTAATTTTGGAGTTACGATTTTTTTTAATTTTTAACCCCCTCCTAAATGTGCTATGGGTATGGTCGGCTAAAAATTATATGAGTTTGAACTACGGTAGCGAGCATAGTCTTATCACCGGTTTTGCTAGTGGGGCATAATTGGAGCTATTTTGGCTATAACGACATTTTTTAAAGGTACATAATTATAATTTTAGAAGATGTTCATAAAACATTTAATCACTAGTTAATTAAAAAAGTATACCAATAATATTGCACACACACACAAATTATATTTCATCCTCTCATAGTATATGTATGGTATATGTCTATTTAATTTTTTGATTATGTAACGAGCACTTTGTTTACTCACTTGTTTCGTCGAACTGCTTGAATCCATTTTTGCTATTGATCAAATCGGTGTAAGAAATTATGAAGCTATAAAATATTGTTTAGGGAGAGTTGAGTATCCGGGAAAGTTGAGTTATTGAATGTTATTGCACCCAAGAATGCCCTAATTATGCTCTCGGCAATTTTATTAATATTTGAAATTGTCACAACACAACAAGACGCCTAGTTCGAATTCTTTTTCACTTATTTTTTACTACCAGAAACAGCGTTACATCACACAAACTTCGTATCTGAGTGTTTTATAGTCTCAATAACTGCACTAGCAAAAAACTAAAATACTTAAATATTACGACAAAACCCCATTTCAATATTATTTTAATGCGATCGACATGACGGCGGCGTGAACTATTTATTGATAATTTCTGATTTCTGCCGTAGAGTGCGCTGCGGTCGGAATTTGTTAAAATCAACTGAAATGGACCAAGCCTATATGTGAATTTTTATGGGAAATGTCAGCGATCGTCATTTCCTAGCCAACTGGACGCCGTTTTTTTCGATCATACGGTATTTGCATCTTAACTTGATTTATTAAATATACTATTTTATTGAAATTAAGTAAGGTTTTGAAAAGACGTCAGTAGTAATATTATACTTGTGTTAAAAGCTTATGAAAAAATGCGGAATTTGTAAAAATAATGACAATAAAAAGCAAATATTGTATGTATGTATGTCCGGTTTTACAGCGTCCTTCGTCGCCCTCCGGTCTCCATGCGCCACCTCTATTATCTCAATCTCTCTCTATTACTATAAACGCCTCTCGTCTATTATCCCAATCTCCTGGTAGTAGGTTCATTTCCGACATGGCTCTGTCAATTCCATGATTCCAGGAGAGTTTAGGTCGGCCTCGTTTACGTCTGTCTGTAGGTGTCCACTGCAACACTTGCTTTGGTATTCTATTGTCAGCCATTCGTTGTACATGGCTGTACCACTGCAGTTGTTTTTCTTGTACAGTACGTCTGTCCGTTCTGTAGCTACGGGGTATCCGTGAGAGGGGAAACGATATTCTCTCGATGTTTTTCGTAAAAAAATAGACGACCCGTCCCATCAATAAAAATTCAACAAATTTGCAAGTAGCCAATAAAATGAGTGGGCGGAGCGATTTGCGGTGACGCACTCGTGAAATCGACGTATAAAATATATTGCTGTTTATTTAAATGTTTTTTGTCCGCATTCCTTTCATAGACACAGATCCAGCAGATGTACTGTATATCTTGTACAATGTTACCCTCCACCTTCATTTTTTCACGAATTCTCTCGTTCTTAATTCTGTCTAAACGGGAGATTCGGGCTGATATTCGCCAGAAGTCCATTTCGGTCGACAACAACTTCTTTTTATGTTTTTCGCTTAACTGCCATACCTCAGAGCCATATAACATTACGCTTTTCAGAATCGCGATATAAATCAGTTTTTTTCTATGATCCGAGATATCCCTAGACCAAAGCACCGAGTTCAGGGCTCCTATCACCTTTCTGCCTTTACCAATCCGTTCTTCGATTTCCTTTTCGCATCTCCCTTTGCTTGCGATTTTTACCCCTAAATACATATATTCTTAGCAAGCTTCAATTTTTATATTGTTATTGTAATATATAATATATACATATTATTACATCATGTTTGTAGGTACATAGAATTAAAAAAATGTTGATTTTATCCTAGTTCTGCGATATATAAATAAAATATTATTTAAATATTAAAACGCAGTTTCATTGTAGAGTTTATACTGGCTATTTTAAACATTATTAAAATATAGTATTATTAAAATATATATAAAGTTTGATTTCCACTCAACCACCGAGTATTTCACATTGGCGACGAGGATAAAAAAATAATCAGTCTTAGTCTCCATTCCTGGAAAGAAAAACATAATTTGAAGAAAGATTTTAAAAAAATGGAGGAAACTGAGAAACCATCATATTATGGAAAAATGAGAGAATTCAGTGCTCAAAATAGTGACTGGGGGATAATAGTGACTGGCGTCTGGAAAATTATTTCACCGTAAATAGCATAACTGACAACGAGAAGAGGAAGGCATTGTTGCTTAATGCTCTGGATGAGGAAGCTTATAAACTTATCTATAATTTGGCTTTACCAAGATTACCAGAAGATGCCAGAAGATAAGACCTACAATGAACTCACCGAACTGTTCAATACACATTTTAAAGTGGCTGAGTCAGTATTCGTAGCAAGGTCAAAGTTCTTTACTTCGTTCAAAGATACTCATGAAAGTGCGACTGAATGGGCAGCAAGAGTTCGAAGTATGGCAATTAATTGTAGTTTTTCCGAAACAGTTTTTGACATGACGTTACGTGATCGATTTATCATTTATCATTGGATTTGATAAAGGACAAGTGCAGTCAAGATTGTTTAAATTGGATATTTCTACCAAATTTGCTGAAGTAGTGCAAGTTGCTGTAACTGAGCTAGCAGCTGAGGAAAAAAAGGGTGTTTCTCCTGCAATGCTCATGTTTGGTCGCGATTTAAGAATAAGATTTTCGGTATTAAAACCTGATCTGAACAACAGTTCAAATGAAAAAGTTCAAAATCGAGTTCTTAACAAGCAAAAAATTCAAATAAAGAATTTTGGAGGTATTTTAAAAAATAAATTTCAGCTTGGCGACAAAGTTTTAGTAAAAGATTATAGGCAAGTAAATAAGGTTTCTTGGATACCAAGGATACCAGGTACTATTCTAAAAATAATCGGTAAATGTACATACATAGTTTACATTCCTGAGATCGAAAAAAATAGAAACGACATACAAATCAAATAAGAAAAACAAAAATTCAAAGTGGTATTGTTGATTCTGAAGTTTCTATCCAAAATAGCGATAATAATGATGCAATTCAAATAGAAAAAAGAGAGATTAGTAATAATTTATATTATTACTAATCATCATACCTATTATTACTAACCATCATACCTTTTGATGTACCTTCTACATTTAAAGGGAGGCCTAAAAGATGTACAAAACCTCCAGATAGATTAGTTTACAATCCTTAATTTCTTAGTATGTTAATTTATAGTGTAAGAAATTATTCTTTATTATTATCACATAATAATTATTTGATTAATGTTTATAATTTATTTTTTGTGTAAGATGCAAATTAAATTGTTAATTAATGTTTACATTTTTGAAAGTGTTAAAGAATTTTTTTATTTATAACATTTTAAATTGTTAAAGATTTTTCTTAAAAATTGTTCAGATGTAACATTAATTAGTAGGGGAGAATGTAATATATACATATTATTACATCATGTTTGTAGGTACATAGAATTAAAAAAATGTTGATTTTATCCTAGTTCTGCGATATATAAATAAAATATTATTTAGATATTAAGACGCAGTTTCATTGTAGAGTTTATACTGGCTATTTTAAACATTATTAAAATATAGTATTATTAAAATATATATAAAGTTTGATTTCCATTCAACCACCGAGTATTTCACAGTTATTTAATACTAGGTCTTCCAACTCGCCACCAACACACATATATCTTGTCTTTTTCTTGTTTAGGTCCAGTCCCCATTTCTCGTACTCCTCTGTCAGTTTTCTGGTTATGTATTCTAGGTCTTCTTTGTCTTGGGCCATTACTATCTGATCATCGGCGAAATGCAGAGTGTACAGAGAAAGGTTGTCATTAATAGGTATTCCCATCTGAGAGCACTTCTTGCGCCAGTGCTTAAGAGCTTCTGATAGGTAGATTTTAAATAAAGTTGGGGACAGACAACAACCCTGTTTTAGACCTTTGATATTGGGAATAATTCAGATAGAGGTTAGGCCTATTTTAATTCTTGCGGAACAATTGCAGTAAAGTTGCTGTACCGCTTTTATTAGTGTTATATTTATTGGGCTTTTTTCGAGAACTTCCCATAGTTTCTTAATTGGTACCGTATCATAAGCCTTACTAAGGTCCACAAAAAGGAGATGAATTTGGTCGTTATTCGTTGCCGTCTCAATGATCTGTGTTCTCCCTTTTCTCAATGATCTGAGTTATTGGAAAGATATTATCAATGCATGAGCGGCCTGCCCTGAACCCGGCTTGTTCTTCAATCTCATGGAGGCTAAATTCATCTTCTATTAGGATTTTAAGTATTTTTCCGTACAGTCTGCTAAGAGTGTCAGACACAAAAAGCAAATATAAATGGATAAGACTAAAGTAGGTAAGTATTTTGCTGCAGTAACGTAATTTGTAGTGAATTTTATATAGGAATAGGCGACTTTTACCGTTCAGAAAAAATAATTTTGTAAACAGAAATAAATATATAAATTATTATGTTCTCAAGTATAAAAATTTGTTTTTATTATTATAAATGCAAATATAAATATAAATTTTCTAAAATATCATAATGTCTCTGTGGTCATCGAACTTGCCGCGAAACCTTGCGTTTTACTTACAAGTAGACAAGATTTATTTTTCAAATACAAATAAGCCTGGAAGCTCTCTTGTTAGGACAGAATTACACAAACATATAGTTTATATTATCTGCTGCAATGGTTAGCAAAACCTTTAAAATCCAGTGTTTAAAAGAAAACGTTTTGATGTTTAGTGGTATTTTAAACAAGTATTATTTTATTAAATAGAATGTATATATATATATATATAATAGACTTAGTTTTTTATAATTTATTCATTAAAAAGTAATAGCTAATTAAATGCATGATACTTCTTATTTTCAGCAAGAAGATTATAGTAAAATCTATCAGTTGCATGGACATACTTGACATCACCAATGGCACTGAAATAAGAACCAAATGGTTAATGGTTAATTACAGTATTACACTAAGATTTCTGAAATTCTCACCACTTTTTTTCTATTTTCTTTGGTGCACTAATCTGAGTCCACCTGCTCTCTCTATGTTGATTGAAAATCATCAATCCCAAAACTTCAATCCACAAACCTATTTTCATGCAGTCTGAATTTTCCCAGTTTCCTAATAGTAAACTAGTGAAGCTTAAAACATCTGCAGCATGCCCTGCATCTAATAGGTTACCAAAATATTTCAAATAATTTTCAAATAGGAAAGAACTGAAATTATTAGGCTGGGCATTAAATTCATCAATCAGTTTTTCAATATCACAATTAATCCTCCAAGAAGACCCTAAAGATTGGATATTTAATACCTATAACATTGTGATAAAATTAGGTTTACCATCTACTTGTCTTTTGGGGTTCAAAACTCTACCTAATCCATGGAATAATCCTAATTTTTCATCTTTGCCCATATTTTTAATAGTAAATTTGTTGCCCAAACATTTTTTATGAGATTTCTTGTTATCTGTTATAATATGGAGATCAGCAGACTCTAAAATAATAATCAATATTTTATATTTTAATAAATGTATATTTATAGCAATATCCTCCTTTTACCTCTTAAACTGGCCATATAAAACTGGTGTATAGCTAATCGTATATCGCCCCCTGAAGAAGTTATAACTGCCTCTCTAATAGCCGGAGAAGGCACTTTAAATGTGTTTGGATCTCTTTTTAGAACATCTTGTGCTCTTTCTATGGCCTTTTTTAATAAAGTGGGTGCACAAGCATTAAAACTAAAATAAGTTTTTCAAAAGGATATCAGATCAAAATTGCCAAGAAATGGGTAGGAAGGTTAATATAATATATTTTCAATTAAGGGGTCAAAAAGAAGAGTTTAGTTTATCCCAGTATTTACTAAATTTATCTATATATACATATAAAACATCTTACATTTTTTATAACTAAGATTTGGAAATTAATTGTCAATAAAACCTTAATGCTTTTTAAATACCTATCCATTTTTGACCTTCAACCCTACTACATAAAAATTATACCAAATGATGGAAAAAAACTGGCATTAAGTTACCTCAGAAATGACCATCTAAGGATGACATGCATCATATAATTTTACCTATGAAAGCCTTTTAAAGCAATTTTTTATCTTAAGGTATATACTTAAATGTAAATATTTACTTGATATTTGCAATGGAATATTTCATTTGAACTTCCTCTGGAAATAAAATTCTTTGGAAATTTAGGTCTTTGCTTGATGTATCTGAACAGATAAAAATCACAGGATATGTTGCTTTGTAGTAGCATTCCCTAAAAAGATATAGTTTATTTGCAGCACATGCAGTCAATTTGACATACTCAAGAATATCAAAAAACTCTCCAATTCTCTTTAAAAAAATATTTGGAAATTCTTTAACAAGCAATATTTTTTTACTATCACTGGAATCAAATAGAGAACTATACTTTGATTGGGAAAAAAAATCTAAAAATCTAGATGTTTGTGTCGAACCATGAACGAACTCAAAATCAATATCAACAGGATTTATCCATTCCACTACCTTAACATTCATTGATTTACAAACTGTTAATGTTGTAGCAGTCTTTCCACATCCTGTTGGACCTGTTAGAAGAAGAAATTGTGTGTTCTTCTGTAAATAGTTCTTATATTTATGTTAAAAATCAAGTTATGCTTTTATTCACCTTATGATTGGTTAAATGTAAAGCAAATTTTAACCACTCTTCAATTTCCTTTATTTTTTTAGGATGTACACAAAGATCACCAACAGTTTGGGGAATAATATCATTCAAAAAATTGATCTCAGTTATATTGTTACTTATTGTTTGGTGGTTATTTTTCCTGAAGTTTACCAAACTTTTACGATTGGTTTTTAGTTTTTTATGCGGAATATTTTCATCTAGAATAGCTTTAGGTCCAAAATCAAACGATTTCCACTAGAAATAAATGTCGGTTTTTTAATGTATACTAGGTACATTTAGTATTAACTGTAATTTTTCTTACTCGATTAACACTCTTCATTTTATATTTTCTAGTTTTCGTTAATATTTTTCTAAAAAAAAACAGGTATGTATGTTATGTATTTATCTATTCTATGTTGATTCCAGTTGATTACAGATTACAGATGTACACTATATAAAATTTAGCTAATTTTTTTTTGACAAATCAAAATAAAATATTTAGATCAAGGACATCAAGAATCAAGGACGATTATAATTTTTAATCATATAACCTTGACTTAATTTTTAATCATATAAAATGACTATGATCTCGTTCAAGTCTAGTTCCTATATATATTTGAATCCGAACCGCGGTCCTCGGCCGTATTATGGTCAGTGGCCCATCTGGTGGCCTACTAAAATTTGCCGAGTGAATCCAAGGTTATTAAAAGATAAGGTTGTCTCTTAACTTTTCATATCTCTGGATACGAGACAAGCTTATCTTTTACCTTTATCTTTTAAAACCTTGGGACCTTTGAATAACTTGGGACAGGTCTCTAGCATGGTACAAAGAATACAAGGTATGATATTGCGCAGGTTGGTTGCTACGTCACAGGTGATAACAGGCGCTATTGGTCAGCACGCCTCGCGCGCCAGTTCAAATCGTCAAGATATTGTTATAAACCTGTTTTTTTGTTTATATACCGTCATTGAATTATCGCTAAGCAAGTTACTGTGGAGTAGTGCATAAGGAGTCGGGTTAGGGAAGCGGAGACCGGAGTTCGAATCTCGGCCGGGACATAACTTTTTATTTATTTTTTTAAATACTGTTGTATTCTATAGTTTATTTTTGTAGTATAAAAAAAAGAACTATTTATTCTGTGATTTTTTAATCTCCGGTATTAATATAAATTGATTGTTGGTACAATACCTCATTTAATATAAAATAATATTCTACTTTTTGAAATGTATCGGGCCCTAATTGTACCTAAAAGTAAAATATATTTTTACTGATATACCATATTGTAAACTATTTAATATTTCAGTCACTTAAAAAGTTAATTTGCATTGAATAATTGCCTACCATTAAAGTAAATTTGAGCTATATAATCCTTGATGGGCATCTTCCTCTAAATTTTGGGTTTCGTTCAACCGATTTATTCTCAAAACCTGAAACATCTACATATAAAAAGAAGCACAGGTCACTAATTATAATAAACCTCACCCTTGGAATTACTTCCACTAATTATAATAAACTTCACCCTTGGAATTACTTCTATCACAATTACAATACATTCATCTGCATTGGCATTTTCTACTGTTCAATGGGAAACAATAAACTTTCCAACATTTTTTAAATGATGTAACAATTCCTCTTGTGGTTACTTTTCCATAGATATCCTCATCTCTGTCCTCATGTGAATTCAGAGGCAATGAACATGAAAATTATTTACCATAAACATCGCAAACTAAAACCTAATAAACAATTTTATACCGAATATAGAAATAAATTTAGTATTCTTACCTATTATCGTCCTAATCCATGTTAATAGATAATTATTATTTTTAAATATATTTTTTGGAACTGCTGGTTTTAGTAATTATTAAATTAAACGAACTAAAAAAGTCTTAAAATAAACAATTCTTAACCATAACCCCAAAAATACAGATCTCCTGTCAGAATTTACACTATTGCCTGCTATTGCTCCTATTGCTACTCACGAGCGCAGATGTCCTAAACTTGTAAACTGCTCCGAAATGTCACTGCGATTTTCTTGGAACTGGAGCAGTCACATACTGCGACGTTGGTGGAGCTGTGACAAAGTAGCGGACTGCGATTTCACAACCCACCTCTATTCTTTAGTCATTGTATTAGGTTAACTGTTCTTGCCTCATACAAAGGAAAATTATGTGGTCATCGTGAAACAAGAAGAAGATCTCTATATCTTTGGTCGTTTGTCACTGTCAAAGGTTGTGGTTTAGGTTAGTAAATTTATAAGATATATTTAAAATAAAGGTTTTCTTGCAGGTTTTCAAGTTAATTTATATTTGAAAACTTACAGAGAATGGCCGAGGAAAATCGCCTGAGAATCGGACCTAAAGAAGGTGTAACATACCCTATTCAAGTTGTATATTGTGGCAATTGTACAATGCCTATTGAGGTAACTCATCATTTATTATTTTGATTTTCATTCGATTAAAGAATTATTTATAGTATTGTGAATATTATCCCGAATATGACAGATGTAAACAATGGCTAGAAAAAAATTTGCCCAGAGAATTTGAAAAAGTGAAAATAGGAGATAATAGTGACACAGCAATAGGCGAAGAGGAGAAGAAAAGACAAAAACGAGGTGGAAAAGGTATTATCAAAACTAAGAAGAAGGAAGAAGGGCCTAAACAAGTATGTGTATCTAGAGCACCAAGAGGAAAAAAGAAGTCTGTGACTGTTGTAACAGGACTTAGTACTTTTGGTAAGGTGATAAAAATCAATGGACGTATAATAATATTGGTCAATTTTAGACATTGATTTGAAAGTAGCTGCAAAATTTTTTGGACAGAGATTTGCTTGTGGCTCCTCAGTAACAGGCGATGATGAAATTGTGATTCAAGGCGATGTAAAAGATGATTTATTTGATGTAATTCCTGAAAAGTGGTCAGAAGTAGGTTAATTTTAATAAAAAATGTGGGTTCTATTTAACTATTAACTATTTTAGATTGATGAAGATTTTATTGAAGATCTAGGAGATCAAAAAAGATAATTTAATAAACTATTTGTATAAAAATTAATTAACATAAATAAATGTAACAAAAAATATACATTTTGTTCTTTAATCTAAGTTTTCTTCATCCTCCTGCTCTGTTTTAACAATGTGCAAATGAGGAAAGTGTTTTGCCAAGATACTTAATATAGTTTGTACTTGCTCCTCCGAGAGTCTTTCCTCACTTTCTTCAATCATCTAAAATTACCTACTTTATTATGTATATCTGTAAATGCAAATAAAAGGGAAACTTGCCAACTGAATTTCAAGTGGAGTCGCGGGAGGTGTATTTACTAACATTAATTTTTCAGATTTGTTTAAATTAAATTCCTCCAAGTCTTTTAGACATTGTGTTATATCTTCTGGATTCTGATTTTTACAAGAAGTTTCTTCTAGATATCTCAAAGTCTACAAGTATCTGCATAGAAATGTGAACAAAGCATATATAAATATTAATTTACCTCATAAGTAATGGTGGCAAGTTGTCCTTTTTGTTTCTTCCTACTTTCCTTGATTTTCTGTAAATGCACAAATACTTCATAATTACTTAGACTAGCAGCGTTTTCACTTATTCTAAACGAAAAAAACATAAAATCCTTTATATAAAAATATTAATATTTTAATATACAATAATATTTTAATATATATAGACAATGGTAATATCTAGGGATTACTTGCTTACATTTCCATTTATCCTATCTAGTATAAAATGTATTATTTTTTTTACAATTATATTACTTTTGCAAAGTTAGCGATTCATAAAGAAACAAAAAAAGGAAAATTCAACTCGAACTTCCAAAACATACGATCGAAAACTTCATCGAAATCGAAAACATATTACAGCTGCGTTCGACATTACAAATCGCAGATGAGGGCGGGCAGAGGCCGAGTTAAATCACGTGATTGCGGAGTATTCGGATATGCGATTTTGAAGACGAACGTTTTCGGAGCTGTCAGAGCCTTTCTGTTCAAAAATACTATAAATATAACCTATTTTCTGTGTGGTTCGGTGATATAACCTCAATTAAGAAAAAAAAAGAGAAAAAAGACTTTCCATTTAAATCTGCCTAAAATGGATATAAACACAGACCAGGCAATAGGTCTGATGTTAAATTTGCGAACAGTATATTTTTGGCAGCAGTGATAGTGAAACAGAAGTAGAAAGAGCTCCAAGGGTACAACAATATGCTGAAGAAATTGTGCCACTGACTTTCAGATAAAACATTTAAATCTCATTTTTAGAATAAACTCTTTGTACATTTGAAGACTTACTTGGCAAGTTATATAGCGTTTCTGACTCCACAGTTCATTGTGGAACAGTGCCTGTGCCTTGTGCCACTTGATAAGCAACTTATGGTTACAATTTGGTGTTTGGCAAACTTGAGTGTTTTCGGTGAGTTCTATTCTCAGAGTTATATCAGAGGCAATATGCAACTTTTATTAACCATGGTAAAATTCAAACCTTGTTTTGAGCTGATCGCTTTGGGATCAGTAGGAGTACTTTGTTGGAGCATTTTTATACAGAGTTTGTAATCTACTGCTAAAAGTAAATAAGAAATTTAAAATTATTTCTTGGCCAAGTCAAGTAAGGCAGAAGAAATTGAAAGGGAGTTTAGGGCCATTAATGGATTTCCAGGTAATGTTAATTTGGTTTTCAGTTAATTAGTTATGTTTCATCTAAATGTTTATAGGAATAATAGGAGCAATAGATGGGTCCCACATAAGGATTCTGAAACCAAAAGCAGAAAACCCTAACTCATACTGCAATAGGGAAGAGCTACCACTCAGTTTTATTGCAGGGGCATGACGACAGCAAAAAAATATTCTTGGACGTTTACGCAGGGGAACCTGGGTCTATATACATGATATGCGTTTATTTCGAAAGTCAGACCTTAACTCAAGAATAAGAAATGGCTCTGTGATAATTTCAGAAGATCATCATCTTATTGGAGACTTGGCATATAAGTTGTCACATTATTTACTGGTTGGTTTCAAAAATAATGTAGTTTTAACCCCTGCCCAAATTAATTTCAACAACAAAACTGTCACAATGCAGAGTAGTGATAGAAAATGCATTTGCTCTTCTAAAGGGCAGGTTTCGGTGTTTAAAGTCTTTAGAAACAACTAGATTGGATCTAATCCCACTAATTATTGTATCAGGAACTGTTCTTCATAATATATGCATATTAAATGGAGATCTACTGGAAGATATTGCAGATTTACAATTGGAAGAAGAGATTTTAATTGAGGAAAATGTTTATGCAGTTGTTGATGATCTAAGAGAAGATTTGCAAGCAGTTCGAAAGAGGAATAATATAATGAATGCTCTACTAATGAATTAAAACATTATAAATAATAAAATTCTATAAGGAAATACCCCCCAATTTTGTTTTATTAGTATATTTTCCTTTCTTGGCACTTATAATATATTAGTAAAAAGCAACAGAAACTATTATTTTTAATTTAATTTAACAAAATACAAACATATACATACAAAATGTACAAAAATATAAATACTTATTAAAATGTAAACAAATTATTTTATTCTTGCTTTCTATTGCTTTGTTGGCTCTGTAATATATCAATATATTTTTGAAATAGGTTATTAAAAACAATCCTGTCTCATCATTTTTTCTTTATGTCTCCTCTCTATGCTGTTAGACCTGGCCGAAGATTTTCTTTTTTAACAAAATTAGAATCTTGTAGTGTCTCCTCATTTTTATCTTCTTCATTATCAGTAGCACTCTTCTTGAATATCTTTTCTCCTGACTTATTTACTTGCAATCCAGAGCTGCTGCTGCAAGTAGCAACTGGCAATATTTCTGGTTTCTTGAAGAGAACAGCATGCATTGCATCAAAGAACTCCCACTTTCTTCTTTGCTTGCCTGAAGTATTATTGTGATCTACAATTTCACGATATATTTTTGTCAGTCCTTTCCATTTGGTTTCACATTGCTGCCAAGTTAAAGGTAGTTCCATGTTCCTCGTTAAGTTGGGAAGAAATTTTGTCCAAATATGTTTTTTACACAGGTTTGAAACTGTTCATCTCTTTCACTAACTAAATTGATGAAATATAGAGTTAAATCTCTGGTCCACAATCTCTTACATTCTTGTATTGAATTTGTAGAACAACTTGAATCAGTTGGCGAAAGAGGACTTTTTTTATCGAGGAGTTCTAAAGTTGAGTTATTAGCTTCTATATCTTCATATTGCAAATTTATAGGTTCATAGGTACTTTCTACAAATACAAGTATAAAAAATAATAGTTAATTTTAGGTATTTCGGTATTCTTTACCTTTTTTATTGAAAAATATATGTTTCATTGTTTATTTTATGTATCTCTGTATTTTCATCCAGAATTTCAATCACGGATACTACAGCTTCTTCCATTTTTATCTATGAATCTTAAGTTAAGAGAAAAAACGTTTCACCGTGTGTATTAAAATCTCGTATAAGTAATTATTTATATGCAGTTATAATGTAAAAAACCAAACTTTGATCTGCTATGGATCTGCTTTAAGTCCCGGCCACATATTATTCCTGTGGCTTTAGTTCACATTTGAGGTTATATTATTGCCATAAATCGACGGACGAGGTAAACTCAAACAAATTTCCTGCCTTTTTCGGTGGAGCCTCGATAAGCTCCTTCAAATTATCCGGAGGAGATCGAGCTTCCGCTCTTCGGAGCGCTCGCAAATGTAATACCGAACGCGGAGCAGATTGAGAAAATCAGAAAGATCTGCAATGTCGAACGCAAAAAGATTGATTAAGCGTTCGAGGAGGTAATAGATTTCAGCGTTGCCAATGGTCCAAACTTATATTCCACGGCGAACATACCCAAATTCCACAAAATTCCACAATCACTAGCCAGGGGCGCTATTCTGTACAATCGTCGGTATCGGCAAGTTACCGACAGCTATCGGTACGTACGGCCAATGAGCGTCGTGTTGATTGTTGTTGCGTCATAGTTACCGGTAGAGATACCGATTTTTCGTCGGTACAAATTTACGATATCTGCCATAGGACCGATCGGTAACTATGAGAACAACAATTAACACATTTTTTAGGTATACCCATTTTTATTATATACAAATACGTATCGAGAGCTGTCGTAACTTACCGATACCGACAATTTTACAGAATAGCGCCCCAGGTTCGGTCTTTTAGGTCTGCGACCAATCCGACATTTTTTTTTATATAAACCACGTGATCTTAAAGGGATTTTACATAATATAGTGACGTGTGATATGTGATATGTCGAAAATTTCGTTGGATTGCTTGCAGATCTAAATACCCAAATACGTTTAAACTACCTATACTGCGGCCTCCCCATAAGAGCAATGAGAGATATTATGTCCCAGTATTGAAGGGACAGAAAATCGAGTCGAATGGTTTCAAGACATAGGTTCATCCTTGTTTAGTCAAACCTCCTACCACACAAGGATAGACTTATGTAGGAAATGCATTGAAATTCTATAGCCATCCTTAACATCGGGACAGGAATTTAAGCGGTACCCTCCGTATAGGTAATTTTAAACGTATTTGTAAATACCGAACCTAGCTGTTGACCTCCACGGCGACGCTCTTTTTACAGAAATCTGTAAAATTATGATGAGTCTTCTAATTTTTTTTTACTATTAGCTAAATAAGGGGAAAAAAAGGAAAAAAAGAATAATTCCGAAAATTCCACAAAATTCCACATTTATTCTATTCCACAAACGTTCCACAACATTATTACGAATTCCACACATTTTGTGGAATTCCACAAAGATTGGCAACGCTGATAGATTTGTAATGTCGAACGCAGCTTACATATATCGAAAACAGCATGGAAAACAGCTGATAATAGCCACAGAACATAACTAGTGATAGCCATAGAATAAAAGGGTGCAGCCACACTATCCTAAAAACGGCGTATCGGCGTAACGGCGTAATGACCTTGAATAGATTTCCAGTAATTCTATTGGCTGAAACCTTTGGCTGAAACATTCATCTCTCAGAAATGTTATCTGTCAAAAATTTCAGCCAATAGAATTACTGGAAATCGATTCAAGGTCGTTACGCCGTTACGCCGATACGCCGTTTTTAGGATAGTGTGGCTGCACCCATAAAATAATTAACTAGAAAGAAGTGTCAACTCTGTGTTAAATCGTGGAAACACGATACGCCACCGAAAGCCTTCGTTGTCGTCTGGAGAACTATTTTTCCAATTGACAGGTTGACATGATAAGGACATGATGGCTTAATTTTCACTTCCGTTTCCGGTTATTTAATGGCGGGCCCTCTTCAGTTCAAATGTATTTTGTATTTTTCTTTTTCATAAATAAAACCAAAAAATAATTTATTCACATATATTTATTTGAAGTATGGAACAACGTGACTAAATAAACATAAAAAATATAGAGGATTGTATTGTTTCAATACCAATTAGTTAATTATATGTACTTTTAACGTAAATTAGTTAAGGTATAAGCATGACTTACAGTAATTTGTAAATAAACACACGTATTCGCAGACTTCAAGGACAGAAAACGGACACAGGGACATGAAAAACGGGAGCCTTATACAAAAACCTGAAAAACAGAAAAACAAATTTTTTATACTAAAATTAACAATCTAAAAATATCAATAGGTATAAAATATAAATATACTGTTTAAAAAAGCGTCCATTATTCCCAAAGAGACCTGGCTTATAAATCAAAAAAGAAGCAAAAAGAGACTTTTTAGTCGGATAACATAATCAGATTATCAGTCCGATTTATTGCATTATTGACAATAAATCGCACATATTGGAGATAAATGATGTTGGCTATAGTTAAATGATTCACCTTTGCTGTAAATTGTTTCCATTTTCAAAAAATCGCCGATCAAAGAGATTATAACACCATTTTCTTGCATCTAAAAAATGTAAAAACAGTGTTTATTTACTACCTATTTTTCATATACATGGGACATACCTACTACGGCAGAAACGTCATTTTTCTCCAGGATTCTTCATGTAATATATATTTTATATACTTTATTACCTTTTATAATTATAAATTTCAGCCGAAATATTAAATTGAACTTCAAAAACGAAACTAAACGGAATGAATTAAAAATGGCGTCGAATATTGCCGACACAATTTTCGAATTTGTTCTAGAACAAATCTGAAGTTGTCTCTGAAACTGAAATCTGTCAATTCTAAACTGTGAAGTTAGACAATAGTTAGACAAAAACAATGCTATCTTTGTCTAGGCGGCCATACTTGTCGTGAGGAGAATGACAGGAATGACACTAATGACTGTTTCCAATTTTCCTATTTCACTGTCACCCCCCTGGCTGCACCCACGGGGGTGACAGTAAACCGGAAAATTGGAAACAGTTGTGGCGCGGTTCTACCCAGGCAGAAAGCATGGCCTTCTGGACTGTCCAAGACAAAAATCTGAATATTTCTATATGATTTCTGTCAATTTCTGCTACGGAACATTTTTATGCACGTCGGCGTCCTGTTCTTTTGTCTTTTGTCTGTGTGTCAGCGTCAGCTCCCGAGGCCTCTGGCAAGGTCGGGCAGAGACAACTACGAGACGATCAAGCGCATATGGGAATTAGGCCTGCCGGATCTCTGGCCAGATCAAACTTCTTTGGAAAATTAGCATCTGTAGTGAGAGGGCGCTGTTTCGCAAATTTAAATGACCCGGTACATATTTTACTGCTTTTATTTCCGCATCCGTTTTAGTCCCCCTGCCTCCCGCTAGTCCCGCTTTCTACGCGACGCCGCGGCAGCCATTGCTCATATTCTCATATCAAATATCGATTGTCGATTTGATTTTTCGCTTGCGAATTTCCAAATTATTTGAGTTGTATTAGCAATATTATGTGTGTTTAAGTGATCACTAATATCCTATATATTGCGCGAATTACCCAGAGGTATCTATTAACCACAATAATTAGTGAATTTCAACGCAATTAGTTAATTTTATTTGAAGACCAACATGGGAACAAGGCCTATATTTCGCTCAAGAGAAAATGTTGTATTGATAGATCTATGGAGGAAATAACAAAGATGAGTCCAGAATTTAGCCAAAATGCATAATTTTCCAAAAATACTGAAAAGTAAGTACATATAAACATATGTTTAGTATTGCAATAAAACTGATAACATTTTCTTCTCCGGTGATGGGAGAAGCTATGACAAAAAAAGTCAAAGATAATTCTACTACGAAAATACAATATTCTTTTGCCTGAGGCTAGCCAGCTTAGCTTGTTTAAAAATGCTATATTAAAAACACATTTGTGAATTTTATTTGTAGATGGACATTTGCTGTTTATATACTTTCGAGTCAGATATTAACTTTCTTTGAGGATCAGCTATATTTTAATAATTGAGGAGTAAGAAAATTAATAATGTTTTGTATTTGTAGACCAAAAATATGACAAGAATCTTTGAAAATATAACACAATGCCTTTTGTAATTATGTTGTTTTGTGATGATAGTAAAATTTGGTTGATATAAAACTATTCCTGCTCTATGAATGACTCTGTGATAACGTTACCCAGGATTTAACTAATTCAGGTGAGCAGTTAAGCCCTAGGCTCTAGTATATATATTTTTCAAGTTATTTAAAATACAGGGTTGAAAAATTAGCTTCATATCTTTCTTCATATCTTCTTCTTTTTCAAGTGTTATATAGTTTCACTTCCATGTTTTTATAAAATATGCAGGGAATATTACACTAAATTTTAAAATAATATTTTATATGTCAAATAATACCAATGTTTTTTAAAATATGGCCATTTTTAAAGATTAACTTTTCATACATTTAAAATCACAAAATTGTAAATTCACATTTTCGCTTTTAATTCAACGTATGTATTAAACTGTCCCCTCACATTTGATTTATACAAAGGTACTTTTAATTTCAAAATATTTATTGATATTTTGCAGCTCCATCAGCACAATAAATCATGTTATGTAATTTTGTAGAGAAAAATACAGTATTTTATTTTCTAATGGGACTAATAACAAAATTGAACATTGCAGCATAATCAGGTTTCGCTTAGACAAGAGAAATATATGACCATGAAAGTGTATAGAAGATAGGCCTGAAAATAATAATATTCACTCTTAAAATAAAAATAAAAGTGTTTCAAGTTATAAAAGAACTAACCAGTGTAGAAAATTCACTTTCAAAAGAAAACATAAAAATGGTTGTGGTAAAGAAGCTATTATATTCTATTATTTCTATATATAAACTATTTTGTTTTATTTATAACATCCTAGTTTAAATAAAATATTTCCTATTACTACTTTGGTAAATAATTTTAAGTAATCGGGTCTAATCAATTTTAAAATAGTTAGAAAATAAATTTGTTTTATTCTAACGTATATTTTTTTATATTTTATATTTAATTTAATAGGTAATTGTTTATATTAACTTTTACACATGTATTTATAATCTCTTAGTTATAACTGTGGTTATAAGTATTTATAAAAAGATCGTGTTGCAGATAGAGATGATAAGCAATATGTAAAATTTGTAGGTACAGTTAAAGTGGAATGAACTGATATTTTTATAGAAACAGAACAAAACTACTAAAGGGAAACGAGGTGAAGAGCTGTATGACAGATGAATCCGTCACTTGTCTTGTGGAAAACATGCTTTCTTATGGTTAAGAAGTGGTATATCATCTTCATGTTCTTTCATAATTGAAGCACCATCATTGTGTATCATGTAGAAAAACTGCCGACATTCATAGGTAATCCCAAAGCCGTAATATAAAATAATTTACATCCTATATTCCCTATATGTGTAGGGAAACGTCAGTCACAAAATCTGAAATATAGGGTAAAGGAGCTCACTGCAACTTCTGATAAGACTATCAGAGAGGATAATATACAATCAGAGAGGGTAAAACATAAAGAACTGACTATCTGGTAAACTATTTTTTTTTTGTCTTCCAATATTGGTTTTCACATATTGGAAAAAAATTCATTTATTAATTTACCTTTGTTTTAGTGATTTCAAGATAGTGAAAATTTACACAAGAATATCTATATACTTATTTTTACCTTATGAGTCTATACCCAACAGAAAAATAAAAGTGCTAGTAGATAGTGGGATAAATTTAAAGGATAATATAATATTAACTCAAAAATTAGGTAAGGAACTAACAGCTTTCAGATTAATACCATCGAAGGTGTAATCTTGCTATACAGGGTTATTCACCTCATTCGACACGAGTATTGTAGCCAAAGATTTTGAATTTTTCCAAATTATAAAAGTTTTGGGTTTGTTTAAGACTATTAGAACTACAATTTAAACGTACTTTTTGTAAGATACAGATTGTTCCGAATAAATAAAAAATACCAATGTTGTATTTTTTTTAAATGGAACACTCTGTATATTATGAAATTTTTAGTTTCTCCAAATAAAATAAAGATAACTTTGATTAAGGTTTATCTCACCCTAAAATGCAGTAACAATTTTAATGCTTTATTTTACTCTAGGGTATTTAAGTTTTTAAAAACCAAATATTGTACTGAAGTTTTTCTGTTTTCTAAATTTTGTGTTGCAATAATAAAATAATACTATCTTTTACACAGAGTGTCTAAAATTTTATTTTATATTAAAATTTATTTTAAATAATTACTAGCTTTAAACGGCAATAACTTGTTTAATTTAAATGGAACACCCTGTATATTTTACGTGAATCAGATGCAACAATTTAATTGTATTATATAACATTTTACCTATATCTTCAAATTCTCATAGAAAATGCATTTTCTTATAATATTGACATTTTAGACTGTACCGATGCTAAAAACGATAATATTGTTAGCCCATTTTGTTTACAAAGATAATAACTATTTAAATCTTTGCAAAAGAGTGTACCATTAATTAAATATACCACCATTATTTCCGCCCAAATATTAATTAATCACATTTAATTTGTGTTTAGTTAATAAATTATTATAAATAAATGTAGATTTGAATCAGAAATCAGTATATTAAAAAGTTATGAATATGAACGTCTCTGTTATTATAAATAAGCATTTATCAAAAAATGACATAAAATTTAGGTGTTACTTTTACCACATTGTCTAATACACATACAAAATTCAGTTATTTTAGTACTGGAGCAATTATTAATCAACGCAAATAGTCAATGTATGTAGTTCGAATACTGAGATCATATTAATTAGTCCTCTTTTACATCTACTTAACTAGTGTTTGATATTTTTATTTTTTTGGGACACTGTAGTACTTGTTGCAAATAATTATAAATAGTCCTACAACAAATCAGTACTACAGTACATTACTCCGTGTCTAATGAGCTGAATAACCGTGAATTAATTAAACCAACATTTATAAGAACGAACAATAAATTTTATAGAATTAATCTCAAATACTAAAATACCAAATAAATCTATTATATTTAGTATTGTAGAAAATGCTGATGTTCATACAACCATCTGTTCCAACAAAATGCACTATGATTCTCTGAAATAATGCTACAATCCAAAATTCGATATTTTTCATTGGACTTAGATTGGATGTAGGACGTAGATTATAATATTTTTTCAAGAAGTACTAATAGAAGTATTTAAGTATAAAAATATCCTTGGTGTAGCATATAAAATATCGGTATTCTTAATAGATGGTTATTTTCTTTTTAATATGATATTTAGTCAACATTAACAACTATCAAACTAAAAATTTCAAATTTTCAATGTTTATGTTTGTTTATATATTAAACCAACAGGAATAAATTTTTAATTTGTCATGAAAACAGCTCACATTACAGAACACATTACAGATCAAAACATATCACAATTACATAAAAATGACATAACCAGTATTATATTTTCTAGGTGAACTATGTTCTAAAACAAATTGCAGCACCATCAGGGTTAACATAAACATATGTCATCAAACAAATATACAGTCTTCAGTTTTTAGAGCAACATGACCAAGAAGCAATTGTAGGATAGTATTGAAAAGGAATATGCACTCCTAAGGAAAATGACATGGGGTAATATATCCCAGTAATTTCAATAAATAACAAATTAATATGCTGAAATAAAACATCTATTAGTTTCAAGTTTCATTGTCTTTATTTAATGTTGATTTTTTGTACAAAATTTCAACATTAAATATAATATTAATTAAAGAAGATATTTTATTTCATAATATGTCTTTGTCTTCCACTTTCAAATAAAAAAATGTATTCCTCATATGGTCTTATACGAGAATTCATATATGGCATACTGCAATTAATTATGTGTAATTTTTATTAGTACAGTCTGACATTCTTCTAGCTCTTCTAGCATATACATACATAAAGAAGAAATACATATTTTGTAACCCTTAATTTTTAACTAACCTCAATTTTTTTAAGACTTTAAGGAATATATTTTATTTTACTATAATTAGGTATGCACCTAATAAACACCTTAAAAACCTAAACATGGAAACCTTAGAAAGAATGTTCTTTTTAATTTTTAAGGTGTCCGATCGATTTCGGAATTGAAAGAAAGTACGGTAAATCTGATCATAAAAACTAAATAATTTTGTGAAACAGTTTAATCGCATAATACCCCAGACACCATAAAAACTAAAACATGCCAAATCCGGATGTATGGAAACCCTAATTCATTCACATCTAATAATGCTTTTTTTTTCAAGGATGGACACAGGATAAAAATTTGTCAATGTATTGAAAAGTTTTCTTTGGAAGGAGTTTCGGATGCGGCCACGTTGTTTCGCTGTGCTGAATGTTTGTGTTTCCACGTGGACCCTAACGTGCGTTAAGCATATGGCACGTAAAGCTTTTTCCTGATGTCATGGTTTTTTCATATGAAAAAAAGGCGGATATTCCATTTTTTACTGTTTTTTTACTGCAACATTTGTATCTCAAATGTTTGTTTTATTTCCTTGTACCATTTATTTATTATTATGTTTATTTAAAATTATCATTTTATTGTAACATATTTGAAAATATTATTTTTTATCTCTTAATAAATAATTTAATTCTTATATTAGTCTTTTTATTTGGTAATTATAATATATATATTAAAATATTTAAATTCAAATAAAGGCGCGCTTTTTGAATCGCTTAGCGCCGATCGCAGCGCCAACTATCTCCAGATTCAACGGATCCGTCATTGGATTTTTATATATAGCTATTAGAGAACCAGTTATACACATTGACTTGGGCATCTCGTAGTTATCTCTGGGTCGGGCCAGGGGGGTGACAGTGAAATAGGAAAATTGGAAACAGTCATTAGTGTCATTCCTGTCATTCTCCTCACGACAAGTATGGCCGCCTAGACAAGGACAGCATTGTTTTTGTCTAACTATTGTCTAACTTCACAGTTTAGAATTGACAGATTTCAGTTTCAGAGACAACTTCAGATTTGTTCTAGAACAAATTCGAAAATATTCGACGCCATTTTAATTCATTCCGTTTAGTTTCCTGTTTTGAAGTTCAATTTAATATTTCGGCTGAAATTTATAAATATAATGGTAATAAAGTATATAAAATATATATTACATGAAGAATCCTGGAGAAAAACGACGTTTCTGCAGTAGTAGGTATGTCCCATGTATATGAAAAATAGGTAGTAAATAAACACTGTTTTTACATTTTTTAGATGCAAGAAAAGGGTATTATAATATCTTTTGATCGGCGATTTTTCTGAAAATGGAAGCAATTTACAGCAGGTAAGATCATTGTTAACTATAGCCAACATTAGTTATCTCCAGTATGTGCGATTTATTGTCAATAATGCAAATAAATCGGACTGATAATCTGATTATGTTATCCGACTAAAAAAAGTCTCTTTTTGCTTCTTTTGATTTATAAGCCAGGTCTCTTTGGGAATAATGGACGCTTTTTTAAACAGTATATTTATATTTTATACCTATTGATATTTTTACATTGTTAATTTTAGTATAAAAAAATTGTTTTTCTGTTTTCTGTGGTTTTTGTATAAGGCTCCTCGTTTTCATGTTCCTGTGTCCGTTTTCTGTCCTTGAAGTCTGCGAATACGTGTGTTTATTTACAAATTACTGTAAGTCATGCTTATACCTTAACTAATTTACGTTAAAAGTACATATAATTAACTAATTGGTATTGAAACAATACAATCCTCTATATTTTTATATTTGTTTAGTCACGTTGTTCCATATTTCAAATAAATATATGTGAATAAATAATTTTTAGTTTTATTTATGAAAAGTAAAAATACAAAATACATTTGAACTGAAAAGAGGACCCGCCATTGAATAACCGGAAACGGAAATGAAAATTAAGCCATCATGTCCTTATCATGTCAACCTGTCAATTGGAAAATTAGTTCTCCAGACGACAACGAAGGCTTTCGGTGGCGTATCGTGTTTCCACGATTTAACACAGAGTTGACACTTCTTTCTAGTTAATTATTTTATGGGTCGGGCGCCATTTTAAATTTTGCCGTTTAGATTTGATTGGAAGTTTGTTTCTGATATTTCGGCTGAATTTTATAAGTACAAAGATGTTTTTTGATATAAAGTTCCTTGTTAACACTTTAATAAAGTATATATGATATTAATTACATGAAGAAAATGATGAAATCGACGTTTGCGTGTGTAGTAGGTATGGGCCATATTATATATATATAAAAAATAGGTAATATATTAACTGTTTTTATATTTTTTAGCTTTAAAACCCAAGGATCTTTGAGATATTCTTTGGCAAGGATTTTTCCGCATCTCTACTTTAAAGACTGATCGGTGATTTTGAGCAATTGAAAGCAAGTTATACAAGGTAAATTATGATTATTGAACTATTATTAGCCTACATTAATTTTCTGCAAGATGAACAGAAATGCGTAATTACTATTATCACATAGGTACCTATTATGTATTTTCATAGCAATAATGCTATAAATCTATGTATGTAGATTATTTTTTAAAATATAAATGAGGCATTAGATGTATATGTATCATATTTTTATTCATTTTATTTTCATTCAAGTCCTGTTTTGATTTAATTCTAACAAAAGTCTTATGTACTTATATTTATGTTTTTACATATTTTTTTTGATTCCAGGTTTTGTGTGGGTTCCGGTTGCCTTTTTTCCTGCTTCCAGTTATTTAGTTTTATGCCCGTGAAGCTGTGAAAAACATTTATTTATCTTCAAGTTTCTGTAAGTCAATGCACTGTTACTTTTTTACTAATTCACTTTAACACAAGAATTCTCTATTATTTAAATATTTGATATTGATACAGTAGTTTATTGGTTTATAGCTCTTTAATTGTGTTGATTTGCATATTTACATTGTTCTAAATTCCAAATAAATATTTTTGAGTAATTTTGTTGTATTATTTACTACTAGAAAGAGTAAAAGTATATTAACCCTCATTTAAACCTCCTGAACAGCCCGCCATTAAAAACCGGAAACGGAAATAAATTTCATAAAATTGAAATTGTCATGTCTATGTCATGTCAAATGTCCCAGCCGCCATATCTGAAAATTAGTTACCCAGGCAGCCACGCTGTTTCCATAATTTAACATTGACTTGACACTTCTTCTTGTATTTATTATTTTATGGCTGCACCCTCACAAGTCACAAGAGGTCGTATCGATATTAAGATCGATACGTTACGTTTCAAAATAATTAATTAAATAGCATTGCATAAAAACGATAGAGAAAAAGAAAACTAGTTTTCGATTAAACTTTGATTTTTCCATTGGGAATTGGATCTGTAGGACAAGTGACATTATTAGCGGTTTCCAGTATGTTCGATCCTCGGTTCAAACGTTTGCTTTTTCAAAGTCTAGTTCCAGTACCTTGGTCCAGTAGCTTGTGCTCATGCAATTATGCTTTCATAAGTAAATCCACAGAGTAAATCTATAGGCTTCGTGCATTCACCGCCGGTGCTGCCACCATCGGAGAATATCGTAAACAACTGATATATCCAAATACACGGGTTTAAATAGCGAGCATACGAAAAATTTATTATTTAATAATTCTACAAGTGTAGGAAGTATAATTTGTGAAAATTCTAAAAATAAAAATAAAAAGGTAAATATTTTGATGTCTTCAGAAGGTCAAACTTGTATTATATTTTTAGGAATTTATTATTCCAACTGAAAAAACTTTTTGATGAGTAATTAGCGAGCATAATTTTACGTACTTTACGGTTTTGCTATTGGAGTCGTAATTGGGGCTATTTCGTCTATAACGCTACATAATTATAATTTTAATAAAGGTACATAAAATTACAAGATGTTCATAAAAAAATTAATCACCAGTTGATTAAAAAATATACCTAATATTGTAAATTATATTTTAACCTCTCATAGTACCGTATGATCGAAAAAAAAACGGCGTCCAGTTGGCTTGGAAATAAACATCGATTATATGCCCATTATAATTTTACATATAAAATGACAGCGATCTTCATTTTCATGGCCATCGCTGACGCCGTTTTTTTTCGATCATACGGTCTCTGATACGGTACACGTCTATTTAATTTTTTGATTATGTAACGAGCACTTTGTTTACTCACTTGTTTCGTCGAACTGCTTGAATCCCTTTTTGCTTTTGGTCAAATCAAGTTGAATATTCGGGAAAGTTGAATTATTGAATACTAGCGTGTACCAGCGACTTCGTTCGCGTCGAATTAATCATTTGTAATGGTGATGATCCAACAACAGAGTAAGGGAGATTATGGGAGCAGAACACACAATTGTGGACGACATAAGAACAAAACAACTCATATGGTTTGGTCATGTGCAACGAATGCCCGATCACAGAATACCAAAAAAAATTTTACTGTGGACACCTCGACGAAGGAAGGCCGCGACGAAGCTGGAGGGAGAGTGTGGATAAAGAACTAGAAAATAGAGAAATACCTGATGATCTCTGGCTAAATAGACAAGAGTGGAGGTTAGGTGTCGGAAAACGTCGTAGAACGTTCTGAACCGACTTATATATATATAATGGTGATGATAAAGCAAAGCAAGAATTTCCATTAACATAAAACTGGATAAAATTTTCTCACATTTATGTCAGCATGAGAAAAAACAATATGGCGATATTATTATATAACTTGGTAATATTTGAGGGGTAGTTTCATCTCGTTGGAATTTGACTTTCGAAAAATCCGTTTGCCAAAAATAAGCTTTTTACGTCAAGCAGTTTAAGCAGAATCGTGGTTAATCAATTACCCAACTTTTTGGAACACCCTGTATGATTTTTTAAAAAAATTCAAAATTTGTAAAAAAAAACCAAATAAATTATGCTTGTCCAAGCGTTTTCCCGAAAGACTAACTGTTTTTTAAATAACAAATATTGTAATATTTGAGGGGCGTTTTTCGAGAAACCCCTCCTTATCGAACCTCTACACCCCACAGTCAATCCGTTTGCCAAAAATTAGCTTTAAACGTCAAGCAGTTTAAGCAGAATCGTGATTACTAAGGACATATTTTATGAAATACCCTATATAAATTTATAAAAAATCTTAAAATATGGAAAAACAACAAAATAAAATATACGTGTTTAAGAGTTTTTCCGAAAAACTCACCGGTTTTTAAATAAAAAATATTTTAATATTTGAGGGATAGTTTCACCCGTTTCACCCAGGGGGGTTTGTAATAAAATATACGTGTTTAAGCGTTTTTTCGGAAACTTGACCGTTTTTTAAATAAAAAATATTGTAATATTTGAGGGGTGGTTTCACCCCCTTGGAACTGGAATTTCGAAAAATCCCTTCTTATCGAACCTCTACACCCTACAGTCACAGAATATCTAGCTACGCAAGAGAAGCCTCGTTACATGCATAAAATCGTAGGTCTCAAAAGGAGACAGGCTTTAAAAGCCTGTCTCCAAATCAGATATTTTGATGCGGTAGTTTCACTACTACATAACAGAGGGCGATAAATTTAAAAGAAAACAGTTTTCTACAAACGGAATTTAAAAGAATTTTATGCAGTGTTGCCATTGTGTAATTTATATTGTAATATTTCCTGATAAAGCCTAGCTTCAAATTTGCTACATCATTTAAACATATTAAAATAGATTAGAGCTCTTTTTTCAAACGTTTAAGTATTTAACTCGCCGTGTTAGTTGGAGTTAAATCTTACGAGCTGAATTAAAATCACTTCCTGACGTTTGATTCTAACTGAATCCTGAATTTTGATTGTAATTCGGCGAGAATATAATAATTATTGTTCTATTATTATGACACCACTTCCTGACGTTCGATTGTGTTCATACCGTATGATCTATGAAATGAAAATCGCTGTCATTTTATGTGTAAATTTATTTGGGAAATGTCATCGATCGTCTTTTCCCAGCCAACTTGACGCCGTTTTTTTCGGTATCATACGGTATTTGATATATACTTGCGTATTTTTCATGACATTGCAATATTATGGTACCATGAAGCATATCCAGTGATACCGTAATATAGTACCATATTACGATACATGGCGTTCGAATGGGCTTAAACTTGGTATATTACGTATCTTCAGTGACATTGTAATATTATGGTACCATGAAGCATATCAAGAGGTACCATAATAGTACATAGAGGTACCATATACGATAGAGGTACCATATACGATACCATTTCCTGGCGTGCGATTCGACTTATACTTGGTATAGTAAGTATCTTCAATGACATTGTAATATGATGGTACTATGATGCATATATAAAGTGGTACCTTAATATAGTACCATATTACGATACCACTTCCTGACGTTCGATTGGGCTCATATTTGATTATACTTGCGTATTTTTGATGACATTGCAATATTATGGTACCATGAAGCATATCAAGGAGTACCATAATGTAGTAAAATATTACGATACCATTTCCTGGCGTTCGATAGATCTTAAACTTTGTATACTACGTATTTTCGGTAACATCGTAATATGATGGCACCATGGAGCATATAAATTGGTACCTTCTATAGTACCATATTATGATACCACTTCCTGATGTTCATTTGGGCTCATATTTGATATATACTTGCATATTTTTGATGACATTGCAATATTATGGTACCATGAAGCATGTCAAGAGGTACCATAATAGTACCATATACGATACCATTTGCTGGCGTTCGATTGGGCTTAACTTGGTATAGTAAGTATCTTCGGTGACATTGTAATATGATGGTACTATAATGCATCTACTATGATGCATATATAAAGTGGTACCTTTGACCGTGGACGTTCGATTGGGCTCATATTTGATTATACTTGCGTATTTTTGATTTGCATTACAATATTACAATTCAATTATTACATTGCAATATTATGGTAGCATAAAGCATATCAAGGGGTACCATAATGTAGTACCATATTACGATACCATTTCCTGGCGTTCGATTGGGCCCAAATTTGATATACTTGTGTTTCTTTATAAAGATTTGTTTAATTAATAATTTTAATTTATTTTATTAATTTTAATTTATTGTACGATGTCGTGACAGCAATTTTTATGCTTAACTAATATATTATTAATTGTACCTGTGTCACTTTTTTAAAATCTACCTAGGTCTATATAAATAACGTGGCAAACAGAAAAAAATTGTTATTATAGTATTTTTTTTGTACTGCATTTTAATAAATCATTTCCATTATTATTAAACGTATATTTCATTAATAACGTTTCAGCATTAATAAATATCATTATCAATAGCCCTGTATATTATTAATTTTAAAGGTAGTTAAAGTTATTTTCTTAGTTAACATAATAAAGTAGTGTATATTAAAATGCATTTTGAGAGCATATGTTTTCTAATAATATACTTAAAATTAAAACTATTTTAAAAGCCAAACGAATAATTAATATAAGTGTATCTGACAAGAAACGAAGAATAGAAAGGAATTATTATACACCAGAAAAGAATGGGATGTCAATTAAAGTCTGTTTGAATCTAGCAACTGTGCATTTTAGCCGAGCTCCAAGGCCTCGACGTGCCGTCGATCTACGTCGATCCAAAACCGAAAGTTGAAAATTTCCAATTATATTCTGATTATGATATTGTCGCGCCATCTAGTATTTTATTTGTGCAATTTTAGCTCTTTCATTTCGAGTATTTTTCTGTTGCGTAGCTAGATATTCTGTGCTACAGTCAATCCGTTTGCCAAAATTGAGCTGCTTACGTTGAGTGGTTTGAGCAGGATCGTGATTAATCAGTATGTCAGTCACTTAAGGATTTTATATATTGGTATAGATTATCGCACCCAACGCCCTAATTACGCTCTCCTTTACGTGATAACATTTTTTCGGTAATTATTAACATTTAAACAAGTGAGTAAACAAAGTGCTCGTTACATAATCAAAAAATTAAATAGACCTGTACCGTATAATCGAAAAAAAAAACGGCGTCAGCGATGGCTATGAAAATAAAGATCGCTGTCATTGAATATGTAAAATTATATTGGGCATGTAATCGATGTTCAAACTTTTTTATTTCTTGTATTTTTTTGATAAAACTCACCGATTTGAAATTAAAAAATAAAATGTAAAGCATTACATGTCAGGACAAAAACATTTTCTGATAAAGAATCTAGTTGGCTGCTGTAATTTTTTTTAGGAAAAAATCTAGTCGGCCGCTGTTACTTTTTAGGATGTTCCTAATATTATTTTATTTGACATTACTCTACTGCAATACGTTATTATCTACATGATTATTATTATCGTTATTATCACTAGATTCTTAATCTAAAAATCTTTTTTGTCCTGACATGTAATGCTTTACATTTTATTTTTTAATTTCAAATCGGTGAGTTTTATCAAAAAAACACAAGAGATAAATAAGTTTCTAAACAAACTAAACTATCCAAATTAATTTTTTTGCATGTGTTTGATAAGATTTTTCTTTAAATTTCGTTAACAAGAATGATAGGGGCAGTTTATTTCAACCCCTTCCACTCATTTTAAAAAAATGAAAAAATTACCAGAAAGTGTGTTTTCATAACAGTAATGCTTCCATAAAATTTCATTAGTCTATCTCTTTTCGTTTCCAAGATAAAAAATAAAAACATTATTTTTCCGCCATCTTTGTACCGCGATATCTCCCTAATGGTTGACTTTTGACCCAACGTTTATAAAGCAAACTACCCTTTATTTTGAACAAGGAATCACCCCCTGAATTTTTTCGCATTTGTTTTGAAACACCCTGTATATCCTGTATACCAATTACAAATGTTTGTCAAGTACACGAGTCGTAAGAATGCGCCTTTCACAGCGCTTTCAGATGGAGCGGACCATACGCGCGGATGTTATTTCAATATAGCTTATCCGGGCGGAGCATACGCGACCCATGTGAAATCGTTCATATAAACTTATGGTACTTGTTCGAAGTCGCGGACAGGCCGTCGCGGTCGCGGACGCTCCGCTCCATCTGAAAACGCTGTTAGACGTATTTTTATAAATAAATGTAGATTTTCAAGATTACGTTTTTATGACCTAAAACCAAGAAACAATAAAAGTTGAAACTTAAAATTTTATAGATATATTCTAATTATTTTAATTCGTTTTTATATTAAAGAGTTTAATCACATTTCAAGATGCAGATAATTTTTATTTCATACCTACCTTCTATAGGTACGAAAAAAAGGACACTATAAATAATCTCAATTTTTTAAGGAGATATGAAATTCCTTGGTGTTTTTATGTAGATTTGGAGATTTGTATTTATAAGAATAAAATTGCACATTATATAGTTCTTTGTTACAAATGGGTTAATGCACATTAACGACAATGACTTTAGCAATGAATTCAATATATTTATGTAAGCATAAACATGTAATGTAAAAATATTTTAATATTAACATTATTTTTAATAAACTAATTTAAGCTCTTATTGCAGGGATAATATGCGGTGTTTCAGTTGCAATGTTTTGCATGTTAGCTACCATTGTTTTTTTCTGTTCGAGGTACGTTTTAAGCTATTTTTTATACCTTTATTAATTGACACTTAATGTACTTCTCTGATTTACACTTTTAGATGTGCAAGAATGAAAGCAAGATGCTCTAACCAGTTTTATATAATCGAAGGTTTGGATCTCTCCAACAATAAAACCTCTTTGCTAGACATAGCAAATAACTTTAATATATACCGGAAATATAATAACATGGAAGATTCGGATGCACTGAAACAGGAAACACTTCAAACAGATAGGGATTTAGTAGATTCAACAGATTTATCGCATAAGTAGGCATATTAAAATATTTAGTTTAATTTAGTTTTAAAAATGTTTTTTTTTCTAATTATTGTAGATTTACTAATTCTTTGTTGAGAATCAACTCCCAAGCTGACGACATGCTGTCATGTATAAGTACAGACTCTTTGGGAACGTTTTTTTCGGTAAATATTGTAATGAACAACATTCAACATTGAATTGTTGAATATCGTTCGTTATCAATCGTCTTTTTTAAGCCAACAGGATGCCATTTTTTCGATTATACAGTATATTTATTAAAAATATTTTGTGATTATGCCTCTATAAATTCACAAGGGTTGATTTGAAGGGTAAGGGAAAAACGATGTAACACAAGCGACTTTTACAGAGAAAACTGACTTAATGTTGCCAAATACCACGTAAGGGATACAAAAAAATATTACTGTATGCGTTATTATTTGTACATCGTTTGTTATATTCAATTACAATTTAGCATGTGTTTAGCACTTGGTAATCTCAACAGCTCAACAGTTTAAGTTGATTACTTACTAACTTAACCTAACCTAACATTCATTACACATACTTAAACACTAACGCCTTAAATTTTAAATGCGGCGGTAATGTTAGCTTAGAAATGACCATTGATGACATTTCATATATGTGAACATATTTTCAGGGCTGTAGATCTCGATAAAAGAAATACATTTTCCCTTTTTTCAAATAAGTGCAAAATAGCCTAGTTATTTTACTTTGAAATTTTTTTAAAGAATTTTTGCTTAAATTTAGAGTTCTGGATTTTTTGCGTCTTCGCTCCTCTAAATTTAATCTACAATCTACGTTGCCATATTAGCAAGATATTATGTTTGTTAACAAAAAAGAAAATCCAAAATATTTATCGAAAAGTACAAAATTTTTAAAATTTCTCTTATGGCACGTATACATTGGCGCGCTGCGCCGCGAACGCGCGTTTTCCGGTTGCGCGCGCTCTGCACGCAAACCGCTTGCCGCGACCATCTCCAGTCGGTTTTTCGACGCTCCGCTTTCTATTAGCTTTTTCGGGTTCTTGTTATTACCGATTCTGAACCGTCCTAGAACTCTGCAGCGCATGCGCAATTGAAATAATGTCTTCATATTTCCTTCTGCGCATACGCATCACAGTTCTGGGACGGTTCAGAATCGCTAATAAGAGAAACCCGAATTAAGTTTATGTTCGCTGTTCAATTGGGACGGCCGGAGAAGACACCGCGCGCATTCCGCGCGCCTTTATCAGTGATATTGTGTGTTTTCTTTGAATAAATTCCCTTTTTTTTGTGTTTTTTTCTTTGAATATTGTTTATTAATGGAGTGTTTAAAGAGTCACATTACTCATCCCTAAAATTGCGTAGCTCTTCTCGGATGATAGAGACTTGATTAACGATTAAACGAAAGTTCGCGGGATTTCTATGGATCGCGGGATGTTTGTTAAAACAATAAAAGTAACGCGCGGCTAACGCTCGGCTCAGCGCACCGATGTATACGTACCGTTACCCTCCATAAATGAAGCTACCCTTATTTTTATATACCGGGTGCGTCTCAAAAGTGACTCACTAATATAACTATTCTATTTTTTCAAATAAAAAAACGAGATTTGGTATGTTAGTATATGACATAAATTAGAATTGATTGACATATTCAATTATTTTGGATCACTTTCGGTTTCACCGGAAACGATTACAACTTTTGATTTTTAAATGACACCCTCGGTATTTTTTCCTTTATTCAATAGAAAATGATATGGAAAATAACACTCTGAATATAATGACATATCATATGTTAACTTTTGACATTTTCGCTTTAAAAAAATCGCATTTTAAATTTCAATCTAGAGTGCAATGGTTGTGTGTTAAAACTACTACTTTTTATTTCAGTAGCCTTGGAAAATAGACTTGATCGTCTAATATTTTTCGTGTCTTGTCCTGGCCAGTTAAAAGATGCCCAAATCGTATTTTTAATCATATCTCAATTTTTCCAAATGAAACGAGGGTGGCTCATTAGCATTTAGCAAATAGCATTAAAAACATTTTTTACGAATAATTTGATAGGTACCACACTTGGTATTTCGAGTCAAATTATCGTTTTGAATTGCATGTTACAATTTCAAATAAACCATATGAGAAAATGTCAAAAGTTGATATATGATATGTCATTCTATTCAGAGTATCATTTTATATCGAATAAAGTATAAAAATACCGAGAGGGCCATTTAAAAATCAAAAGTTATAGTTATTTTCGGTGAAACAGGAAGTGGCCAAAAACAATTGAATACGTCAATCAATCCTAATTTATGTCATATACTAATATACCAAATTTCGTACTTGTATGTGAAAAAGTAAGAAAGTTATAGAAGTGAGCCTCTTTTGAGACGCACCCGGTATAATCCAAGAAACAAATGATGGTAAACAACTTTTATGGAACCCCCTGCATAATAAGTTCAGTAATCCTAAAATGTAGTCCAAATAAACTTACATGTTCTAAGAATTCCATTTTGATATACATTTTCAGTCGCCTTTCCATTCCTCAGTCTTTTTCATTTTCACTTGAATTCTATTTTTGCTGTTTATATTTTTAATTTTACTTAGACTTGCACTGCCAATTCCAGAAGATCCTTTGTTACTTGCTCTGAAGGATCAGAAAACGAAGAAGATTTAATAAACCCAACTGTAAGAAAAGCCGTTGTATCTTTCAAATAATTTATTTTTATTTTGTTTAAATAAAATTTGTTTATTTTAATTTGTAATTTATTTTAACTTTATACAGGTTATATTTACAATAACTGTCAATAACAAATAGGTGACAAAAATGTTCATACATATTCAGTAACTCTGTGCAGCGTGCACCCATTGTTTCTTCTACATTTTTCTTTATAACAATAAATAAGGTCTGTACAAATGTATTATATAAATTTAATGAATTTTAACATATTCCTTTTCATTAGTTCGTGAAGATTTGATAGCATTATTAATCGCAAACAATTATGCTAACTACTATAATACCTATATGCATTACAAAATACTAACGCTAAATAATTCGATTCTAAAAAGAATATGGCTTAAATAATGTAAAATATTAATAATTTGTTTTCAACTTTTTTTACAACGCAAGACTGATTTTTTTTAATAATATTGTTACACACCTGCAATCAGTGAGTATTACATTCTTTTGGACTTTGTATGACAGACATTTACATAACAATAAATAAAATATACAAAAATAAATTCTTTTAAATACAGGCGATAATATAAAAACACCGGTTTATAAATAATTGCACAGGGAAATATTAATTATGAACTAGAATATAAAAAAAGGGTACCGCCCTGAATCGTCTCTTTTTACACAAAAACCATATTAATGAATACAAAAAAACATCTTTAAGATTTGTCGAAAAATAACTATATGGCATAAGCGATTTTTTACTCTAATCTTATGTACACATGTATTTGAGGCAGTAATTTTTTTTATTATCGAATTCTATTTAAAACATGACACTAATTCAGAAACAACATTTATATTTAGGAGTAAGCTGTATAAAACTTTGCAGTCTTTTTAAACTGGTTGATAGACGAAAAAGTATAATAAGCTAAAACTAATTATACAGGGTGATCATAAAGATTCCATATTAAATTGAAAATTACATAATATATTTTATTTATTTTTTATTTTTTAAATAATACTATATCTACAATTCTATGCATTAAAAATTAAGGTAAACTTGTGTACAGGTTTTTATATTCAAATTTTGTAGCTTTGGTAAAGGAGTTCTCGCCTGAACTGAACGTTCTACAATTCAGTTCATTGTGGTACTTTATTCACTGTTTGATCGAGCTCAAAACAACAATGTAGAAATTAGTTTTAGTAAAGTTAAAAAAAAATTGTTTTAAAAAAAAGTAATGTCGTTGGATATGTCTTTCAATATTTATATAGGAAATTTCCTTGTATTCAATGTCATATAATGCTAGTTTTAAGGCCTTTTTGTGCCGAGGATGTTGTTTTTGCTAATTGACTCAGTCGTAAGTTGTTTTTTCTGTTATACAATTTTAAATTGTTAATGCCTTTTTTATTTATACATTTTAGAAACTGTCCTGATGATGGGAATAAATTTCTCGAAAGCTTGACAAATTTGAAAAAGTAGTTTTATTAGCCTGTGTGGTGATTATTGACTGCATCCTCACTTAAATTTTGAGTTTTTTCTTAACTTAGTCAGTCACAACTAAACCTGCTATTTTTTAAAACTTATCTAAAAACCTGGAATCTTTTTTTTAACGAATGTTCAATTTCCAAAAATAAAAAAAAACATTAAAACCTATTAAAAGTGGGACCCTTAAAATGGTAACACTGTACAGATGTTGTTGTAAAAAATGTATTTAGATTGAACACGTGATTTTTAAATTGTTACATATGGGATCTACATATATAAAATGCTAATGTTTATCTGTGTCGTCTCTACTGACATAACGACTATTGCTCTAGAAAGTTGCTTATTTTTACTAAAAGATAGTTAATTGGCTCTACTAAAAACTGTCGTCGCCGGATTTTTTGTTTTTCATTTAATTAAAAAAAAATAACTATTTTTTTCCTGATGTCGTGGCGGATGCGCCAAGTTTCAACTAGTATTAAATAATTTCTATTGTAGTATAGTTGTTCTAAATTCTCATACTTATAGCAAAGCAATGAATATATTGTTAATAATGTCATAAAAATTTTAATTTACAACTGGGCATAGGCACACATAAAACATTGGTTGCAATGACACTTTCATTCTATACAATTTACTCATAAATATAAGGCAACATGTAAATTAAAAAAATAACAAATTTGTTTAAAATGATTTGTATGAATTGAATAATCTTACGCCTATTTACACAGGGTGTTCTACACTTTAATTATCTTTATTTAATCAATCTTGATATGCTTCTAAATCAACTCATCATGTAACAGAAAGAAAACAATGTACTTTAAATCAAAATTAAATATGATTAAACAACGTGACCATGCTATGAGCTGTAACCGCATTTTTTTAATAATTTTATTATACTTTACAAATATTCATTGACGGCTAACATGTAGATGCTTTGAGCAAAATTAGATATATTAGACATGTTAAGATAGAGTAAAATAATTTTATTACGCTGTTTTACTTTCTTAAAAATTAAAATTTTATATAATAAAAAAAATTTATGTCACTAAACTTAGACATAAATTCAATTTGTGACAGTTTATATGTTTTCAGTGATTAGAACACCCTACAATTGAAAAAAAAATGACTAGTACTTTAGAAGTAAAAAAACGCGACCCCTATGTTTTGGCAAAGATTTTCAGTAAAAATTTAAAAAAGTAATAAAAGGAAACCAAAAAAATTACTGTTAATCAGGAAATCCAAGTGCTGAATAATAAATACAGAACTAAAAGAACAATTGGTCCAATGTACCAAAAATACTTGTTGTAAATGCTGTCGCATAACATTTCATATTCCACCTTCATTTTTAATAAATCCTTTTGTAACTGCATTTTATCTTCACAGGTTTGAGAATATTTTGATTTTAATGCTATCATTTCCTCTTCCAGAACTGCCAACTGGATATTATTAGTCTTAGAAAGCGTTTCGTCAGGCATTTGCTCTGTATTATCGGAATATTCTTTATAACTCGTTACTTTTCGTGTATCTTCGTTTTTTTCATCTTTTCGACGTTGTTCGATTTCAGCAACTAAAGCATTAACTTTATCTTTTAATTGTTGATTCTCGTTACAGCCCTCTCTCCATTTTTGCTCTAAATCGAGTAATTCTTGGCGTAAATTTTCTCTTTCTAATAATCGTTGACTATTTAGTTCTTTTTCCTCATCAAGAGCTCTATCCAGTTCAGCTATTTTCATTTTATTTGTTTCGGATATTTTTTCTAAAATGTCTATTTTGCGTTTTAGTTCCATTTGCTCCCGTTGTGCAGATTGATATTGGTACTTTAGCGTTTTAGAATCAATTTGATCACTGACAAAACTTTTTCGATCTACAGAGATATCTTGTTCAGTAATTTCAGGACTCTCTATATCATTTTCGGATTCCTACGGAGAAAAAGTTGTATTAATTATTTTTTACTAATGCAAAATAAAATAATTGCAAAGAAATGAAGGGTCCAGGGGAAAACATGATAAGCGCAATTTTACTAATTTTACAGGAGAGCCCTGGACGGATGGTAGTTATCAGGTTCTTTCCATGTATGTATATTTTTAGTAGGTATACAAGGTTCTAGGCTGAACGTACATTAGAAGTTTCTAGAGAACTACAATATCTAGAACGGAGATTTTTTGCACATCAGTTTCACAACGAGATCTATCGATTAAAAATATTTTCAATATGGCGGCACTTTCGGAAATACCGGAAGTTGACAGCAACTTTCTTATTTTAAATGGGTACCCCTATTTTTTATTAGATACTTAAATTCTCTGCAAATTTTTTATGAATTTTGATATTAAACACTCTATACCTAACATTAACAATTTCCGAGAAAAAAATATTTAAAAATTTTGTTTGTAGTATTTGACGGAAAAAACTGTATGCCAAAAAAATTTGTTTAACCTAAACGTCAAATTTAGCGATGACCAAAGTCAGTGTGACATAAAGAGAAGACATGTGGCTATCTATTTCAAAAATTAAATTGTTCGAATGTCATAATATTGGCCGTAAAAATGTTTCAGATTGTTTACATTTGCCCTTGATATTGATAAATCTAGAGATGGCACAAATGTTTTTGCATATGTCCTTAATAAAATAAAATCTTGTAAATTTGTGTATACAGGGTGGTCCGAACTGTATTCCGGAAACTTCGGTAGCATATTCTGTAGATAAAAATAAGTAAAAAAGTTCGTATAAGTGTGTGTCCTAAAATGCTTAGTTCCGAGATACAGGGTGTAGAAGTTTCATTTTTATTTCGATTTTTTCCAAATAATTTCTGAAGTAACGTCAATATTTAGATGAAACTTGCTCTCTGGGAGTTTTTTGACATGAGAAATTTGATTTTGATATCAATATGACTCCTACTTGTAGAAGGCGCTACCTACATGTGTTTTAATTGTTTTGAAGAGTAATAACTTTGTAAAAAACTGTATAAAACTCCTTGGTGAAAAAATATACATTTCCATGATTTTCTCTCTAAAAAACATTTCTTGGTAAAAATCGCTACGAGCAACCGTTCTCAAAATATTTAGAATGGAAACAACCAATACATATCATTATTGACAAAAAATTAACATGTGAAGTAGATAGTTATTTGACTAAAATGATAAATTTGGGAACTTTTTTTTTTAATTAATCATAAATTTTTATTCGAAAAAATGGTGATAAAACGGTTTCTGTTGAACTTTTGGCACAAAAGCATTTCAAATTTATGATTTCAATCTAATAACTATTTGGTCAACATCTTTAATTTATGTCAATGACGACAGGTATTGACAAATTCGATTCCAAATATCTCGAGAACATCGAGATAACTTTTCTACGTAATCGAAGATAACTTTTCTACGTAAAAAACGTCGTAAATGTGTATTTTTTTACTCAGCAGTTTTATACAGGTACCGACGAAAAGTTCTTCAAACCAGTTAAAAATATGTAGGCGCCCTCTACAAGTAGGAGTCATATTGATATCAAAATCAAATTTCTCACGTCAAAAAACTCCCAGACACCAATTTTCACGTAAATATTGACGTTACTTCAGATATTATTTGGAAAAAATCGAAATAAAAATGAAACTTCTACACCATGTATCTCCATATCTAAGCATTTTAGAACATACATTTATACGAACTTCTTTACTTATTTTTATCTGCAGAATAAGCTGCCGAAGTTTCCGGAATACAGTTCGGACCACCCTGTAGGTATACCTAGGTCTATCCTGGTCATCTGCGTGGTGTGTATTTTAATGCATGCGACAGAGATAAATATAACTGACCGGTTGACAAACAGAAAGAAAAAATAAAAAGCGGTATACAGTGTTACCGGTTTTTACGCCTGTAGGAAAATGTGCGTAGAAAAAATAAACTATTTTAAAAACTTTTATGTGTACCCACTACTGAAATGAAGAAAATATATCTAAGCTAAATATAATCTATTACAGGTGTAGTAAAATGAGCAACTAATTGTGAAAAATAGAAGTTCCAACCCTAGATGCAACATTTTTCGTGAATGCCTACTTGTGCGTTTGGAAATTTTGATGCAAAATCAGGTATTACCGCATAGAAGAAATGTATCAACCCAACGTTTCTCTCTTTTAAATACATTTGATTTTCCATTCAGCTGTCTACATCGCATCACTGTCTTACATGTTAAAATCCAGACCACTCAGTTTCAATGATCAGATCGGTATATGTTTGTTAGAGTACAATATTTTATCAAAAATAAATGTGAAGTTAAATAATGAAAAACATTTTCAATGTCTTGCCAGAAGTTGTATAATTAATAAAACAATTAAAATTATTTTTAATTGATATAAGATCTTGATGATTTTACAGACATGCTTAATGAAGCTAATAATTAAATTGTTGAAGAATTAAAGAACATTTCTTTTCCACCATGTTCAGATAGCTGGTTCAAGAGAAAAAAAGATCTTTTTTGAAGCTATATTTCAAAGTTAATTTTTATTTTTACATTTTTGATAATGCAATTTTAAAACTAGATGAGAGATATCAGGAGTTTGAAAGGCATAAGGAATCTCTTGGCTTTTCAAATGATTAAGTGCTTTCAGCAAAGAATGTAATGTAACAAAATATTTTAAGAACTTAGAAATTAAATTAACTGACCTGGCAACAAAAAATATATACATAAGGTAATTATCTTCACCAAGAGATTGGTACACTATCATTCAGTTTAGTGTATATTTTTAACTTTGCTTTTATATTTCATAATTCTTAAAGCTAAAACTTAGTAAAACCTACTTAAGATCTACTATAATCCAATCAAAGCAATCAGATTTAGCAATTTACATTGAAAGAGATACCGTATGATCGAATAAAAACGGCGTCAGCGATGGCTATGAAATGAAGATCGCTGTCATTTTATATGTAAAATTATATGGTAAATGCCATCGATCGTCATTTCCAAGCCAACTGGACGCCATTTTTTTCGATCATATGGTATTTGTTCTATTTCAGATATGACCGATTTAATTAGAGAATTTACAATTATAAAGTACTTACTACTAATTTGTCATTTTTCGCATTCTTTTACTTTGCTTCTCATCTTATAGATACCAGTAATAATTATACTTTCCATTTTATATCGTGTGCGTCTCAAAAGTGGCTCACTCCTATAACTTTTTTATTTTTCCAGATTACAGAACGGGATTTGGTTTGTTAGTATATGACATAAAGTAGGATTGATTGACGTATTCGATTGTTTTCCGTCACTTCCTGTTTCACTGGAAGTGACTACAACTTTTGATTTTTAAATGGCTCCCTCGGTATTTTCTTTTACTTTATTTGATTAGGAAAATGACACTTTGAACAGAATGACATATCATATTTTCAACTTTCGACATTTCCAAATATGGTTTGTAAAAAAATGATTTTTACAAATATGCTGAGCCGCCTTCTTTCTATTTGAAAAAAATTGAGATATGATTAAAAATACAATGTGGGCATCTTTTAACCTGCCAAGACAAGACACTAAAAACATTAGACGATCAAATATGTTTTTCCAAGGCTCCTTGATTAAAAATTAGTGTTTTTAACACAGCCAAGGCACTCTGGATTGAAATTTGAAATACAATTTTGTTTTAAGCGAAAATGTCAAAAGTTGACATATGATACGTCATTCTATTCAGAGTGTCATTTTCTCTACCACATAAAGTAAACAAATACCGACGCTGCCATTTAAAAATCAAAAGTTGTAGTCATTTCCGGTGGAACAGGAAATGGCCGAAAACAATTAAATACTTCAATCGATCCTAATTTATGTCATATACTAATATACCAAATCTCGTTTCTTTATCTGAAAAAATAAAAAAGTTATAGGGGTGAGCCACTTTTGAGACGCACCTGGTATTTGTATTTGTCAATAAAAAATAATATTTTAACACTAAAAAATGTATTTTTGATAGTTTCCAAATTTTTAAACACCACGAAACCTGTTTCCAAACTCTACAACTACATAGTTTCATTCTTTATTCAGGGGTCTAATATCAAAAGCAGCAAATTCCACCACGCCAACTCCCCAACATTATACAGTCCTATTATTAAATTTGCACTTGAAATTCATACTGAACCAAAAGTTTACAACGAACCAACAGTTTAAACTATAAACTTTGTTGTAAACTCTTGGTTCAGTATCAGTTTCAAGTAGTGATGGGAATACCGGTTCCACATGAGTCGCGTTACAATAGCGACCGTTCCAAAAAAATACCGCGATTTTGTAATCGAGGTTCCTACTTCCTAAGTGTCGCGGTCCTCGCTTATGTAGTATTTCTGGCACTGGTACCTACTTTTATTTTATACTACCTACCTAGTCCCACAAACCACTGTCAAAAAAAAATCTTTATTGGTGGCCGGTTCGGCAATTCCAGCCATCATCAGACCTTAAAAATAGATATAAACAATAAAACTTATATAAATGTATTAAAGCAAATAAAATTTTCATTTTATTTTATTTGCTTTTACGTTTCATCTTTCAAACAACGCTATTTTATACCATGCTTAGTACATACAAAAAATCGTTATTTCAAAACTAACGTAGCGACGGGAGCACCAACGCCAATAGTAACCGACCCAATTGCTACAGGCGAAAATGAAACCCTAGAAGCGCTCCAGCGACTGCTGGAACGAAGTCAGCCGCCTCCGAGGTCGAGCGTCGGTAGCCAGTTACAGCAGTTACTTCTGTTCGCGACAGGGAACTAAAACTCTAGAAGCGCGACGGCTGGAGCGAAGTAGGCCGCCGAGGTGGAGCGTCGATCCCCAGTTACAGCAGTTACGCGACAGGGAACTACAACTCTAATTGTCGGTTATTGTAAATAACCGACAAATTCCGCAAAGCCGACGAGGCCGATGTTTCTTACTGATAAGAAAACAAAAGTTTG